ATTGCGTACGATATTAAAAAAGTCTGTGTCGTTGACGGTCGAGAGGAATCGACGAAACGGTGGGCCGCGTAAATGAGTAAAAATTCAAAGCTAGGATCGAGGAATCGGTCGCTGGAGGTTCGTGCAAAAGCGATAAACTCCATTCTTCGGTAAGAACGCGAGAAGAGACGCAACATTCCTCGGAGAAGAGAGCGGACACTCACCTTTGGCTGCGGTCTCAGCTTCTGCTACGTCGGTCCGCCTCCCGGCAGTCGGCATCCTCCGTTCTCGTCCTCTTCGTTATCCGCTCCCGCCACTTTACGCGTATATACATACGTAATCGGAAACTCGGACCTGCGACAAAAAGTCCACGGATTAGTTTCACCATGGCCGATCTACAGCACCGTGGTCGTTACAACCGCCCCGAACGCTCCACACGATTAACCCTATTTTTCCCAATGGCTAGACACTACACAGGGTGTTTGGCCACCCCTGGGAAAAATTTTAAAACGAAAATCAAGAATATCAATTTCTTGATTGAAGCTTCGTTAAAAAGTTTATAAAAAATTTCAAATCATTCACGGAAAAATTATTTTCGATCGCGAGGGTCAATTGCAATCATTTTTGGTGAATAGACATACCCCCGAAATCCTACCCGCTTTCGAGAAAAAAATTCTTTACCAAAAATATACTGTGTGGCCGAAAATGTTTCTATAACTTTTTAACGAAGCCTCGATCATCAAATTAGTGTCCTTGATTTTCGTCTTATTTTGCCCTGTAGAATCTCCCATTAAAATTTTTCCCAGTGTTGACCGAACACCCTGTCTACTCTTTATCTTGGAGGGTTAAAAGATTGAAATCATTCAAATACAATTTTTAAGAAGCTTCCCCGATACCCTGAGTTAATTAAAATAAATTGAAAAACGCTTTCGTCATAAATTTCGGGAGCAGAATTTGAAAAAGTAAGGATCGTGACCACTCAGCGAAATGAAATGGGAAAAAATTTATTATAGACCAGAATACTTTGCGTGGGTCCAAACGGACCCGGAGTCGACGGTTACGTTAACGTTTAATCGCGTAAAATTGATTGAAAATACCTTTTGCGGTAGTGATATAATGGACGTAGCAGAAAGAAGTTTATTTCTTTATTTAATCGACGATCGAACGATCATTCTCTCGGCGCGACCGAGTGCTAACGACACGACAAGAATTCGAGAGTCCGCCCACCATTGAAATGCCTACCTGCCCGAGCGGTTCTCTCGAGGTTATGAGTCACGAGGCTGTCGCACGCTTTGCTAAATATCTCGACATTTTGTCACGCGTTGTTTCTTCCCTTGATCGCGGCACGTTCGACCAGCTTCGCGTTTTTCTGCGTTTTACTCGCTCCGGGGAACGAGGACGACCAAATAAACAACGCGACTGTTTACTCTACGCTTACGCAGTTGCTAACACAGGGTGTCCGTTTATTCAAGAACGACGAACGAGAACTTTATATTTCTTAGCCCATCTTTTCTACCAAACAAGGCACTGACTCGATTTATAGATTTTTCTATCGTTCTGCCATGCCCGCCGACAACGAACTATATATGTGAACTCACCGTGGTTCGATATCGTCGCACGTAGGACGAGACGCACAACAATGGACGTCCAAGAAACAATCGGTGTGATTCACAAATTTTATCTCACTTCACTTGCTCCACGCACATAAATGGACTCCCTTTCTTACTTTCGGTAAGAAACTCACAAATTCCACGGTACGCGTTCCGCTCGAACGCCACGTTTGATCATCGATCTATCATTTAAGACGCGTCCGCATCAAAATCTCCATTGACCGCATCGCGACACAAATCGAACACGAAGAAATCACGATGTCACTTTCCCGACGATGCGAGTTTCACAAATGTTTCGCAGCTGTACGAATCCCTGTGAAAGTGGACGTCACTCGGCTCGGTCGACGAACGAAGAGCACCTAATCGCGAAAATATCGTATCGTAGCGTGATCAGCGAACGAAAGGCGAAAGATTCTCAGAATCGAAAATACGAGCGCATTTTTATTGGCTTTTCGTTGACGGTGATAAAATATCGCGGGGCAAAGCGAAATATGAAATGTAGCTACTGCTTCCAACAGCTTGTAAAGCATCGTCCGATGTTCAAGGAGATCGATTTGCGTTCGTCGCTCGGGAGAAATCGTTTCCCATGGAAATACCGATCGCGTCACCGTAAACGCGACCGCTGAAGCCCTCCGCGAGGTGTTTGACTTTAACTAAGCATACCTGGTGATCATTCGAAAAATAAAAACAGGTATATCGATATTAACGGGAGCAGAAATTTCAACTTCGAAAACAAAGCGTAGAGTCTGTTGGAAACGGAGAACACGAAACACGGTTCACGGATGCTAACGTTGGTCGAACGCGAGCTATCGCACAAAGACTGGCAAGCATTTCCAGAGATCGCAGTGACAGCGAGTCGTAACTGGTATCCGAGCGTCAGGTAAAGAGGGACGCTATTCGAAAACGGGATTATCTTTCTCGACGACGGGCGTATCGTGGTTGAAATCGCAGGCACGATATCCGACGTTTCCATAGAAACAGCCTCGAATTCACTGATCACGGTCGACGGTATGAAATTCGTCGAAACGCGATCGCCGCTGCAGAAGCAAAACTACCGAACGTACCGATTACAAATCGTCGAGCGAGGATGTAACTCCCAGATAATCTCACTCGCGGCGCTCACAAATCAACGTACATGGCCACGGAGAGTCGGTTCACGGCGCGAAGTGAAATCGCGGACGCTGGTCGCGCGTAAGAAAACCGTCGCGCGCGAAAAGAGAACCGTTTGACCGCGGTGCTGCGCGACGGCGAACCGGATTCTCCGAAATTTCCTAGACGAATTCCTTGGAGCGGTCGGTTTTCGAAGCGTAACAGCCGCGATGAACCGCGCACGACCGCCGTGAAAGCGACACGACACTGGATGAGAACGGGCAACAGGTTCGTCGGGTTGCCCTGAGGAACGTGACCACGGTACGAACAGGAGGGGAGGGAGGATAGGTACTGGCCAGGTAAGCCAGTGCCGCCATTGCTCCTGACGCAGCATCCACCGATTTGCAGTGGCGTAAACGCGCCGATATTCTACCTAGCGAAGGGTCCGATACCTTTCTCACGATTCCCGAGCAATTCGGTCAGCTTCGAAATGGCTTCAAGCTATCGAGACTACGAAGATTCTATTCGTTTCTGGTAGGATTCTAAGCTCAGAACTTGTATAATAACACGGGAAAAGGCTCTTAACAATCTCTGAGATACATGGTGAAACACCAAGCTTCGAAAATGATTGAAATTACTTAAACTGGAAAGGGATCGAGTAAAATAGAGTACATCTAGGAAAACTAATATGTACCTGCTCGATAATGGGTCAAATTCCCACTATTATCGACCCTAGTTTTTGATCGACCCAAAGTTTCGGAAAATATGCAACACTTTATTCAAGAATCGACGTTTCCAAATAAAGACACGACGAACCCAGGGAAACGTGTATTATCGAATGACTTTCGAACCATAACTTAAATATAAGTCGTAAATAGCTAGTGAAACCAGCATCTTTGCTCCCGTTGCAGCATCCACTGATATCCAGTGGCGTAAATGCACCCATAGTCTACTCCCAATGAAGTTCCTTCGTACAATTTGTATCATCTACTCATCGCGAGTAACGCGATATTAAAAATAATTATTTTACAGATTATCTGTACGCGCAAGAGATTGTTAACGAAAACAAACATTGCTAATGCGTCGTTTAATCGTATAATGTTGTTACAAAAAGAGTTAATGTAGGAATATTTATTTTACTCGCCGTATGCCATTATCATTACATGTGCAGTTGCAGGCTATTTTTATCGTTGGGGTCGATTCTGTCCTCGACCAGATTGTTGTCACGCCGGCGAAATTTTGATTACGCCATTGCAGCAACAGGTTGTCGCCAATGAGAACGCCGTGAATGGGCGCGTTCATCCATTTGATAGTGGCACGACCTGCCACTATGAGAAAACAGGGCAATCCTTTAAATCTACGAATCTGTATGAATCTAATTATGAATTAACAGCTCGCGTGAATAAGCATGCGCTGAACCAGAATTTGCAAACCAGTTGTAGAACAGGACTGTGCAAATTATGCGGACAAAAACGAACGATTTTTCAGTTAATGGATCGATATCAGAAACGTTCGCTACTGCTACCTTATTTTACAAGTAAAATACGAATAAATTAGTCATATTTATGGTCGGAAAGCATGCATCCATTGTGGTTAGGTACACTGATGTGGATACAGTCGTGGGTAAAAGTATTGGCACACCTAGCTTTTGATTATATAATTGCTTATAAACAATCACTGGATCTACAATGTTATAACATCGTGCAAATTATATTTTAGCTAATTACATTAGCAAGAGACAGAAATTGGCACACGTATGAGTAAATAAAGATTTGGCATAGAATGGACTAAACTTTTTACAGTTTCGGGCATGCCAATACTTTTATTGGCGACTGTAAATTCTAATCAAGGAGGAAGAGAACGGTATAGCAAACATTTGTACCAAGCTCCAATCTCGTTTTATCGGGACTTTGATTAATCACAACACGCATGGGAGAGGAACAATAATTAATTTACTATGTTATGAATTAGTGGCGACGAAAGTGTCGCCATAAATTTTGTTCAAATACAGATTATATTTACATACATTTTTTCCAGGGATGTCTGGTGATCTATAACACGGTTATTTCGATGCATCGGGTGACACCTCGATCACGAATTCCTCAGAAAAAATATAAAGTTAAATTATTAGTTACAATCGAAGAAGACCTGAAAACATTTAATAATGAAAATATCAAAACGGAAAGTCCGAAGTGGAACATATCGGATCCACGCAACACCGAAAGTGTTAATTTGATAGCGTTTGCATAAAAAAAGAAATTGCTGAGCGTGTATCTCGGGTCGGTCGAAAGGTGGAAGCACGGTATATGCTTTATAATACGAATCACTGTCAAAGATGTACGTTTTCACCGTGAATTTGCGTTATACTCCGAGAAGAGGACCAGTTGAAAAATCGCCGCGGTAGAATCATCAGCAGAGTATAATGCACTGCACGGATAACAGTTGTCTCTCTCTCTGATGTGAAACAGTCGGTATTGACAGCTCTCATCGCGATCCGGGATAACCTCTCGGCCCATTCGACAACAGTGACAACTCTTGCCACGTACCGAGTCGTATAACTGAAACCGGACTCCGAGAGAATGGCGTGTCTTTCGTTAAATCAGGAAAATGTCCACATAAAAATATCTTCGGCCGACACCGTTGACGGTGTCACTTATTATTGCATCGAGGTTAGGATTGCTTCTATCAAATGGACTGTGAAGCACAGGTGAGCGTTTGAAGCTCGCGTACCGTGACCGTAGTTTGCAGTTTTAATACTTCTTTTATCATAGCTGTCAAACGTCACTTTTCAACATTTTTAGTCGAAATTATTTTTCAAATTTGATCATTTTGTCTCCGTAACATGATATTGAAAATTATATAATTCACATTAACATAATTACTTCCACAAGAAGACTTTTGATTGAAATAAGTATGCATAAAACTATGGTAGAAATAATTTTAAACAGTTTCTGATATTTATTAAACTGTAACGCTTGCTTTTCCGTCAAGGAAATGGTTTAACCGGTGCATCTATTCTATGCATGTAAGCTAGAATATGTTGAATCTGTACAACCTTCCACATTGTAACTTCCTGGAGAAAACTTAATTTACTTGTCTTAACTTTGTCTTCCTTTTAATTTGTTACAGATACAATGATTTTGTGGAACTTCACGATAAGCTTGTCCTGGAGCACTGTGTTGAGAAGGATATATTGCCACCAAAGAAGCTTATCGGTAACAAGTGTGAAGCTTTCGTAGAAAAAAGGAGACAAAGCTTAGAAGTCTATTTGAACGGCGTCTACAACTACTTGAAAAAAGCAATGCCTAGGGAATTGGCAGTGTTTTTGGATTTGCACCTATACGACATATTTTTCCTATTGCAGAGTCTGGCTTTAGAATTTTATACAGAGGGTAGTTGTTTGTTACAGAAGTCCAAGAGTTACACATTTAATCCAGTGCAGGTGATCATAATTCTTAAAGCTTCTTAGCATCTGTCTTTTCGGACATGTCTTCTATATTCTCATTCGTCTGACGACGATGTTTTTTTTTTCAGTTGTACGCTATTAGCGAAAGGTTAAAGCATCCTTGTCCACCGTTAGAAGTCGTCGATCGAAAATACGACTTCAGTCACGTTTTAGATTTCACTTCGCATTTAACCGGTCTCACGATCGAAGGCAGCTTAGAGCCTTATAAGACGAGCAACATTTACTCGTCGACGCTCGCGATCGAATTATCGAGTTTCAAGAACGTTGAAGATTTAACTATCGTACAATATCCGGTGGATAAAATCTATCACATGGGCACTCTTCGCGACACGGTGAAACATTTGACGGTGAACAACACGAAACTGAGAAATATCGTCGAACTGGCAATGTGCGAGGAAGTTCACAAAATGATTGACAACGCCAACGATTCTCACATCTGGATGAAGGTCACTCATTTGGACCTCAGCGACAACCGAATAGAAATTATAGACGTAGCGATCAGATTATTGCCGCACATAGAGTGTCTCAAATTGAATAACAATCTTCTTTCGGAAATATCGAATATCACTTTATTACCGAGACTGTCCCAATTGTACTTGGCGTCGAACAACTTCACAAGTCTGCCTGAAGATTTACACACGAAACTCGGTTACATCGTCTATATCGATTTATCGCAAAATAAGCTAACTTCGTTATCGAGTTTCTCGAAATTGTATTCGTTGGAGGGACTGGACATGAGTTGCAATCGCATCGAAAAGATCGAAGAGGTTAAGAACATAGGGCACCTGCCCTGTTTAGAAAATCTCAGATTAACCGGTAATCCTGTGTCGACGATCGTCGATTACAGAGTGAAAGTGTTAGAACCGTTCGGTAAAAGGGCGGCCGACATTTGCCTGGACAACGAAAAACCTAATCAAAAAGAACTGGACACCGTTTCTGTTCATCAAGCGCTACGGATCGCGAGGGAAGGTAAATCGCCCACGTTTACCGCATCGGATGCACCATTATTCTCCGCGGAAATTCCGAGTATATAGAAAACGTGGAAAGTCTAGTTCCGAAACTGCAGACTTTTCGCGCAAAGAACACTTTGATATTAATTTTTATAATCAACTCGAAGTTTGTTCCGGGAAGAGAACCTTTTTAAACGTATCGTAGATTTTACGAAGAGTCGATAAAGGACCGCGAAGTTACGAAACTATACATTCGAAATATTGCTTTTCCCAGTTGCGTGAGACAGTGTGAGATACATAAAGACAGGCCACCTGAACAGTCATTTTATAGATGAACAAACACACTTGCAATAAATCTTTTTTGTAGGTGGACGTAGTAAAAAAATATAACGATCAATATTTTTTTAATGGAATCAACAACTTTTTATGACAGAATTCGATATATGTAGTAAGGAATTTTTAGCATATTTATTTAGCAACGAAATTAAAGAAATTACTCAGGCTGCTTGCGTTAAGTGCCCTGCCCTGTGTTCCCAGATTCTGCTTCTGAAAACACAAAATCTGTATAAAAATGGAAAAAGTTGATCTCGAAGTGATATTTCGTCCAAAACAATACACACAAGCGAAGCAAATGTACGCGAATAGGTTCCTTCGCGCGTAAAATTGAATTTCCTATTTAAATCGGCGTAAATTGACGTGACTCTCGCCTATGATTTTTTTATATTGTACTTATTGCTGATTAAACGCGTCCATACTTTTGACAGAATGATATGCAATCAGTATAACGTATACCAAAACAGTAAGCGAGTAGTTTAAGATCTAGATTTGTCCATTGTATTTATGTAGTTGAATCCGGGTATTAAAACAATTTAGTACATTCAGGGTAGTTACGAAAATTATCATTCTCTCTGTTTGAGGATAACGTGCCACCTATTTGTATAAAACGAACGAATTTGTAAGATTTTTCTGTGTACATAATTCCTTTTAAATTCTATATTACACGTTACCGTCATATATTTTTTATACTCAAAATAATTGTAAAGTGGAATAATCGGATCGGTTGAATATATTTATTTGTAATTTTAGGACAGTCTATTCTAGGTCGTATAGTTGCAACGATTCTCAAATTTCGATGCAATGCCCGTTAATTATATTCGTAATATTTAATCGAAATTTCACGTTACACAAAGTGCTCACAGCATCTTTGTACGATTTACTTTGAGAACGACTCTTTCGAAGGATGCTGTTTTAAACGAAACTTATTATCGTGCATTTAAAAATGCGTATCGCATACGATTTAATTAAATAAATACGTACGAATCGTAGGTTTCTCAACGATGCAATAAAAATGTTGCTAATGAACGCGACTTTAGTACATTTTTATTTGTTGCGATCACTCGGATGCCGATTATTATTATCTGTTGTTTATTGTATAAATCTTTAAAGCGTTGTTGTACGAAATTTATTTCGAAAAATGTAATCACGTTCGGTGTATCAATTTTACAATGATTTCGCACCAACCAACTATATGTGTATATAAAATGATAGAATATTTTGTTAATAAACAATCATAAATCAATAAACTGTGATAAAATAAAGAAATGTGTGGGACATTTTTAAACCTGGAAAACTGTCGTGGCGAAAAAATAAACTGATCAACGCTACTTCCCTTACCATAAATTATATAGTGTTCCCTTATTTAAACTTTATCATAGCTAATGGAACAATGTATTTTCTTGTGATATGCCCCTGTTTGGATCCTCAAACCGTAATTTGAGGAACATCGTGCTAGACGATGATAGTAGAATTAGCATTATCCAGAATAGCCTCGAAAATGGCCAATTTATTGGCACTAGCTTCGCTCCAAGACATTCAACGTTAGATCATAAATCTACATATTTGAAGGAATTGCAGGCTACGTAGTTGGGAACTTGTATGATTGGAAGTTGATGAATAGTCTTCTAGTGCCAAGAACGCGAGATATAGTCACGAATTTAACGAAATGTTCCATTCTGTCGAGTAAAAATATAGACATTTTACCTCTGAATTTTTCGTAAATATGTGCATTCGAAATATTAACAAAGTTACAACGTAGAAAATGACCTGGAATGAAATTATATTTTAGAAAATAGTATATAATAATTATCACTCTGCATCTTGCACGATGTTCCCACAATAAAATTGCAAAAAATCCATATAACTTTATTTAACGAAAATCGATCTTTAAGGCCTGCAATTTACATGGTACTTATATGTAGTATAATGTTTGGACGGCACAGCACACGAGGCGGGAAAGCACAGAAACGAATAAAATGTTTTTAAAGTTTATTTTTATTTAAACTTCCACATTGTTCGCATTACCTTTTAAACATTATACGTATATCTTCGACAATAGTAAAATATTCATAAATAATAATAATAATCGTTACAATGCTTACATACTCTAAGCATTCTCGTGTTATAGTCTTTTAATGTAGTACACCTAAAAACTAACACATACATAAGTTATTGTTTAAAGATCGCTTTACGTTCGCGTTTAATCGTTCGATAGAATTTTGTGCACAAGCACGCGATGTGTTAATTACTTTTGCGTGTGTCTGTTATTATTTATTTATTTATTTATTTTTTTTTTTCATTTTCTTCTCTTTGTGCTTCTCACGAAACGATATTTAAAGATACACTTTCAAAGGCAATGCGTGTTTCTGAAAAAATATTTGTGTTACTTCTAAAAAGGAAGTATCAAAGCGTCGTAAAAGCTGGTCGTACCAAAAGGAAAAATAATTTATCAAACATCTGTTTTTCAACTACTCGCACGACGTACAGGCGCCGTTCAAGACCTTAACGATCACAATTATTTATCTATTTTCCGTCGACTGTAGATCGTAACAGGGCGGTCTTTCAAACCGATTCCGCATTTTGATTCGCTGCTGGTCGAGATTCGATCGATTAACGACAACCATGAAAACACGTGTACTTCGAAGAACCGTCGAAGCGACAAAGCTGATCGAGAAAAAAAAGAAACACTGCGTATATCAAACACACACCTATACGTTTAAAGTTTTATACAAAATTAGGCGTTTTGTCGCGTGGTTGTCGAACACCGTTTACCGCGACGTCCTACGGACTCCTATACTTTATTTTTGTTTTCCGTCCATCGAACAAACGATTCGTTTGAAATTTGATTATCCTTCGTGACGCTTTGGCGCGACGCCAATCGAAATCAACTCCCCCTCCAGCTTAAACATTTCGCCGGAAGGAAACCGACCGACGCGATCTTTCACCTTTCGAGACGAATACAAAATGGCCAGCGAATCCTTTCGATTCGCGATAACGGACGCTAGATTCACGGGCATTGATGTTCCACGTAAATAGCTATTCGCGAGTTCTGTCGCGTTAAATACGGAATCTGACCGGGAATACGCGAATCTAGCGTTAATTACTCGCGAGGGTGTCTGTTGGAGTTAATTTCGCGAGCGTCGACGGTCTCCAAAATCGTTCTCATCTGGCAAAGGACTCGGGGAGGATGAGTTTTCGCGGAAGGGACGTTGATAAAAATCGGATACCACGAGTGAAAAGATTTGGAAGAGAACAAGAAAATCGTTGAAGGAAAAGAGAAGAAAAAAAAAAGGTGAACTTACGGGAATCGACGTCAGGGACAGGAAGGAGCGATCCGACGGACGCACGAATAATGGAATTTCAGGGAAGATATCGAGGATTGGTATCGTGCGTACGTCCAGGTAAATTGTGCTTCTTTTTTTTTTCTTTTACTGGTGCGCGATCGGGATGAGTTTCTCGCCCTGGCCGATCGCCGGAAGTGGAGCCTCGACGGTCAGCACGCCGTCCTTGCTCAGCGAGGACTTGATGGTCTCTGGGTTGGTTCCTTTCGGCAACAAGAACTCACGATTGTACTCCCTGTACACCGATTTGCTCTCCGTTTTTTCCTCGTGCTTCGCGTGGACCTGGACAAACCAACAGAAAACCGTTTTAGATTCACGGTTACCTCGACCAAAGCTTCGGGATGGGCATAAATTACTATCTGAGTTACAAGATCGAATAGAAGCTCGTTTGAATAAATGTTTAATCGAATAAAATTGTTACGAATAACCTGAAAGTCCAATTCGTAATTTTTAGGTTCCAAAGGGGTCCTGAATCTGTATAGTACGAATTGAAAAGATAATCGATTGACGATTTAACTAGTTTTCCAGGGAAATTCAGCGATTTTCGTGAGCGTATATGCCAAGACAAGGCCGCGGATTTAGGTCGTCGTTTCGATTAAGTGTCCGTATTAATAAATCAGCTGGGACATGCTCGTTTCTGCGATCACGCGAACCGAGTGCTGAAAAGTCGATCGAGTCCAGCCCGTGGTCAAGCCGTACGATAACCAACGGTGGTATTGGTTTCAGCAACGATGTTCCATTCGAACAGTAGCCATAATTTTATTTGGAAACTGAATCAGAGACCTTTCGAGTCGTGAATATTTACGAACACCGATAAGTCGAAACGGTTGCAAAATATATTGCAGTGAAAACACCGTCCTATCTTTACGATAAAACGTCGAATCGGTAACGCTGACGTCTCGTTCTAAAATAAATATCGTATCAATTATAATAATGACGCATCTTCATTATGTAAAACGTGATACGTGATAGCAGAAATAAAATACGGTCAGCACCGTTGCTAATAAATATATTAGAGGTAATAAGGCAAAATATTAAGTACGTATCTAGATCGTACACCGTATCGAGTCGATTAATGGCCACGTCTGCGCGGAACTTAATGTTTTATTGATGACACAGATCTAGAACGATATAAAACACGGAAAACGAAAGTCATTGCGCGAAGAAGAGACCATAAAGTAGCCGTACTAGAAATAGGAAGACGACTCTTGACCTAATTCTCTGTTCGATGAAAAGGATCGAATGCTCGGAGTTGATAGAGTCGTATTCTAGCTTTTACTCGTTTTTATAGATATCATTTACCAACAAAAGAACGAGGGTGGAATTCCAATGTGCATTTGCACGCATTAACCGAGTTTTGAAAGTATCAAATAAGTGGATACATATATGATACGAGATCCAAGATAATTATCTAATTTACTTATGCGAGCTGCGGTCGCTACTTGAGATCTTCAAAGGTAATCGATACGACTTCTATTATTAATCATTTACTATTAATACTCCGCGTAAAGATGTCGGTCGACCTTGTTAACGTTAGATCGGTATCGTTGAAAAATTATATTCCGTTGTAATTTTGTTTGCAAACTTCGGGGTCTACGTTTATATTATTAGCAATACAAGTTGCATTTGTGAGGAGTACGATTTCGATGGAGTACCCCTGGCAATAAGGGTGACCGCGAAGGGGTGATAGCGACTGTATCTCGTAAAGTGACGCAAACATTCTAGGAAAGTAGGTTATGGGAACCAGCGATAAAGTCGGAACACGACAGTGTTTTACGAGTCTCGTTACGTGGAACTGCTATCAGTTGGGGTTGGAGACGAACGGGAAGGAGGGTGAAATAATAATACGACGAAAATGACGACGGAAGGGCGCCACGGATTCGAGGGAATCGATTCCCGAAAATTGCACTTCTTCCCAGTTTGTTGTTCGACGTTCCCATTCGCCCCTTCCCCTCTTCCATGGCTGATTTTAATTTCGGAAAAACAACGTCGATAGACTCGACGATTCCTTACGAAAACTTTCGTAGAAAGAATCTACTTTTCAACTTTCATTTGACAACAGAAATTAACTTTTATCAGGTTTAAACCGATATAATTTATCTACGAAGAAATGGACTCGTCGCGACGAAAGTGATCGATGAAATGGATGGATGGATCAGATGGATCAGAAGAGTACTCTTGCTCGAGCAATTAGCGATCCAACCTTCGTTAATTATCGGTACAGACTCTCTGCTCGCGTGTCAATCTCGAGACACGAGTAGTTTTGAAACAACGCTATCGTTGAAATTAGCTTGCCACCTGTTACGATACATCGACTACAATATTGCCAAATGTTTGCAACTATGACGACCGCCAACGTTTCATCATCCCTCTGGGGACCGAGCCAACGATCCTCCAAAGCGTAGACGATACTCGATACACGATACGCGAATAAATTTTCGAAATAATTCCCACATTATTCTTATCTCTCGCTCGAAGCTTCGAGAATTCCAAATAAACGTGGTTTGATTCAACAATTGGACAAAGATGCACAAAGCAGTTACAAAAGTACTGTTCCAAGTTTGTTCCAGTTTCGAAAGAAACGAAACCCAATTAAAGAACAATTGGACGAGAACGAAGCCACGTCGTTCGTGCCAAAAGAATACCGTTCGAAAAATGGTAATTAAATTCCCGTCAAAAGCCAGGCCAGTTCCAGCCAAATTGTCGATAATTATCACCGATTTGCGTATCGTCGAGCGATCGTCCGACGTTGTTTCGAGTTCCTGGAACACCGAGGGTTCGCGTGATCCGTCCCCCGACTCCGTTGCCGTTCGTTCTGCGTCGTGGAACACTTTTTAGATACTATCGACGAGTCCGAGGGGCCCCGGCTCGAATATACATGAGCTCCGCCATGTTGGAACACGCCGAAGCTGCTTTGGAATCGTTGCACGAGTCGAAAAAAATAATCGAAGCGAGTGTATATTTGCTCGAGCACGCTCGGTATCGAAATTTGCGAACGTCGATTTGCAAAATCGGGCAGCGGCTAGCCAGGCTTAGGCGACCAGACGTATTAAAAATAGATATTGCATCAGCCGTAGCCGGCTAGCGTCGAGTAGCCATTCGATGGCATGCAAATAGTAACGCGGCAGGTAGTTTCTTACGGGATTTCGTATAAATTGAATCTCGTTACCGGGACGGTTGCGTCACGGCGATGCAGAGAGCCTGTGATCGTCGACTGGTGTCATCGACGTATTTAGAAACCGTATGGCCAAACAACTTCGAACAGCCTCGAGTATCGACTATCAGCTCGACCATCTACGCTCCTTCTCGCGATAACGGAAGTTGCGACCGCGGGTACGCAATAACGCTGCCCGTATTGGAACCTCACGCCGAGTTACACTCACGATTAAATTATATTAGATTCCATTAAATATGTTTGGACTTCGTTGGCCTTCGATGGGCACGCGGCCATAATCGCTGTCGTCGATATGTCAATGACTGTCGCGTTCAAAACCCTTCCGGATGGTTTCCAATCGTGCTACATGCATCCCTGCAATTCCTCGAGAGTTTGTATCAACCGCCTGCCTGGCATTCGTTCGTCTGTTTTATAATTGCTCGGCATAATTCGCGTGCTGTGACCGATAGTGGCTCCAAGAAACAAACGTTCAACCCTTCCTTCGAAAACTGTACGACTTTGCAAGTTTGATTCGCGAAGGTGCAAAAGTTTGCGATCACGGATATTGTTCTAGGAGCAATTTAAACGTTTTCAGCATTGCGTAACGCGCGGGGCACTCGATTCGTAACACGTTCCGCGATTTTTCGCAAGGTTAAGGCCAGATTATTTGGTTCGTTGGCAAGCGGACGACGCCGCGGACAGATCGGTCGAACTGGTCCAAGAACGAGAGCACCGCGACGCGTCGACACCGAAGCGCCGAGGACACCGAAACGCAGCTCATTAGCGTCGTTTGCGTAACGCAATTAGCGCGATCGGCCTCGCCCACCCCTCGAACTAGGCTTTTCGCGCGTTCATCTGGGCGCGGTCGAACCGTATCCTGCACCTGCATTTTTTCACGACTAACTTATTTCGTCACGCTTCGCGAATCCTCCGAGACGCACAAGTATCCCTCCTTGGTTACGAATCTATTTCCAGAGACCCGTTTTAACAAGCACCGGTTCTTGACCTCTTACAAAAATATTTCAACATTAGGGGAGGACTTTATGTTTCCGGAAGTTGGTTTCAGAGAGGAAAAACGAAGAAGAATTTTGAATGGAATTCAAATATAACGAGGTGAAGTAGAATACAATGAGCCACCAGGCATTTAATGGGGAACGTTCGTTCCATTGTCACGCTCCTCTGTTTAGAGGATCCCCGGACGAATAACTGTCCAGAAAATTTTGCATGCCACTGGATCCAAACGTAACGATCGATGTCAATTCGTATTGTCAGTAGTTTGAAATAGCACGGACGAGGTCTGCGAGCTAAGCGGCCGTGTCTCGTGAATGGGAAATGCGTCCCCTGCAAAGAAGAACTATTTCTACTCGAATAAAATATGCCCAACTCTGGTATAAAATAAAACGTCGAGAGAGTTTCAAGTTTGAGAAACACTGGTGGGAAGGTGTATCGAAAAATCGTGATTTTTGACGAGCGGAGAACAGGTTGATGGTAAAGCGACCGTAGAATCGCGGTTTTCACGCGACAATAAGACCCCAGAGGGAGAGAGGCTGCGGTCTGCGGATGGGAGAGACTTTTTCGTCTCATCCTCGAGAAGAGGACGAGGAAGATTGCGTTACGGTCGAGAGGCAGGAAGAAAAAGGCGCGAGATTCACGTGCAACGCCGCGAAATGCAGGATATATGCGTGTAAATGGAACGTATTGTAGCCGATAATGCGGTTTCGCAAACGTCTCTCCCGAGAGAGTATCGCGCTCCGCTTGGGAACACGAGCCGTACGGAATAAGCGCGAAAGCGCGATCTCGGCGTCTCGACGGCGATTAACGAGTTCACGCGGAAAGAGAGCATTAAAATAATCCCCTGGATAAATAGTTCCTGTCCCGTGATCGCGTTTGTATAAAATTCTCGGGTTCTCCTCGAGTGTTTCGAGAAATAGAGAGCCGTGCAAACAAAAATTTCTTACGATTGGTATTTATTTTCGACGCCCCCAAGAGGGTTGATCGTTTACACTCCGCCATAACAAGTTTCGTTTATAATACAAAGCCACGTCGCAAAAATTACGATTGATAAAGACTCTGGGAGTGGAAGAGGGTTAAATTCCGAAGGGATGGGAGACCCTTGCGTCGCAGAGGGGTTAACACGGCGGATTCGAGTCGTTCCGGACAGTTACGAGGTCTCGAGAGCAGCAACAGCCGCGTATCTTTTGTTCCCCGGCGAGTACCATCCGTGCGAATCGATACCTCGAGGAGACGAAGAGAGAGCAACGGTGGATTTCTTCGACGCGGAGCGTATTCCGTCTGGTTCAGGGCGGTCGAGGAAACGCGCTGGGTCTCTCCTCCGGGGTGGCGTGCCCGGGATATCGATCGGGCTTTGCCCGTAAAAGACCAAGAGCAAAGCGAGCGAGCAAGCACGAGCAACCGGAGCGCCACAGGTAACCCTAGACAGAGGGAAACACACGGAGGGAAATGGCAGCCCGAAGGGAGCCACCGATGGACGAGCTCTGACACGCTGCTGCCGGTAACTCAACTCTGACTAGAATCTAAGCTTTCCATCTGGCTATCGTCTTACCAGGCCGCGAGGATTACGCAAAACTGTGGAACCGGCTCTAACGACATCCGATCATCGAATTCAGAGGCGTCCAGCATCTCCTGGAAGCTTCCGTCCTTGGCCTAGGGCACTGATTCTCAACCATCTTAACGTTAGACTAGTGTTCGTTGTTCCAAAGGAACGTTTTTATATTATAGCGATCATCGATGTTTCCCAGAGCCTAAATATAGTCATTAAATTGTCGCGTTACCGCCTCTGCTGCTTTCCGCGGTCGTAAAACAAACTCGTCGAATCGTCCGGAGCTTTCGAAAGTCAATTAAAGCGTAACGTGTAACGCGAGACTCCTTTCCGGACCGCCTAATGGCGTACTCGCCTTGACCGAAAAAGGAAAGCCCGCGCTTTCATAACAGCCTCATCCGCGACCCAAATTTTGCCGCCAAACGGAGGAACCGTAAAAGACCGGCGTTTCTCTTTTCGTCAAAGAGTTCGTTTCGCGTAAATAAATGAAAGAAACATCTCGTATTGAACTCTAACAGCGTGCGATCCGCTCGTATCAAATAACGAGCCTCGAGAGAGGCTTTATCGTTCGATGAATAACAATACAAGAGCCGGTGTTCGAGTGGCAAACACATCTGTAGCCGTCAAATAGCCATAAGTGCATAGATCAAACCGTGCTCGATGGCCATTAAAACTCATTCGTTTCTCAAGGGCGACCCGGTTGCCCCAAACGGGCAAACGTGCGAACGTTTCGCAACCGCGTGCCCTCGAACCGGCTGCTCGTTTGAATAAAACCACCGAACGAAACCGGTCCCTGCTCCTATTTATCCGTTCGAGTACTTTATCGAGCAACCATGACGTCACCGAACCCGCGGCTAACTCGCACAATGTGCCGGAGATAGCGTTCCCCGGTCTGTTGCTCATCCTTCGGAACGCGTCCTTGAAGCAACCCTTTAAGGACCGCCGATATTACGAGCAACCGTCCGACCTGAATTCTCCGAGGACCTTGACCACGATCGAAGCGCACGCGGACAACCTGTTTCGAGCGACCGTTCTTTAAAATTCCGCTCGCGCGGGGGACCGGTTACGGAAGATCTCGCCATTTTGCCAACGAACAGGGTAAACGTACCTGTCGTCGAGGAATGTTTCGCTTCGACAAAGAACAATGGTAGAAAATAGCCGAAATCTGGGTTCACCTAAAATGTTGATAGAGATTCTGAATGTTCTAAGATTTAAAATCACAATTTCATATCCCGCAAAAAGAGATACGAAACACGATCTTGCATCGACGTGGAAGCGCGAAGGAACAAATAAAAGTCTCTTAACCGCATTGTTTGGCGATTCGAGCGGTAAAAAAAAGCAACGAAGGTTTATCGGAGACAGACAGGTCTCGTTTAGCGGGTAAATCGGAATAAAGCAGTCGCTGTTCGTGGGTGTACAGGGATCCGTTGCTTTGATCTTTCTTCCATTACGCTGCGCAGACGCGGTGCAACGACCCTGTCCTACGGATTTTTCTAACGCGATCGTTGAAAGCTTCGGCGGCTAGTTTCCCTGTTTCAGCGAGTCTTTCATCCCATCTGCGTTCTTCCGTCAGGTTCCTCTCTCGATGGAGATCTCTGACGCCTCTCGGTACCGGAGGATCAAAGCGCGTCGCGCGATTTCCAAAAATAAACGCGAAACGAGAGAAGTCGTATCGCGAGAATCGTAAGGAATCCCAGCATTCCTAGTTGCCGCGTACGGAGGATCCACAATGGCCGACACATTATTCTAAGCCGTCGCGGTATGACGAGCGCCATGAACTTATTTTCGTCGCTGGTTATTTCCGTCGACGGGTCGACGGGAACGCCTGGCCAGAGAAGTAACATGAAAGCGCGCACGCACGCTTGGAGAAAATTCTGCTACCGACTTCCTGCGCGAATTTTCTCGGCCGTGGACCAACGATAAACTTCCTCCCTTTATCGGTATTACAAATTCGAGCAAATTTAAACAGTACAGATGCGGGAAATGTAATTAAATCGTGCGTCGAAGGATCAGTTCGATCCGTGCCCGAGTAGCCAGGCTACCCGGTTAGGATTGAAAGACAATTTGGATCCTCGAGGTTGGTACACCCGGGGAGTCCCAACGGTGCAATTTGCAGTACGCTTAATTACGAAGACGCGAGACGCTTTTAAGTAACGAGAATTACACCAAGTTACACCGCTTCGGCCGGTGGAGCCGACTTCCTGCCGGGAAGTGACGTAACAAGAGCAATTAGAATGTTCCACATCGTTCGTGGAGTGCTCAGAGTGCCGGCAAACCGGCAGAAAGTTCTGAACCGCTGCTTCCTGTTCGCCGTTCCTCGCGCGACATACAAGGGATACTCTGCATCCTCGAAACAGATGTTAACGAACAAGCGCCGATACGTTCTTCGAAACGAAGAGTAGCCGTGTCTCTTGTCAACGATAGGACCAGCGAGCAAAATAAAACGCCGGGGACCGTAGAGAAATGTATTTTCGTGTATCGAACGCGTACACGAAAGAATGTTATAAGTTATGAATGCAAGGCACGGGGCAAAGATTGTTTTTGGTCGTGTTCCAAGTTACTGAAGAGGTCGATAGGATCATTTAACATATTGACACGTACATATGTTCCGACGATTAATTCATCCATGTTTGCTATGTAGCGCACCATGCATGCTGTCTCGGATTTCACGATACGGTACCAGAATATCTGGGCACGTCGTTTGACATAGCATTGTCACGCGTACGAACGAAACGTGAAACGTCTATTTTGTTCCCCGATGTCTCCTTTAAAAATAACTGAAATTTTAAAGGCGAGCTTTATCGTTTGAAATCGAAACTTTCGGAGATACATGTCGTTCGATTTGGGTTGGACTTTCGGGCAAGTTACTCTCTCCGAGACAATGACCAAGGTCGACGATTGTGCAAAGAAACGTCCGAAAAGCCGAAACTGACGATGGGACGTTAACGCGAACCGCGGCGCCGATTGCGTAAAAAGGTGGACCAGATTCGCGTGCTGCCAAGTTGTGCAACGAATATTCTCGACAGCGAAATATACGCCCGATGAGTCAGGCTCGATAATTTCACGTTTTGTCACGGGCGAAGAAGAAAGTCGCCAATTGTCTTCTCGTCCCGATTAAACGACGCACGGTGGAGCATTCGCGTCCTTAAAAATTCTAGACCTTAGCCCTACGACCTCCTGATCCGAAGATCAAGATCTCTCTATTCACCGCTACCAGAAAAGGTTATTAGACCCGGAATAACTAGCCTTAGTTATCGAAGTCATAAAACGAACGGGTCTTCGCGAGACCTGGTTGACCTCAACGTGCAATGGCTATTAGGATTTTTCCTCTACGATCTTTTTTACCGATACAGTCTATAGATCGCTTCCCTCGTACAGAGAATGCAGCCATTTTGAGCCTAGCTGTTTCCAGATTCTTCGTTCAAGTTTGTTTGTAAAATGCTGTATTATACACGAAGAAGTGTTGCATCTACCGTGTGCAATATAAACGTCGGTCTCTTTGATGGTCTATTATTCGAACAGAATTTAGCCTATTTCTAAGGCACTTAGTCATGGGCCTAGATTGAACGCGTTCGATGGAAAGATCTGGTTTAACGCGGGGACTATCATTCTTGGCAACGAGTTCTCACGCACGGAAATAACACGGTGCCGCGAATTCTTCCAATAAATTCACAGTCCGTTCGAGTCTTCGGGACGTTGAAAACTTGGTTTAATTTAGGCTACGAGAAATTTCTATGGAACTATTTGGAACCGTTTCTTATTCAATTTTTATACTATTTAATTCGTCAGAGCTGGATCTTCAGGCCTGCTAGGATCGACTAGTTTCCCTTCTAGTAAAATGTAGAGGAACGGAAAAGTGAGATACGAGGAACTCACCAGCAGCTTGTTGTCCACAGTTTTGACGACGATCTCTTCCGGTGTGTACTGGGAGACGTCGAATCGAAGCTTCAGCATCTTGTTGTCGCCTTCATCTTGAATGAGGGGGCTGTTGAGGCCATCCAGCCAGGCGGAATCGTGCTGCGGGCTCAGAGAACTGCTGTTCTGGGTGCTCTGCGTGGTGGTGCTGAAAGGACAACGATCAACGATTATCGACCGATCCATCGATCCCGGAACACACTTTGCGTGAACGAATGCGTTCGAACGATGAACGAGAAAAAGACAAAGACGAATGTGCATATCGGCGACGATGACTGCGTGTGGATCGGGAAACAATACAAATGAGAAAAGAAGCGTCTCGACAAAGACTCGTTTCGCCTACGGGGTGACCTGGGTGCACGGTTCGAGAGAGGCCTCACCTATCGGATGATGATGCAACAGACAAGGAACGCAACATAGACAGAAACTGGTCACGGATGGAGGGACTAAAGTCGTGCGCATCTACTTAACGGGTAAACTCTACCGGTGCTTGTGCATTTGTTAGCTTAAATGCTAGCGTGCCGTGTTTATGGTTTTTCGCTCCGACGTTCGCTCGCAAAAACGATACTGCAAACCAAGCGTCGCTAGCTATGGGGTTAATTGCTGTCGGCGAACATCGTGAAACAACATACATACTAATATATTCCCATTACCTTTTACGGAGCGCTTATTCGTGTCGTGTCTTGCGGTTAGCGGGTGAGAGAGAAATAGGTAGGAAGTGACGAGAGTTACCGTCTTGGCATGAACGTTTCGCGCGCGTTACTCGTCGCCGGATACCTTCGAGGATTCGCTTTGTTCGTTTCAGGCGACAAATATTCCCGTGAGATCTCCGGCGACGTTAACGCGCGGTGTTTTACGAAATATGTATGCAAAGTGTGAGAGATACGATGGGGGTGGACGGGATCTCGAGATTCCGACTTTCATTCGATCTGTTTTGGCTGGAAATTCGACTTAATTTCTACGTTCGAGTAAAGTTAGAAACTTAGAGAATCCAGGCGTCAAGTTCGAGTGATCGAACGTTGCAAAGTTTCGGAGTTTGGAGTGCCCGACCACCGCTAGAAAACAAAATGGGTGTCTCTATCGAGGTTCTAGCTAAACGAAGGTTTCCCGAACATAGTTGTCCGGGCACTGAGAGGGTTTCTGTGGGTGTTTTTTGTACAGTGGCATCACCTTTTGAAGCTGTCGAATGCGGACCGCTTTGGCGGTGCTGCAGAGTTAACCTTGTCCCAACCTGCGGTCTTCGAGGTCGTCGACGTACTGTGTTCGGTGCTGCTCGATTGATGCCGACTTCAAGTTAGTCACCAACGTGCCAATGCAGAGAGCCAATCAGAAGGCGGGACAGAAGTCGAGCAGGGGGGAACAGGGGTCATTATTATTTTTGTTAACTTCGGTGGTTAGTTTCTTTCGTGCCGCTTCCGCTTCCGTCAGCGGCCGTGTTAAGTCGCTAACACTCTTTCGGAAAATTTCTAACGTTTCTTGGCGACAAACCGACCGGCCAAACGACTGTTCGCCTCTGGAAACAAGAAGTCGAATTTGTCGAAAAGATACCAAACGAACGAGTGTGTACGGGACGTCTTGAAACAGGGGCTCGAAAACTGTTATAGAAACTTTAATTTCAGCATCCTGTACGAGTTTGTCGCCAAGAAACTTAGCATACAAGAGGTGTTCCAAAGAAGGTCCATTCCCAGGATAAAGTTAAAGAGCTTTCTCCGTATGTACATGTAAGAGAGGCATAAAAGTAGCACCGGAAGTTACATCCCCGCCAGTTACTCGGAAAATTGTTTGAAGTATCTGTCAGAATACATATGGCACTCTTATTTAGAACATCTGTACTTTTATTTGCTCGTTGAATCACGGGGCGACGTAAGACTACAAACTTTTTCTACCACGAATTTAACAGCGAGTTTCACCGAGCTCAATGTCTGGGTATACGTTATGGAAAGCTAGAAAATAAATTCCGTAGCGTTACGTCGCTCGGTAATTCGGTAATTAAGTAGGCTAAAACCAAGTGTCCGTATCATGCCAATCAGCAGCAAGAATTACTTTGGTAAGCCAACAACCGAAAGTCGTTCTTGAAAACGCAAACAAAATCCGGTTAAAAAACTGTACGCTGCCGTTGAGAAAACCAAATTAACGCGTTCGTCTTATTAGAGAATCGTATTCGAATTTACAGAGCTTGCGAATGCAGGGAACAGACATAAAAATACCGTTTATTAATTAAAGCGCGACGTATAGTAGAACAATACGAAACATTTACATCCGAGATAGGGGAATCCATTTCTGATTGCTTCGTCCAATCTCGGAGTGGTTCGTTTGTCGATCGATGCTGTGCTAATTACCCCGGTTTAATCGATATTGTAGCGATCCTCGTCTCGTCGCGAACCAATTTATCACCAATGCGACCCGACACCGTCCTCGTTATTTATAGCGACTAAATGTCTGCACGGTGCAAGTTTCATAAAACCGATAACCGGAAGTCACGGCTCTTCTTCGAGGAGGTCACAGACCCGGAGGATTCTAAAATAGAGCGCACCCGGCTGCGACGTCGCATCAGGCTCGAGATTATCCCTCCGGACTCGTTATATCCTTGCGTATAAGCCACGCGTGTCGTATGTTTTACGAAACTTGGTAATTTTCTATCGTCAAAATCAATCCCAATACTAATAATTATTTATCGTTAAATCGATCGTATTGTATATTCCTTCGGAGAATGACTCGAATACCAAGTAAAAGCAAGCACTAAAATTTATTTATTAACGAACCGAGCAATAAACTAGAGCGTTTTTTTAGAGGAATACCAAGAAGAAAATGAAATACATCAGTGATCGAAACAGAAATACGTGAAGTAAGATATTAATATCCAGGAAAAATATTTCGCCGAACGATGTTACGCTATGCAACTCGTTTCATCCCGTTGGGAGTCGTAAAAGGAAAATGAGATACGTTGGGTTGCGAGTCGACGATCGAAAAAGAGAACAATAATCCTATGTGTGTTGTATGCTCTAAATAGAGTGCACGGTTATTAGTTTCGTTGAGGAAGAAATTAGTTCTCCGCGACGACAAAAAAGGGAGGCAACGATGGCGGATCCGGGACAGGATGCGAGGCTGGTACCGCATTCTTCGATCGTCTAGTTTAATATTTCCAAGCATATAAGACGATAAACTGTTCCCGTTCCTGTTTAGATTCCACGCTTCGATCGCTTTGGTTTATTATTGACAAGAAGCAGAATATTCTAAAGAAGACTCTAAGTGTATATACGCTGGCAGTAGACGCGTTAATAAATATCTAAGCGGACCTAGATGCGACAGACTATTATTATTATTTCTATTCACACAACGAGTTCCAGAATCGGCGAATCAACCTGTCCACCAAGATGGAACTTCCTTAAAATTGATAAATCTAGAGCTCGAAATTGAAACGAGAAGAATCTTGTAGCAAAGGGTTGAAAATGAGGGTGAGTTCGCAAACATCCGTTTAACGTAACAGAAGGGGCGAACGAGAAGCCAGGCGGTTGGTCGGCGAAAAGAGGAACCAAAGAGAGGAGAAATTAAAAGAGGCTCTCTTCTCTTTAGGAGGCGCCTTTCACACGGAACAAAAGCCGAGCCATATCGGAGGAGATCGCGAGACGTCTGTCAAAATGTCTTTCAGAGTGAAACGCGCAGGAAGCGTCGTGGGAGAGAGGCATAGAAACGCGGCAGACAACAATTATCCTCGGCAGGAGAAAGGTCCTATTCGCGTCTCGATGCCAGAAGAGGTCAACCATGCCGAGCAGGATCTCTCCTCCGTGAATCGTCGTGCTGGAAAGGCCACGGCGATACGTCACCGGGCTTTAGACGCGCGTTTCTATCGAGCTGTGTTCCTCTCCGTGACCGGGTTACAAAAGGTTTTACGCGTCGAGCACTAGTCGAGATGGAAATCTCGTCGATTAAGAGGATATAACCTACTTCGGGGACTTTCAGCTTCGTGGTTCCATTTAAATTTTGAACGCCAACCTCGCTACAATGGCCCGCCGTTGCTACGCTTATACGCTTTCTACGGTTTAACCAAGACGAAGACACTCGCCTACGCGTTTGCATTCGAGCAGTTTACGGAGAGAGGACGGGGAAATCGATTTTTAATCGAGATTAAGCAAACATCGTGCACCTAGCGAAACTTTCATTGAACGGAGCTCCGTTTTCGAGTTGCGTATCGTGTAACAGGGCTCGTAGTCTCGCCGCGAGAACAAAGATAGGACGAAGGACATCCAATTTATCTCTGGCAAGGTTTCAAGGAACAGTTTATAAGTTTCGCGGTATGGAATGTAAATCGACGCGTACTTGGCCCAGAAAGCCGGCTCGGAAAGAAATCAATGACTGGCGCGATATAACGCCCGGCAGTCGAGTGACTGACGATAGACCTGCCCCTCGATTAGCCACGCAGCGAACGAGCAGTGTGCAAATTTGTCGGTAAACTTTCGACTAATGCTCGGAAAGCCGATATCCTCGGCAGTCGAGCCACGTAATGGCAATTTTTCCATCAAACATCCACCGTTCGCCGATCATCATTCGAAACAGTCCATTTGTCGTCAAATTGATCCCGGAAATGATACATTAAGTTTTTATGAAACCTAAAACCAGCTTCGTCCGAGGTGCTCGCGAACGAATTTTCGTTCTAACAAGACACCGCGGATAGTTCAAACAGTTCGAATCGAAAGAATATAATAAAAATCTTTGATTCTCATCTTTCAGACAATAATTGCTAGTAATCGTATTTTCTCGTTAGGAGCTGCGAACTGTTAACGGCAGTCAATCGCCTAATTCAATTACAAGGAGCAGGTCAAGCGCTGAAGCAACAGCTTACTCCGTGTCTAGACGAGCTAGTTATATCTACGGACGATCCAAGAGTCGAATATTCTTTTCCCATTTTCCAAGAGCGCAAAGACACAGCCTGAATGGAAACTTTCGCAGTGATTCGTGCTATTAATTAAAAAGGCATTAGACACCGAGGTGGGCTGCTCGAAATGGTACCCTGTCTATTAATCTCTGGTAGGAAGGTGCACGGTGCTTCGATGCACACCGAGTGTGAAACGGTGCGCTAATCGCCTCGAAACACGCCATACAGGTTTGATCGTAAGTGGACGTAAATCTCGGCCGCGGGACTGCTCGACTATAAAGTTTCGAGCATCAATTCGGCATGCTCGTACAGAGCGTAACGTGTTACACGCGACTCCGGTAGATTAATTTCCTGCAACCAGTCGCGCGAAACGAGCGTCTTCCTATCGCTTCCGAGGATCTCGATCGAACATCGTCCGTTTCCATGAAACCCATTGCGTTCGATTAATTACAAGGGTCACCGCTATAAATACGCGATCGCGACACCTTCGCGGAAAAATGCACACGCGATGTTTTGGCGCGTCGCGGGAGTCGCGGAACCGAACGAAAAAAAAAAGAAAAGTAACTTCGAAGCGACCGGCGGCGAGCACTGACTCATCGCTGGTACGTTCGTTAGAAAACATTTTCGAAAGAAGCTCGCGGGAGAGCATTTATTTCGAACGATACTTGTCTATTTGCGGCGAGCCGTCCCTGAACGAGGATTGCGTCACCGCCCAGAGAGTCCTCGGACCTCGTAATGGTCCATATTCGCCTCCCACGGGTTTACCGACGATTTATGATCGACCCCGAGCACCTGCCCTGCTTTCCAAACGCGTTCACGCCGCTCGATAAAATCGAGCTTCGGAACGCGATCGAGCACCGCGCCATTTTTCGAAGCGAGACACGAGACGCGAGGTCGGGAGCTCGAATTTCACTCGAAGTTTATCGAACGAGACTACGACTACACGGAAGACGCGAATATACTGCGCAAGAGCAACGGATGACACTGTATCGAATGAAATCATCGAAACATTGGAAAAATTGAAAACATTCCTCCGCGTGCGTTTACAGGAGGCCTGGAAGGAAGCCAGGAGCGATAAGCGATCATCTGCTGGACATTCAAAGAGTTTACGAGTCGTTACCTACCTACGAAACTTGATCACCGTTTTGTGATCCGGTGGATAGAGATTCTCGTCGATGATCATTGTCGATTGGTCGAAGAACGAGAAACGCGGAAACGACTCGATGATACGTCGGTGGAGACCGTGAACGTTTTCCGTGTTGCTTTCAACGAGACGGAAAAATTACTGCGCAAAACTAGACAGGATCAACGCAAGCTCCTCACCTTTTCCGCACGGTTCAATTGCAATTTAGTGCACGATCCCGAGTGGGGATTGTCGGCCGCGTGCAACGTGTCACTGTCAAGGATGCGTTTACGCAATAGGCGTTTATACGTCCAACGTGTTTCTACTATCGGATCACCCGTTGTTTCAACGATTCTTCCGCTATGGGTGCCCCTGAACGTGAAGTACCAAGTTAAACTAACAAGGAAAATTCCAGATTTTCGGATCACCGTTTTAACTGGCGGATCTCACGTACGAAAATATACCTTTAAACTCAATATTTTTCGAGTCGATTACGATCAATGTTTCTCGATAGATTTAATATCGCGGTCCAGTCGAACAGAAATAACTTTTCCGTCTCGCTTGCATTCGTTTCTTGAAATTAATTATACCGTGTATTGAAAAACATCTTCCACCAAAGAGTACTAGTAATTTCTCGAATTCATTCACGGATGTACAAAGCTGTTCGATGACGCGATGCGTTCGACAAAGATTACAGGAAGAAACGTGGTCCTTTGTCGGCGCAACAAGTTGCATTAAATGACGATCCATTACGCAATGCATCGGTCTGACTGACGATAGGCGTCGAACATTTACATAACGATCGTCACTCGCGGGACGAAAAATTGTTTCACGATCCGATGACTGACTCGTTTGATGCACCTTGTAATCGCGTGGCGTGCAATTTATCACTACGAGCCAACCATTTTTAACACCTTGCAATTGCAATGTTTATTGTTACTATCAAGGTAGGACAAAGCTTCTCCCGTTTCGTATCTTTGTGTACTTGCAGTACAATAATAATAAATCTTCATCGCGCACAGATACACACTAGTAACGAGAAAAAGGAAGTCATAAATGACGTAGCAATTCAGCCACGGTATAAAAAGACGACACGTTATTAATCGTACTATTAATACGCTAGCGAATATTCGATCGGTGAAAAGAGGCGGTCGATAACGTCCCAGAAATTACGAAATTTCCCGTAAATTTTGCGCGTCCCGAATTTGCATTTGCCAAGAGGAACCCGAGAATTCGTAGAACTTGGTCGAGGCTGCCACGTGCAATGCTTATAACGGACGATAAAATTTATTGAACGGAGGGTGTGAACGTATCCCTCGGGTTAGATAAAGAAGATCCATAAAAATTTATGTCCGGGGGAGAAAAGGTCTGCACAGACAGCCCTTACTGTTTTTCCTCCCCGGAAACGCAAACGGTCTTTTGCTCCGATATTTCAAACGTCCCTGTTCCACCAAAAAATTCGTTACCGGAAAATAAGCTTCGGGAAAAAGGTTTCCCTGAGGAACGTTCCGTCCATGTAATCGATTATAGAAAATACCAATTTTCGAACGGCCGTGCAATAAATCTAGAACGACCAGTCTATAATTAGTCGTTTGCGAGGAACGATATCCAAGTTCGAGCAGGCCTTCTGTTAAAATAACACGACTGTTGGGTTTCGCGATGTTGGCATGCAAAAACCGTGGCACATGGCGCATTTCACGCTTTCGTTCGATCCGCTGAACTGCGCGAGGTTCGTTCAACGCGAATTCCTACGAGAAAATTGTTCGATTCGCGAAATGCGTACCTCGAAGTTGGCTAATCGCTCGTATTAAAAATAAAACCAACGAGCGGATTGTATTTCAACGATTTTAACTTCGAAATAAAAACCGAATTCGATCGTAACGTCGCGCGTGAAAGACAATAGAGGTGTCCATGTTTATTCGAACGAACGTTCAAGGTCCTTCATGGTGAGCATCCACGAATGCCAGAGAACGGGTCGAGGAGAGCAGGTGCAAATTTTCGGGTCGACCGAAGGTTTGTTTTTCGTTTACCCTCCCCTCCCCCCACCCGGCCCCCTAGCAAGAAATGCTAGCAGAGAGAGCTTCGAGGGGGCTCGTGCTGTTCGCACCGAACGCACTGACGAAACCTCTATAAATAGCGAGCACGTTACTGAAATACGTGAAACGAATATACATGTGTATGTACGCGTAAAACGAACAGAGACGTGACCTTAATTTACACCTACCTCGACCAACGAGCGATTTCATTATCCTACAATAATAAATACGTTCGCGCGCTGTCAGTGCCGCATTCCTTCTCTTTTCGTTTCTAACCCCGAAACATTTCCCCGGCCTTCGAAACCAATATAATTTTTTTTTAACCCACAAACTGGCGCGCTCTTTCCCCGAAATTTTTATGAAATTCATCGACGTGTTTAATCCAAATGTGTTTTAAAAAATAACGAGCTACGTATTTCTTACAAGAAAATTCAAATCGGGGGATATTTTCAAGTCTACGAATTTATCGCGAAATGGCAACGTAACCTCGAATAACGTGACCAACGACAACACGAGAGGAGTGGTAGGGTTAAATGTGCGATACCCGGGTGGGGACCAAGGCAGCTAATCTGTTAACCCATTGCACTCGGAATTCCACTTGTCCTAACACTGTACAAAACTATAACTGTAAAATGTAAAATGAGGAATTTATATAAAATTCGTTCCCTTCTCGCATCAAAAATATAACCTATTTCTTGAACAATTCTGTTCGTCGATTTAGGTTAAATGCTCGAAATTCGGGCCGAGTATAGTCAAGTAGTCGAGTTTCAAGTTTGAGCACTCTACATATTCGATCGGTTGACTCGGTTTGAATATTCGAACGAACTCGGCTCCATCGCCTACTACGGATAGGTTGTGTTTACACCGGTCGTTGGAGCAACCGACACACTGTTATGCTAATTCGCGCTAAAAATCAACAGTCGTTGTGTAACCGCCGCAAGCATCGATTCGAGAGAGAAAAAAGTGCGTCTTAAACTACGGCTCGCGAACATTGTTGTACCTTTTGTGTTGCGAAACACACGTGTCGGTGATCCTTCAATTAATTCCGAGCGATCGATAATTTCCTTTCCGTATTAGCTTCACTCTCAAGATGACCTGCGATGACGTAATTAGAAAAAAGAAACAACGATACGTTTACGTAAGTAATCGAAGTCTATAACTTACAGGTTGAAACATTCGTGTAGCGATACTCGAGATTACGTACGAAATTATCGTTGCGAGTTATGGTCGATACGATCGGTGATAAAATTGATTCGTACTATCGGTCGGTACGGTACATAAATCATTTGCCCGAATCGATCACCGTAATCCACAGCACTTTTTAAATATTAATCTTTAAAATTGCGACGCATCAATGTAAATAACATTCCTTTCATCGAAGCACAGCATCGATCGATATATTTCCATACGTGTTCGTCGATCGCGTCGATAAATATTGAACTTCAACGACAACACAAACAAACGCAGGATAAAAATTAAGAACAAAGGTGGTCGTGAATTAAAAACAGGCGTTTCTCAGTTCTGCAGCGTTAAAATATCAACTTAATCATAGCGGTGTTATATATCGATTATCTTTTGCCAGCATCTGCGATGAATTTTCATATCCTCGGTACCGTTACACGATACCGTGTTCTAGTTAAAATCGAAATACCAGTGACTACATCAACAAATCTGTCCAGAACCTCGATAAAATAAAAACAATAAATAACAAAAAAGACTAGTGCGTATTATAATAAGACTATCGATATGTACTTTCGCATAAAATATCTCCCGAATATTCTAACAATTTCCTAACCTATCGTCCCAATATTTCTCTAGTTTCTCGAAATGTATAGAATTTCAAATATTTAACTTTCGATACCGTAACCAATGTCGTTGCAATGTTGAAATATTAACATTGATCAGTTACTTTGGCACGGTATCGAAGAATAGAATAGTCCTATCTCAGAAATACATCGCAAACGCAATATCGTAAGAGTAATCGTGCCGGGTGTGCGCGCGTTAAAAGGTTAGGTGCGTCTGGACACCAACGCCGGTAGTTATCGTACCTGGTGGTGCTCTTAAAGAAGTTGTTGCTTTCGCGGTTCATCAACTCGCTACGGAACCGTGACATCTCGTCCTCCATCTTTCTCATCTCGGCGTCGAAGCGTTCCCGTATGTTGGAAAACTCAGTGTCGATCACGCTGAAGTCACCAAGCTTGATGGGAATATTACGTTTGATACCACTGTCAGCCATGATTCTTTCTTCGACCACACTCGTGTCTCTTTCACCAAGCCACTAAAGAGGTATACTCTTTTTAAGCAATAGCACTGCTTACTTCGTGAACGATCGCTTGTGATAGCGGAATACTTTCTCGACACGTACAACCGTACTGCGCGCTGTCTTGCCTAAGAATGAGCGCGGCTCACCGGCTGCTCCTTAAATAGTCGCGACGCAATCGTCGAACCCTTCGTGGGAGTTCGGTGGTGCTCGGCCACCTTCGGATGGACTCGTGTTCGTGCACGCGGTCCAAACCGGCTCCGATGTTTTACGAAATTCGATCGGATCTGGACAAAATTTCTTTAACGCGAATACTCTGATAAATCAATGCTGAAAATACCACGAATCAAATACACGACGAACGATGAATTTCGGTTCATTTTTTCTCCATCAATCGTCGATAAAATTAATGGAAACAAAATAATTAAACGACGACAGATCCGAGCGCACTCGAATTAATGTCAGTCGAAATACTATTTTACTTAGTTACCTACATTATTAATAATACATGCATTACAGGATTGCTCCGTTAATAAATAAATAAAGCATCTCATTATAGTACCTAATTGACTATAATTGATTGACTCTGCTATTAAGTTATTAAGGGTAGCAACTGAAATTGATAAAACTTAACGAAGATGACTCTCCGTAACTGGGTCGCCACGGTAATTAACGTCTCGACGTCTCTTTATGCACGTTGTTGACTTCAGAAAACCCTTAATGTACCGTATAATCTAATCACTCAATTGATATCGTGAAAATCAGATTATCCATGATCAAGACCCATTAACTTGTACAATGTACGCGTAATGACGTGATCAATGATCGTGATTTAAAGATTAATATTAAGAAAATCATTAATCTGCTAAACTACGTAACGAAATGTTGTCTAATCATAGATCGTCCTTCGTGTTTCCTGTGCTACGTGTTGGATTTTCTTTTGGAATCCGATATCGATGGAAATGAAATCTTACATCGATACATGCATTCTTGTATGCCAAGTCATATGTCTCATCGTGTTTACGTATCAATAGTGATATCTTCTTTCCACAAGAACTGCAGAACATGCTAAATTTTTTTCCTTAGCGACTCTATCATTTACCCCTGACTTAGAACCGAACCTTGATCGATTTTACTGTATTACTAGTATGCTAAATAAAGTCATTCAAGAGGGGTACAACAGTATGTGCATCTTCGAGGGAGACAATCAATAAGGAAATGATCGCGTGACCACATTAGTCATCGTCTCCTGCATAGAACACAATGATTCGTCTTGTCTGCGAAACCGTAACCTATCAACGCCCACGAATTCCTCTCGTTAGATCACTTACTTATTCAGGAGGCTTGTATGCTAGGTACGCTTAAGAACGACTTCCTTGCAGTACGTGGCAATTTATTTAAGAGATCCTATTTCGCGCGTAAAATATGAAATTTTACTTATTCGCATCGTGAACGAATACTAAATATATAGTTCGAAGATTTCGTGGAATTTTCTAAAATTCTTCGTTTGAAAACCCAAATCGTAAAAAAATAAAAAAATGCTGGTTTTCCATCGAAAAAATGCCCGTCGAAATTCCAACAAGAGGAATCCCGAGCAACATTTTCGTAGTGCCTGCGTCCAGCTTGAATCATGCAACGATAATTTACATTTTCTTTCGTCGTTCTCTCGGAAAGAAACGTTAGAACGCATTCTTGTTAATCGAGCGCGAACATTCAGGTGTTCTAATTTGGACAGGCGTTCAAAGAAGCGCGAAGGCCGCGCGTATGTCGCATAACTTTCTGTTTACGTCGCGGAGAACTGCGTGAGATTTTTTTCGCCGCGTTAAATCAAGCCCCGCAAATGATGCCGACGCTATTTTCGCGCGTTGCATCGTCACGCACACGCCGAACTGAATGGACCGCCGCGTCACAACGCCTCCTTATTGTTCATAAATAGTTCTGCAACGCGGCGTCGTCTACGATTTCCGGTAAATCGAGTCGCGCTGAATCTTTTCCAAGATGCGTCTAATAGAGTAATCGGGGGTGGCGGACGACGCCAACAAGGGCTGAATCACCCTCGCCACTCAAACTGGATGAATAAGTGGCACGTCGCGAGTCGCGTTTCCCTACTTTTGCACGCGTGAATAATCACCGCGTCAAAATTCACCGGAATCTCTAAAACAAGAGTATAATCGAACCGTCGAAACGTAGTTAGCTTCGTAGAAATCCGACCATCGCATCTAAAAGCTAAAAATAACGTTTCGAAAGCCATTGTTTGACTTCGTTGTGCATCACAATCGGTTTAAAAGTAATCACTGATGTTTTATCGAAGAAAATTTCAATTTCCATGAACGTTTCTTTCTCCCTATCTGCCGTTTACCATTAACGGGGTTAAGTTTAACAACGGCGCTTTGAATTCTGTATCTCTTCTTGTAAATGTTGCGTGACAAAGACATTAATATTATTACTCGCTCTTCGTTTGTCTATCGCTTGGAACATTTTTCAATGTGAATGTTGGAAAAGTAGAGCAGATAGTATGATACTTAAACAAATATTATTTTCATTAAATGCTCATTAAATACTGAATATTATGTTATTATATTATTTGCTTCGGTTTCGTTTTGATTGATAAAATGAAAGAATCAACCGCGGCCGGCAACATTGAAATTTATGGCAACGAAGAGCATAGAACGCGAACGGTCAAGACGGTTCAGTATTCGTAATAAAGTGTGTCAATGTCAAACAGTAGCGCATTATACCTTCATGGGGCCCAAAGCAATATCGTATTTAGGGGTCCCATTTAAAGAAAAAGTCGAATAAAATATATTTTTAACTCGAATGTCATTTTCTTACAACAACGAACAAATTAAATAATATAAAAGAAAAATCTAATTTAATAAGTAGTTATGCTAATTGCGTGAACCCTGTGTACTATGTTTTGTGAAACCGGAAGTGCTCGCGGGCTTAAAAAGAAGCGACCTAAGATTGCTACTGGGGAACAGTCAGAAATTACTGTTTTGGCTGCAGTAGCGAACGATCCTCGGATAAGTTATCGACAAACTGATATATTTCTGATATTCCTAAGTATTTGGCGAATAGTTCGAAGTCATACATTCCATCAGTTGCATGTTTCTTTACATCTTCATGGCATCAACTTTAAGAATTGCAACGATCACAATAGAATCAGCTGTTTTTTCATGGTGTTCTTTTTACCGACGAATCAATTTTTACCAACAAACGTATCGTATTTTTGCAAACTTACATTGTTGGAACATTTTGCATCGATTGCATCTTGAACGAGCAAAAAATAAACAAATGACTGCTCGATTACCAGGAGCTATTATAAGAAATTCCTTTAATCGCTTAACGTACAGCGACCTAACAAAAATATTCTATGCCGTGCTGAACTCGAATAAAGAAATTTTCTTCGTACATTATGTTTTCGAAATGCTAATTGTCGGGAGTCCTAAGCAAACGCCTTGTTTGCCTCCAGCATCTCGCGGTCCCTTCGAGACCGATTTGTTTCTCAACCGCGTGTATATCTCAAACGATCACAGAATTCTTATGTTTCTGTCGTGACTCCGCGTGGGAGAACATGGCTGCATGACGTCACCTTTGTGGGAGTTTGGTGATCGATAAACCGCGTCACAATGGTCCCTAATATGGATCGGGCACGCGTTCATTACACAGCAAACTGCCACTACACAATGTGTTGCTTCTTTTCTGTTGGGAGTTTTTCTCCGAACAATGGTGATCGCAATTTATAAATATCATTCGAAACAATAAATTGGTTAAACACAGAACACACTTGTTGCAATAAGTAGCCTCATATTTCATTCTCTGAGAACGAATGCTAATTACAATTACGAAACTGACTCATCCGTGGTGATCGATTCATAATTTTATAATTAGAATTCTTACTACCGAAATTGGTCATCCAAGAATTGTACTCAGAAATAATGGTTCCCGCCCACAAAACTCTAAGGCTGACGATACGTCGCTAAGTAGAGTTTCGACAAGATTAAAAACTATCAAATCATCTAAAAAAATTATTTTCAGTTCCGGGGGTCAATTACAATCATTTTTGGTGAATAGACATACCCGCGAATTCCTACGCACTTTCGAGAAAAAAATTCGAGTATGTGTGAAATTTTACAACAAAATTAAAAACTATCAAATCGTTCTAAAAAAATTATTTTCAGTTCCGGGGGTCAATTACAATCATTTTTGGTGAATAGACATACCCTCGAATTCCTACGCACTTTCGTGAAAAAAATTCGAGTAGGTGTGAAATTTTTCGGCGAAATTCAAAAATTTCAAATGGTTCTAAAAAAAATATTTTCGGTTGCGGGGGTCAATTACAATCATTTTTGGTGAATAGACTTACCCGCGAAATCCTACGCACTTTCGAGAAAAAAATTGTTTTTCCGAAAATATAATGTGAGATTAGAAATGTTGCCCTATGCGTATGTCATAACTTCTGAACGGATTGGAGGATTTTAAAGTTTCAAGATGCAAGCAATGCGTACTAATGGGACTCTAGAAAAAATACATTGGATGTAAGGTCTACTCGTATACACACAGTTCAATCAACAAATTGGTATTGATTTTCGTCTTATTTTGGGCTCTAGAATCTCCCATTAAAATTTGTACCCAAGGCGGCCGAACACACTGTATGTAGCGGGGTATGTCGAAGAAAACAACTAAACTGAGACTGTGGAAAAGATAGTAGACTCCTCGCTACGCGCCACCAACTATTAATAGCTGACGAAGTCCGAGAGAGCCATAGTATCCGAGGCCAGATTCGACCGAAGGAATTCTTTAACCATTCGACCCTTTCGACCGTCATTCTTCGACGATTCAATGTCGAGGGTACGATCCGGAGCAACGTGACTCCTTGGCCTTCCTCCGCGGCAACTTCCTTCGTAGATTAAACCAGAGAACAATGAAATTGTCCAATTACCTATTTCGCCCGCAAAACGACCGATACGAAATACAAGTTTGCTAGAGGAAAATCCGAGAAATACGGTGCTTCTGGATAGAACTTAAAAGCTCTCTTTAGCCATTCATGGACAAAATCATAACAGTGATTTTAAGCGCTTTACCTCGAATGTACATTACTGTACGAAAATGATGTAAGCAACGAAAACGAGGCGAATGTAGTTCAGTTTGTGAGAGATGAAAGTAGGTGTTGATGCACGACGGGGCTGTAAAAAGTGATTTCATTCAATGTTTCGCTACCAAGCAGACAATGAGCACTTAATAGCCATTTGTACTTGGCTTACTTAGAACGATTGAATGAGGAGTACGTCGCTGTCGTCGTACGACGACTTCGCATCGCTACCACTGACTTGAGTACAAATGGAGCTGAGGTTAACGCGCCGTGATGTCACTGCTTGATATGAGCCGATTATTATGAAAGTGGCTTATGTCACGAAACCAACAAATGTCAGATTTTTCACGTTCGTTTAGATGTATATATTTTTCTACCAGTGCTGTATTTACTTTCTCTTACACCTATCTTTTAAATATGAAGACGCGTAGTTTCCAACGTTTTCTACGTCGAGAAAACAGCCTTAATTCAGTTTCGTATTTATATAACGTTTTCGTGACTTCGTGATGATTATCACCGAATTTTCAGCTACTTTTCTGCAAACATGTGAAACACGATACCAACCGGTTTGTTGTAACATTCGCGGTACGTGGGTTTGCAACACGATCCGATTGCAACTGCTTACAGCCTTCGTATGCACGTGTACTTGGTACATAAATGAAATACCTCGAATAGGTTTTCAATGTCTAACCTGGTCACTTGTTCGGTCATATTTTAGCGGTTTATGTATAAACAATGTCTATCGCGCATAGATATATACTTGGATCGTGCCAAGCATCCAAGATTTATATTTGTTAACGAGAAACAAAAGACAAGGAGTATGTGTATATAAAAAGAAAAAAAATGGAAAAAATTTCCATGGAATCCGGTTGTATACGATATGAAGTTTATATTATTACAATACAAACGAAACACTCGATTCGAGTGTACTATCTGTGATGCTCAATATCGGTTGGTTATCGTCCTTTGCATTTCAACGCGCGTGAAAAAATACCATCATTCGCAAGTTAATATAGCAATGACTAATATTACTGCCACGAATAAACTGTCAATACGCAACTCGATGACAAATGACCGTGTTATATCGAACCGATTGTGCAAGTGCCATACTTTTATAATTCGCTTTACTTAGTACAAAGTGATACTGTACTCGGTACATTGTGATGCTAAGTGCCAACAAGGAAATAAATGTTAATTGGCGCTCTATGACTTCTATTTAATAAATCCTACTTATCGGTAATATTAATAATAATACCTTACGATATAGCGTTACCATATTAACCCTGCAACATCTTATCGTCTTGGAATATTTTTTTCCTGGAATATTGTGTTGCTTTCGAACATCGCGCGATAGATTGTTTCATCAGGCCTAAAGAAAGCACCACGACGACGGTCAATATACTCGTATTGAATAAAGGAGGGAAGAGTTCCATTTGAATTGCCGTCACTTGACGCGCTACTTGATTACTCTTAAGTCCCCCTTGCGTTTACCGACGGTACTAAATTAACGTCTCCTGAGGCCTGTCAACAATCATGAAGACACGCGTGAAAAACGTTTCTGACAGAAAGCGTTCGAGCAATGCTACCGAAAAAGATCAGAAAAATGGGAAGAAACCATTCAACAAAAAGAATTACAGGGCACAAAAATACAGTAACAAATACAAAAGTACGTTTGAAACTGTACGAGTAACGTAACTTACATTTAGGTTAGGTCTAAACGTTGCTCGATATTCGTTGCTACGCGATCGTTGCACGAGCCTTTGAATTGTATTATTTGTTGGCAGTCGATCAGTGGCAGGAACGTAGGAAGAAGGCAATCTTACGAGATTATTATAAAGAGGTTGACAAAAGCCGACGTCAGAATCTGAAGAAACCAGTTTCATTGGAAGACAGTAACGAAAATGAAAATGATAATACGTATGTATACCGATTTTGTATTTTGCACAGATAACGGTAACGATTGACGTAATTGAGTTTCTTGTTTAAAGGACGCAACCAAAAAAGGTCAGCCCATTTCATAAAGCTAAAAAGGAATTCTTGCGCAAGAAGGTTGATAAAAGAAAAAAACAGGAGCAAATGGAACAGATAAAATCGGAACAAAAGGAGGCACTTAAAAAGTATAAGGAAAAGAAGATGCAAACATTTAGGAAACTTTCAATGAGGACAAAGAAGGGACAACCTGTGATGAAGGGCAGATTAGAATTGTTACTGGAAAAGATACAGCAACAAGTATCTAACTGATACTTAGAAAGAATGCGACACAATTTATGCCCAGACAAATTTTATGTTAATAAATCTTGTTCAATGTACATAGACTGACAAAGATATTCAATAAAGTATGTTTTTTTTCTGAAACAAATGTCAATTCACGTTGAGATACACGTACACGAAAAATATTCTGAGATTCGATAGTTTAACCTCTTTAATATTTAACATGTTCACTGCCATGCCCGTGTTATTTTACAGCGTTGCTAATTACAGTAGCGTTATTCACAATTTTGCAAGTATTAATGTTCTATCGTAAACAATATTGCAACACGTAAATGTAAAGTGCCGATCACCAGTAACCACTATGGCAGTCAACGTATTAAAGATCATTGATGCATCGAATATATAAGACAATTAGAACGTCTACGGTTTACCCATTAATCGATACACTGGCGAGTCGATGTTTTCGATAATCCGCTAAAATTCGACCGATGAACTCTAAACATTTTCTCCTAAAGCGGAACGAATAATCACGGGCACAGTAATCGTAAAAAGAACTTAAACGATCGATGAAGATTTTCCTCGATTCGAAATACGAATTTGCCTGCGCAACGCATAAAGCGCAAGCGCAATGGCATTTGACGGGCAGCCGTCAGCTAGTCAGCGGTTGCAAATGGCGACAGCCACGAAATCTCTGGCACCGACTCGCGAATAGTTTCACGCCTACCGAGTGCTGCGTGACCGAGCCGTGCGTGAACGTTACCCTAACCCAGATCGGTATGTACTTAAAACTGATCCGATAATCTACGCGCACAGCGGGATAACCTCTTTCCTTTAAAAACGTAGTCGCGCTAAGTTGCGCTCTCCTTCCGAGTACGACGGCCCGTCGGGTGACAAAAAGCCATCGTACGACCTGTCTCTCCTCTTCGAAATATTCCTTTTGCCTGCTCGATCGATGCATCGTGATCCTCGAGCAATCTCTCGGCGAGCGTTACCGCGATTCGCGGACCGTACGGTCCTGAAAATAGTCTGGTAACGGGTGCCGCTATCACCGTTTGCACGGTACTGCTGTCAAAAAGTGTTTGGCTAGCAGAATCTAGGACGCGGTACCGGCTTAATCGCTCGATTTTCCTTTCGAGCGTTCGAATACTCTGCTCCAGTTCGTGCCGCCTTGATCTCTACCTTTGCTCCAACGTGCTGATTCTACTGGCTGGTATTATACACGAGTTAACTGTACCAAACGGTTTTTCGGAGTTACTCCGAGGACCGTAGGGCTCGTCGACTCGAGTACACTTAATCAACGAGTATCGTTCGATTATTTTTCTTGGACCTCCCCCTGTACATCGGCCGCGTGTCATTAAATAACGATGTACAACCGCTGACGGAATAACGTACGCGAGTGCTTGCAATTAAAAACTACAATGGACCTGATATATTGAACCGTGCATTTCAAAATATTTTCGTAACCACAATCAAAGACTATCAAGTTTACATTTACAAAATTTCAAGAAGAATTTAGTAACATAAAGGACAACTATAAAGCATTCATTTAAATATCAACAGCAAGTGTTTATTGAGAGAAAATGATCTTACATATTTCTTATACAAATGCCCAAAAGATTAGAGCATTCATTTGATCTGTAAATATGTACATAAGTACCTTTAAAATTATTTTATTTTACAGGTGGTTTTGAGAAGATCCAGACAAAATGCCGGCTGTGAGAGGAGATGGCATGCGTGGGCTAGCAGTGTTCATTTCTGATATTAGAAATTGTGAGTTCAATAATTTTTGTCCTTATTATTTGCAATTTTGCTCGTTATATTTCAAGAGTCTACCACATTGTATCCCATGATTTAATTGTAGCATTCATACATATCTTGTTATAATATTAGATAACAAGGAACACGAGTTAGCCTTTGGATTGTTGAAATTATGACCCATGTTCCATCCGTTAAGAGATACGATGCCATTGAAACTAACGTGACATGCAAAGTATTTAAAGCAGACAAGAGTAGGAGAAAGGGGGCGGAGTTCTGATATAGGCATATCTTTCTGATATAGCTTGTCTTTCAAACACCAATATGTAATATTTGGCATAATGTAATAAATGTCTGTTAAAAGTAACACTGAATTCTTTTGAAAAATTTTTATGAAGATGAATAAATTGTAAAGTGATGATAGATATATTATAATTATTTAGTATTTCTGTAATCTAATACCCTAAATAACTCATAAAACATGGAATATAATACTGATATAGAACAAATCAATACATGCAAACTTTGATGCTGATCCAAGTGGCAAGCAGCCATTATACTTTTCTATAAAAATTATGACAAATGCATACTTGTATATGGCATATATGTAAATGTATAATTGTATATATTGTACCTACAAATACTATGTACTGTCTGTGATTTCATACCTTATTTATAGCAATAATTTTCTAAGCTTATAGTCCAATTTTGTCTTTATAATTGCATAATAAAAGGAAAAACAAATCATACAATGGAAAATAATAACAGATTTAAAATATGATAAATATTCGTATAATATTTACATATTAATTGATTAAATATGTAAATATTGATTTTGTCAGGCAAAAGTAAAGAAGCAGAAATCAAAAGAATAAACAAAGAGTTGGCAAATATTCGTAGTAAATTTAAAGGAGATAAACCACTTGACGGTTACCAAAAAAAGAAATACGTTTGCAAGCTCCTTTTTATTTTTCTGCTTGGTCATGACATTGACTTTGGACATATGGAGGCTGTCAATCTCCTTTCATCTAATAAGTACTCAGAAAAACAGATTGTAAGTATCAGCTCCCGAAACAAAAATTTAGTACATCGAATCGAAGTGTTTAAAATTTTTACGAACAAATTTCACGAAAAATTGTACACAAATGTATAAATATTTTATATATTTTAGGGTTACCTGTTCATATCGGTGTTAGTAAATACAAATAGCGATCTCATTAAGCTCATAATTCAAAGTATAAAAAATGATCTTGTATCGCGTAATCCGATTCACGTGAATCTTGCGTTGCAATGTATTGCCAATATTGGCAGCAAGGAAATGGCTGAGGCTTTTGGTAATGAAATACCAAAACTACTTGTTTCTGGGTAGGTTGACGTAGTAAATATTTAATTCGTTTATATTTAGTTATAGTTTCTGTGGAAATGGATTATTGAAATTTTCAATAATTTTTATATTCCAGAGATACTATGGATGTAGTAAAACAAAGCGCAGCACTATGCTTATTACGATTATTGCGTACCGCACCCGATGTTGTTCCCGGTGGAGAATGGACTTCGCGTATAGTCCATTTATTAAACGATCAACATCTTGGTGTTGTAACTGCAGCAGCATCTTTAATTGATGCTCTCGTAAAAAGAAATCCAGACGAATACAAGGGATGCGTTAGCCTAGCGGTTTCAAGATTAAGCAGGGTATGGTATAATTTGATAGAGAAGCCTATAGATAGATAATTTCTCGATATCTTTTTTTATCTCGCTAGATCGTGACAACAAGTTACACGGATTTTCAAGATTATACTTATTACTTTGTGCCAGCACCATGGTTATGTATAAAATTACTAAGATTACTACAGAATTATACTCCACCTGGTAAATTATCTGGATTTCGTTTAAATAATAAGGAACCTAAATTGAAACGAGAATAATGAATTTCAATTATATTAAAATTAACAAAATGTTACTCATTGGAAAAAAATACACGTTTTAATGGTTTTCTGTTTAGGTCCCTATATATGATAATTTTACTAAACAGAGTATCTCTATTTTAATCCTAAACTTTTAATAGCCGAAGATCCAGGTGTAAAAGGCAGATTAAACGAATGCTTAGAAATTATATTAAACAAAGCTCAAGAACCGCCGAGATCGAAGAAAGTGCAGTATTCGAATGCGAAGAATGCTGTATTGTTTGAGGCCATTAGTTTAATTATTCACAACGATAGCGAACTGCCTTTATCGGTTAGAGCGTGTAATCAACTTGGCCAATTTCTATCGAATCGCGAGACCAATTTGCGTTATTTGGCTCTTGAATCCATGTGCCACCTAGCCACGTCAGAACTCTCGCACGAAGCAGTAAAGAAACATCAAGAGGTTGTCATTCTTTCCATGAAAATGGAGAAAGATGTGTCTGTAAGACAACGGGCTGTGGACCTTTTGTATGCAATGTGTGATAAAGCAAACGCGGAAGAAATAGTACAAGAAATGTTGAACTACCTCGAAACTGCTGACTATTCTATTAGAGAAGAGATGGTTCTGAAGGTCGCGATTCTGGCCGAAAAGTATGCTATCGATTATACTTGGTATGTTGATGTAATTCTGAATCTCATCAGGATAGCTGGTGACTACGTTTCGGAAGAAGTTTGGTACAGAGTTATTCAGATCGTTATCAACAGAGAGGATGTACAAGGGTATGCAGCGAAAACGGTTTTCGAGGTAAATAATACGGATTTAATTGCCGAATTGAACATCGATTTAATTTTAATCGCGATAAAACATGTTTACGATATTTACTAGGCCTTACAAGCACCAGCCTGTCATGAGAACATGGTCAAAGTCGGTGGTTATATACTTGGAGAGTTTGGAAACCTCATCGCTGGCGATCAACGTTCCTCGCCAGCTGTTCAATTTCAGTTACTACATTCCAAAGTAAGTTTTCCAGTCTTCTCTCTTTTCAAACTATCGTATTTAATACGTTAACGCGATTTTGTTTCCTTTCCAGTATCACTTATGTTCCCCAATGACTCGAGCGTTATTACTATCCACGTATATCAAATTCGTTAATCTATTCTCTGAAATGAGGAGCCAAATTCAAGATGTTTTCAGACAACACAATAACTTACGAAGCGCCGATGCAGAATTACAGCAGAGGGCTTCCGAGTATCTTCAATTGAGTATTATCGCATCCAACGACGTTTTGGTAAATATTAATACGACGACCATTACAGACACTCGAAGGTCAATACTATTAATAATGCTTTCGGCCTTCCTATAGGCTACTGTTTTGGAAGAAATGCCTGCATTCCCCGAAAGAGAATCTTCCATTCTCGCAGTTTTGAAAAAGAAAAAACCAGGCCGAGTGCCAGAGAATGAAATCAGAGAAAGTAAGAGTCCTGCACCAACTACCAATCACCATCCGGAAGTACCTGTTATCGCGGCAGCAGTCGTTAATAATACATCGGCAGATTTATTGGGCCTTTCTACACCGCCATCTTCTCAACCAACTAGCAACACGGGAGTTCTTCTCGACGTATTAGGAGATATTTACAATATGACGAACAAAGTCGGTGCTACGAACGGTGCCCAAAATACATATAACCCTAAAAAGTAAGATGCCTTTAAAAATCCTTAATCCCGAAACGTTTCGTAATCACTCTAATACACTGTCCCGTTTCTAATGTTTGAATTCGACATTTTTCAGGTTCGTTTGCAAGAACAACGGTGTTCTATTTGAGAATGATTTGATCCAGATCGGAGTTAAATCCGAATTTCGACAAAATTTGGGACGCGTTAGTCTTTTCTACGGGAACAAAACTCAGTTCGCTCTTCATAGTTTCCAAACTCAGCTTTCTTGGTCGGAAGAAAATCAAGCGAAGCTAGCTGTACAAGTGAAACCAGTTGATCCTGTGTTGGAAGCCGGTGCCCAGATTCAACAAATGATCAACGCAGAGTGTATTGACGACTATAACGGTATGACGAAACGAGTTACATAACATTCTGAGAACGACTGAACAAGTGCCGTTCAATTAAATGTTAGAAAGATATCATTGGTTTGTTTTTCTCTGTACAGACGCGCCGAGTATGACCATCTCGTTTATTTATAATAACGTGCCACAGAAAATAACGATGAAGTTACCGTTAACGATCAACAAGTTCTTCGAGCCCACAGAAATGAACGAAGAGTCATTTTTCGCGCGGTGGAAAAACCTTGGGGGGTATGTAAATATTTATAAAAAAAAAAAATAATCTCCCTTCCATTGTTTTTGTTCATAATCGACATTTAGCCGTGTATATTCGGAAAACTTTCACAGCAGCCTAGGATATATACGTGCTATTCCAACAAAAGTTATCAATTAAATTAAGCCGATAAAGTCGTGTCTATATTTCCTAACTAAATAGCTCTAACTTCCTAACCTTATTAACGCTACATTTACGGGCATCGATTGCGCAAACTTTTATTGAAATGTTGGAATAATAATCGAAACGATGTTCTTCCAGAGCAAATCAACAGCGTTCGCAAAAAATTTTCAAAGCGCAACAACCGATGGATCTTGCGCAAGTTCGCACGAAATTGCAAGGATTCGGAATGCAATTGCTCGACAGTATCGATCCGAATCCCGATAATTTCGTATGCGCGGGTATAGTGCATATGAGAGCGCAACAAGTAGGGTGCTTGTTACGTTTGGAACCTAATAAACAAGCGCAGGTAATTTTGTAACAGTGTGAATTTGTTTAAAAGACATACGGTTGGAAATTGGTGATTAATCGTACTTCGTTCGTAGATGTTTCGTTTAACGGTACGTTCGAGTAAGGAATCAATGTCGGTAGAGATCTGTGACCTGCTGGTGGACCAATTTTAAACGGCCTAGCAGGCGTGAAATTAATCTAAGATACATAAAAAAAAAACGCCGTGGGAAGACATATCGTGATCATAAAAGGATGTCGTCTCTCGACGTTCAGAAAGATACTGATGATTATTTGTTAAGAAGTATTCGTTGTACCCAAGCTTACGCTCACAGCGCGGTCGTGAGAACTGAAATCCTTGCGTAGGCGGAGCGTTGTTATCACGTATAATCCATAAAAAGCATGGCATAGAATTGCCGAACACACACACAATCAAGATTATCGCGTATAATTGTGTATAATTGTCGCATATAATTGCATGCATGGAAAACGAAACAAAAAAAAGAGCAAAATCCAGACGACATGTACGATGACTATGATGGACAATATTCAGTCCACGAGCAAAGGTAACAAAGCATAGACATTACCTTTGTTTGTATGTTGTTTTTTTCTTTTTCGTTTAACGCGTGTCTTTAGCAAAAATTATAATTCGTAACTTATCCAAACGACGTATAGATGTTTTTTGCCACGAGCAGTAGCAAAAAAAACGTTCGGGTCCAACATCGCGATCAGGTTAATAGCATACATGTTTTATAGAAGATTTTATAGCCAATTACTTTTCCCACTATCGTGTGTTTTTCGATAAGTTCATATATTTCGAGTCAACGGCCCGCGCGTTTACGCTTCTCGTGGCACGTTCTCATCTACGCCTTCTTAGCTCTTCTTTTTTGTTCGAGCACACGATCTTTTTTGGTTCGTATCAAGTTTCATTTTGAGATTATAATCATTGTTGCGTGGGCGAGAGTAAATTTGGGCACGATGACAGTAGCTGTATGATATTAGTTGTTTATCGTAGATTTCCTTGTATTTAACGGAGCTCAAAATTTCTCTTGTAATTAGTAGGTTCGACATCATTCGCTCCCGTCCCGATCCCTCGTTCCGCTTGCTCCCCTAGAGATTTTTCTTTTACCTCAAACGTTGGTGTATAAAAAATCCATGGCTGGTCACATTCTTTGGCTCGCAGAGAAAAGAGCGATCGAGTTCAAGCGAGAGGTGAACGAACCAAGAATTTGTTAGATGAAACTTTTTCTAATCGTCTTTAAGGAGTCTTGTGTGAGATGTATATTTCAGTAGTATATCTTGTACAGATGATATTCGCGAATGCGTTGATGATTAATTATGTTCCCGTGAGTGCTGACGAAGGAAAGAAAAAAAAAAAAAAAAAATAGAGCAGCTTTGAGCGACATTCGAACCGCGTTTAAATCGCGACCCATGCTTCGATTACGCCTGTCTGTCTTTGTTATGGAAATTGTAAAGCTCTAATTGAATTGTACATAAGAAATCCCGTTAATTAAATGTGCTGATAAAGAGCCATTGCACGAGACACAGAATCCAGTACTTGCTGGCACGAGGATCTACAATATCGTCTCTTCCTGCTGTTTCATTTGTATTTCTTTATCATGCGAACACGAGATGTATATTTTTTTATGTTCGTATAGTATAAATTTATATTCGAAACCTTTCTCCTTATTCCAACTGTAATTTCTTTGCCATCTCTTCTTTTTTTTTTTCAACCATTCGTTAACGATGTATTATTTACATCAGCATTAATTGACAATTTAGCATGACTTTAGGGAGATCTGTACGAGGAACACATTATTAAAAATGCTAATGTCGCTTCGACTGGAATTTTTGGCGTTATGGAATTTGGAAAATTTAAAGATGTTTTCTGATGATTCATTTGGAACTTGATATTTATCAACGCCAAAAGTTTCAATTCACAAAAGGCTTGAATACTCGACAACGTGTTCCGAAAAGAAATTTTGCATTAAAATTACACGAGTATTTCTTCTTTTTTTTTATTCGACATCGATGAATCAAATAAAAGGAAATATTGGAAAGAAGCAAACGATGTTTGTCCTTTGTTTAATATTGTTCCTTTTATTCGACTTCTCGACACGATTTCTGTAAATTCAATCGAATCACTCTCTTAGATAGTGAAGTTATCGCGTGATACTCTCTTTATTCTCAATGATATTTCATTGATGATCAAGATACACTGAAAGTATACTACAAGAATTATGCAAAAAAAAACTGGCGATATTTAAGTAACGTTCGTCCAAAACGTTTAGTCTGTTTTTACTTAGGCAAACAAGACATTTTATACATTATAAAAAAAACAAACATTCCTAACTTAAAGTGGTGTGAACGGAAAAAATCGATAGTCATAGAAATATTTTGTATGTAACTGGGTTAAATGATTTTGAAATTTTTCCCTTTTTTTTTTTTTTAATTTAAAAGACTTATGAATTAAGTTCTCTCATATGCTTTCCTATCGATAAATATATATTTAAATTACTGCTTTGCATCGGTTTTACTTGCTTTTTGTATATATATATGGTAGAATATACTTCGATATTCCCAATTCTCAAACAAGAGACCACTCTGCAAATAAACAATAATGTAAATATAATTAATAATCGAGAACGAGCTCTCGAACACAATGAATCGCCCCAGTCATGGATTTGGTAGAATGATTTACGTTTTGGAACTTCTACTACTTTCACGCGTGTTTGTATGTACATGTTTATCATTACGGAAGCGTGAATCATGTTGTTCACTCTATTAGATTTACGTTCGAAATAATTAGTACATGCCTATACAGGATGTTCTATAATTTTTCGGCCAAACTGTGTCGGGATTCCTATGGCTAAAGGTAAATGCATTCGTAGAATGATTAATTGAAAAGCTATAACAGAGCTACGAGAAATAAAAGAAACGATACTTGCTGTTCAAGGTCACTGTCCCTCCCACAAATTATGCTAGACACTACTGTTACTTTTACATCGGTAATGTCACGGATGAAACACTCGAGCCACGTTTCTACATACTAAAAGATTAAAGTACTCGAAATCGCTTGCGCAAAGTGTCTTGCTATTATAAATAACGGATAACAGTTTATAAATTTGCGTTCGTTACGACGAATTAACGATATCCTTAATCTGTCTATTTAAGAGAATGCGTGTAGTGGGGATAATCACTTAGTGATCTCAAGTGGCAAACGTTTCCAACCAAAATATAATACAATTAATTTTAATTACAGAACCGCTAAAATTTGGCTGCAAAATTTTCGAACAGCCTGTATTCGTACATATAGAAGGTATTTAAGTTGAAGCAGACCTAAATATCTCCTTTGTTTTTAATGGCACAAAAATTATTCGTGGCACAATTCGAAGTAAAAGAAGTGTGCATTTTTTTTTTATCGCATCTGATGGTGGATGACAAAGTACAATAGAACGTGTCTAAAGCTTAACCTCCATATTCACTCTTTAAACTGTTCCATGCATGATTCTCGTATCATTAAAAACAAAGATATTTCGGTACTTCGGCTCGGATACTCTGTATAATGTAAGTTATCTAAGACTGGAATTGCAAATAGTTCTGTTGTTTGTTTGATACACGGAAAATAACCGAAGGGAGAAAATGTTCCGGGGGGGCACGTTAATAGGATAAAATTCACACTTTTTTCAAGGTCGTAATCGACGACAAAATTTGAAATTTCGCCAAGTATTTTTTTAATCAAATCCATATCTTTGTCGACGTAATCCTTTCCGGAACTTTCATACTATCGCCAAAAATCATGGACATACTTACAAATCCAATCTTAGACGACTCACCCTGTATACACGCGTGCGCGCAGATACATATATGCATATAAATAAAAATATATATATATATATAATTCATATAAATATATATATTATATATAATACGAATTATTGAAAAATTGAAACGTGTGATGACACACGATTGTTAGATTATTGTGTTACGGTGTCCCTGATCAAGTGGCGATCATGACATAACAAATGAAACGCATTTGTTGCAACGCTATAGAGATTTATTCCGGTAAATTCTTTGTCGATCTCCTCTCGTTACTTTCTCAAACCACCGTGTATAGATTTAATGTAGGAATTCGATAGGAACGTAATTATGAACGAGGTCTGATACAGATTACGATCGATGGCTCTAATCGAAACTAAATTATACAGGTTCATTCTAACTAATACGGGCATGGCTCTCCTATAAGTTAACAAAAATGTTGGTAGAGTTACGCTACGTTCTAAACGTCCTGTATGCTTAACATCGATATGGTATAACCTATAAAATTGCCCAAGGTACTGTTGAAACTTCGGTTCAAAAGCTACCATGTTCAGAGCCACAATCGATATGAAAATGCATTATACTCTTTGTAGATCTCACTCCCTTTATTTGCAATTGTCCAATACTCGTTTGTATTTATTTGTGGTTCTAACGTGCAGACATAGTATAGCAGGACTCGGTGGCTTGGTGGATCGTTTAAGTAGCTTTGAAATCTTTTCACGAACGCGAATAAATAACGATAACTAATCCCACAAGATTGGTTTAATCTTTTAAACTTTGAAAATTGAAAACTAATATTATACTATTTAAAAAAAAAAACGAATGTCGGATATTGTGAATTATTAATAGTATGTACAAAGCAAAATTCTGATGCTTTCGAAAATACGAATAATGCAAAATTTTACGAACCACGATTCGCTGAGCCATCGGCGATGGTAGTTCCACGTTCGTCTCTGTTCAGTTTATGGCAAATGTAATTTCTCTCCATACAGCACGGCACAAAGCTAAATACAGGAAGCACCCACACGTTACGCTGTTTTGTCCGGTCATGAATCAAACAATCGAAAGTAGGGTTATCCTGTAAATAAGATTTCTACATTCAATCTTTACGCGAAATTTTCGGGTCGTTTACGAATATGTTTCTTTTTTGGGACATTGTCAACGATAGCAAGATTCACTTACGAAACTGAACTTGCAATCTTCCCCGCGAACATTCTTTTGTATTGCTCACCACTACGTACATGTACGTTTGTAAAATGCTAATGATTTATATTATTAAACTATACATATATACAATCTCATATGAAGTGTGCCCTTTCGATCAATCGACTCAATCTGCTGTTGCTCGCGTCAGGGTTGAACAACTATTGAGTAATCGATCGATAGAAAAGTGAAATATTCTACATTCGTTATCGACCGCAAATTTCGTTGGTAAAAATAATTTCTTTTTTTCTGTTATTTCCTATGTTAATATACATAATAGTTTAATAGAAAAATTATGTACAGTTTTGGAAATATTAAGTAGTCACGTATCGGATTCTTTATAACAATTATTTTTGGTATTTCAAATTTACTTCTAATTTAAAGAAAATATTCGTTTCAAACATATAATAAACGAAAATGGTCAAAGTATATGATGCAATAAGTAATTTAGAGGTTAAAGATTACCAACGGTTATTACATTTGGAAAATTTACCAAATTGTTATGCGTTTGAATGGTTTCGTAAATAATATTCAACTCTGGCGCGTGCAAGTTTGATAATTCACAATCAAACTTCGTTTTCTTTCATTCAGGTTTCGCAACGCATAAATTGACATCTTCGTAAATTTAAGCTTTCGAGCATCGTGCCAAAAAATAAAAGTAACAGTTTCTTCTGCAATTTGAAAGTATGGAAATTTCCATAGGGTCCACACTACGTGAATGAAAGATCAAATATCATGAGACTGTGCAGAGAGCGTTGTGAATTTGCACGTCAGTGTTCCGTGACTCATTGTGTTCGCGACCTGTCTTTGAGGGTACGTTTACACTGTTTTAATCTTTAGAGCTTTAATCGTAGGCTTGAAACTATCTTGAAAGATGGCTAGGGATTTATTTCGTTTCCCAGCCATCGTTATCGTGCGGCTTCGAATTGTCATTTTTCCCTTCAAAATTGTTCTATATCTTCCGAAGCAACGAAGATACTTAAGGTGTTCATTATAAATAGACCAGCCTGTAGAGTAATGCAAGAAATATGTATAGTAACTATGTATAACCACTTCGAAATGAATAGCTTTTACACTTGTAATCTAAAAGTCAAACACCAGATGTAGATATACATTTTTAATATATGAAGATTACAGGGTGTTTCATTATTAGTGTTTATTTTTGCATTTCGTCTACTAAAAGGCTGTTTCCAAAGAATGTTCTGCTTCGATATAATTTTACAAATAATAATACTTATTTACCAATGTTTGTAATTAATTTATATACAAATTATGGTAATTATGGAGGGTGTCCCAGATGTTAACAATTATTTTACCTTCGATAATAATGAAACACTTTGAACGTAGAACGCGAACTCCTTTCGTATTAACGACAGCGTGAAACAAACTTCGGTTTCATTAAAATCAGTCCTTCTCAACGACGTCAAGTGTCTTCTGCTACAGTGTAAACGTACGCCTACGCCTAACTTCAAGAACGTCCTGGAACACGTGGTTCCACAATACGGTGTCTTCTCGGTAGCAATAGAACGGTTTCGATTCTCCTTTTTCCAACCATTACCGATCTGCGCAACCCTTAATAATTGTTCGGTGGTATTAAGTAGAAATCGCAACGTAAGAAGTATGTATTCGTTTATCGCAAGAATGTGTGTACGTTACGTTCGATACCTGAGTAAATGTGGTATACAGAACCGCTTCTTATATTACACAGCACAGTTTCAAAAGTTCGAGGCAGTTACAGGCTAAACACAGTCGCATCAACTTTTTCAAGCTGAACCTATAGCCGAACAGTGAACGTTTTATATGTATGTACTCTCAAAGTTCCTTAGAAAGATTAGAGGACATATAGCTGATATTATCTTAATTACTAAAGAATAATTAATGCAGTTGAATCGATACAATGCGAGAATCATCTTAATCATGTTTAACCCATTACGGCATGTTTTACAGCGACTTATTTTTATAGGCAGGTTTTACGGTACGAGAATATACCGACGTTGTTTCAGATCATTTATAGAGCATTATATGTATTACCGTCACTCGTCGATATAGCGATTCTTAATTAACGATTGAATTCATTGTGTGGTAGGATGACTCGTTTAGAGTTATACTAGTTGGTATTGATCGCGACATAAACGTTTTCACTGCTGCCAATTGGTCGAATTAAATTGTCGTGGCATAAACTAAAGAAAGTTATAGGAAAAGTAACAAACGTACGAGAAATTGTCCGTGGAATATGTATGATATACTCCACATAAGTTTTCTAATTATGATATTTCTATTCGCCGAAAGGATGAAACGAACTATGTTAGGAAATTATTAAAAGTTTTGTAAAATCGTAAGACGTATAAATGTATAATTATATTTTAAGCGGGAAAATTCTATAAACAAAACCACGTGATTCGTGATGAAAGCTCATTGGTCCGTTCGTGCATCGTAGGAGCGTAATTAGGAGTGTTCCAATGCATAGCGAGGCGATAAATATACTTCTATTTGTATTACTTTATTTGTTTATTTTTATATAGTTACGTTTATTTGTACTTTCACTGCCAAACTAATTATTATACATAAATGGTAACTTGTATACTTTTGTTTAATGAATGTTCATTGGGGCACAGTGTCCTTTTGTTTCGTTCCTATCGCAAGTCACGTGGTTCTATCTACAGAGTCCTCGCTGGATGAAATATACCTTAGTAACACGTGTGGTAGCAGTGGAAATATTAAATCGAACAATGTCACCGTTCAAATTGACACTTTGAAGTTTGATATTATCATGAAACCGCCATCTCAATTCTTTTTCATCGTTAATTTCGAGTTAGTGTATCGTTCTCGGATGTTAATCGCCGAGAAAATGGAAAGGAAATGAAACAATCATCGAACTGCGCCCACATAGATCACATAGCATCACAAAAGGTTATTCGTTTCTATTTTTCTTCGACAATATTAGTACCATTTATATCGTAGCGCACTGTGCATAATAATTCATATATCGATAATACCTGACGAATCACGTAAATACCTGATAACGAATGTACTTCGACAAGCCGCGACAATAGATAATTTCGAGATCGTAGCACGTGGACGTGTGGATATGTGCATCGAAGAAGCGTAACTCTTTCTATCGTTTCGAGCGCGAACGTAATAATGGAAAGGGGCTGTAATAAAAAAGACCTTAGATTATTATATCTGTATACTTTATTGTGTCTTTAGTATGCGTCTGTTGCGGCTACGTTTATCGACGGAATGAACAATGACGTAAATAAATAAAATACGAATAGAAAATACAGTGGTACTTTGGTGAATTTCCAACCACGATTTTTACGCGCCAGCGTCGATAGAGAAATCGATAGAGCTGCTGCCATCTCTGTGGTATTCTATACAAACACTATTGTTTTTCAGATTCGAACGTAACCTTAATTTAAAAATATTTAACGCGTGAACTGTCTCGTGACCGTGTTTAAGTTTTATTTAACACGTTGACTGTCATACCAATTCGTAGTGTGAAAAATAAAAGCTGTTATTACGAAACACTTTTATGGTGAATACGAATATTATTCAATACTTAAATGAAATCGAACGTTACGAATAAGCTGCTACAGGTTTACGTTATTGGTTATCTATTAACGAAATAAAATTTTGTTCATCTTTGCCTAGACAGCGATGAACCGCGATACAAAGAATTCGAAGAGTATTTGTTGGACAGAGAACGGAGTTTCTCTGTTTTTGTTTCGGCCGCGACTTTTTCAACAGCAACCGAATCGCTTCGTTACCGTTTCTATATTTACAGATGTGTATTTACACGCTTCGCGTAGTACATGTTCGCGCGAGGACCGTGCACTTCCGGTTACCCGGAAGGTCGAATGTCCCGTGTCGGGCATGCTGAAGCACGGATGTCGTACTACGATAAAAGAGTCTCTCCAGGGAGAGCGAGGAGGACGAGAGTGCTCGGAAGTGTCTGGACGTACACGAATCCACTTTAGAGTAGAAGAGTACTACGATTTCCCCCATTCTTTTTCGCGCATCGACCGTCAAGGTGACTTCAGAAGAATTTCCCTCGAGGCCACTTTGGTTTTTTTTCGTAATTTACTTAGTTTTGGCCATGATGCTCTACTTTAGATCCGAATTTTCGAAGTGAAACGAAGTTTCATTTGTTTTATTTGTTTAAATCGAAGTTATACAGTGCTACCTTTATTCTTGCCAGATTTCATGTAGAGAGGCTTAGAGAAGACGTTCTCGGAACAAATTGGACTCGTAAATAGGTCGCTCAAATGGGCTTTTAAATACACTGCTGGCCACTCGAGTCGAAGAAACGTAAGTAGTGGAGGCCGCAAATATCCCTAACGCGGATAGATGCAAGAAGCAAGGCACTACTGTAAGTTTTGCGTGAAAACTATCACACGTACGAATGTTCAAGTATTGTGTGCAGAACTGACAATATGTTCGATCGAAATGCGAATTACTCGATGTCGGTATTTCTTTCTTTCCATAAAAAAAAGAATAATTCGTTAACTTTGAATAAAAATAATTCTTTTCAATCTATTTCGAGGGAAAATTTCTCCAAAGGGGATTCGCATACATCGAGAAACTTCCTCGGAGATCTTTGGATATACATAAATATGCTTATACGTTAAGTGTACAGGTATCTCACAGGGATATGTAGTCAGAACACGCTTCGCGGGTGTCTTGGGTTGCGTTCGAGCGAATGCTGAACATGAACCGTAGGTGTTCAGAAAGTCTTAGCTACCATGGCGCTGTTCTACTTTGACGAAGGGATACTGGAGGATTCCACATGGAAAACTGAGACGATACGTTGCTGATTATGTAAGTCATGCAAATCATATGTATTTTCGTTTCTGAATTTTATGAGTAACTAGTTACTCGATCGGGATTAGATAAATTGAGCACCTCGGCGACACAGATTCTAGAACACCGTCTTTGTCACGCTACGTTGACATTAAAGATGCGATATAACTCCAACAATGGAGTCCACTCGGACGACAAATTGCATGTCTCGATGACATTCAGCTGTAACGATTCAACGAAATAAAACTCGCGCATACAAGGGTCGTTCAATAAGTAAAAAAATGAATATTTCAGATTCCAGTTTGAACGTCACGATCGCGTCCACCTAGTATATTACACCTTATCGTCTACTTATCGGCTAACTGACTAGCAACGGAGGATCGAAGGAACATCGGTCGATCCTCTCTTCGAAAGTTTTCTTAACGTAGAGGAGAATTAAGAAAGTTGACAAAACGAGCACCAGAGTTGACGAGTAGTTCTAGACAGGTTTCAACCGGGACCGGTTGCGACCAAAAGGGCCCGATCAGGCTGTGCAAATATTAACGAACCTAGTTCGAGTTCCCGATTGCGATCTTCTTCGGAACGGTTCAATCAACTCGCTACAATCGGGGGGAGACTTATCGGGATAAAATTCTAATTGTCTCGAAAGGGTATCGCTTTCTATGATTTCTAAACAACGTTTCGAGATCGTCTTACCGCTTGAAACATCGTCTCTTCGCGATCTACCGAATCCACGAACGGTTTCGATATCCCATGGATGATTCCGCTGCAGATATCTAGAGAGATCGTTTCAAAGATACTCGACGCAACCTTTCAAAAACTCTAGGAACATTCCAAGCTCTCCGTCAGGCTTGCAGCTATCTATCGGGACGAAAGATTCGCGATCGTCGACCTAGGGGAATGCCTCGTTTAGAGCCTTTCCAAGGAGTTCAGCTCCCCGGTGAGCATCGCCGCCTCGGCGTCCTCCTCGAGGACCTCTTTCCCGTCTAGAATCTGCTCCTGGCCGTCAGGGTCGTTCACCAGTGCGCTCTCCTCGCCGGTCTCCTGCGCGTCCTCCGGCGCGAGGAAGAGATTCGCCCTCCCGTCGCACTTCCGGTGGTAGTCGGGGTTGTCCGGGGCCGGTCTGTGGCAGGAGTCGCAGACCGTGTCGGTCTTGGAGGTGCAAGGGTGCGCCTCGTAGAGTCCTGGGCCGCACCTCGAGCAGATCCAGCAAGGGTGGGTGCTGTGATGGGGGCTGTAAGTGCCCGACGAGCACTTTCCGCACTCGGTGTCGCGGCCACGTACGCAGCGGTTCACCACGCCCCAGCCTGGACCGCATCTGCTGCAATGAGTGCCACCTTTTTGATGCCTGATGCGTGGCCTGGCTTCGCTCACCTGGAACAAAGGCAGATGCGTACGGTTAGGGTTATGGAGCCTAAGGGCCTGCTTGTGCCTCCGGTTAAGGCGGTACGCCACCTTGACCAAGACCAAGGATAGGGCTAATGTATCTGTTATCGATGCATCTAAACTACGCAACTGTTGATCGGACAGGACGGCCATATGCTCGGTCTAAATTCTGTTATCGGCCATGGTCCGATTACCGTCGTTGAAATTACTAAACAGGAAGAATGTTTGGCACTGATAGTAAGGCGACTTAAGAAACTTAGCCAATGGAACGATGGCATCGCGACCCGAGACTCCGAAGCCATTTTTTTCTAAGTTTACCGTGCAGCATCGGGGAACAGGTGCCAAAGGATAAAGCCACCTGACTGCGGGCACACCTTGCGCCTTTCTTTCGTCGAGCATCGGACCACGATCAAGATACAGCACAGAGCGCTCTGAGCCCAGATGCAAATTAGGATTTCACGCAGCCTCGGGTGCCCTTATTACGGCCCGTTCCGATTCAATAAAGTATTTCTCAACGAGCGTCGAAATGACCGGGCCACTTCATGGACGCGTCGATGCGGCTATGTCCGCGTAGATTTCAAATATACTCGAGGCTGTCCTCTTTCCAGCAAATAAAATTGATATCTGTACCGAGGCGGCGTTGAAAAACCAACGCCGTATAGAAATCGAGTCCCGAATACTCGCGATGCATCGAGGTCGTAAATTTCTTCGGACATGAAAGCAGATATGTGTCGGCAGGCTAAGTGACATAAGCAGAAACGGATGAAGGGTTCGAGCCACGGTCAGAATCGTGAAAAGAAATCTTTCGCCCGGTGTCGATGTATCTTCTTACACACTATGTATTACGATTATGATTATTTTTGCGACGACGAGGATAACCGCCGTGTAACACACGTACTTGATGGCGTTGGGGAATTCACCCTCGATAAACGCACGTACATCATTAGTACGAACCGATCGAAATGAATTATTAGCAACAGTAATGAAAAAGACGATCGGGTCCAGGGAGACAGTTAGGCTGCAGCTGGCACGCGCCAACGGTCAACGAGGCATCAGGTGCATCATTGCACCGGGCCCTGTCGATCTTTTTCTCCTTTTTCGACGCTTTCGTTTTCTCCTCTTAGCCTAGCGACGACCAATTCGATGCTCTCTCGGTGGCGCGAGATCATTTCTGTTTACGTTTCCTTCAAGTTTAGGCCCTCGAAAATGTCAATTCGTACCGTTCGCATCGTGAAAGGCTGTATTTACGCGAACCAGTTTCTGATCGCGACGCGTGACAGGGTCACCGCGTTCGAGTTCCATCGGTACAATGAAACCGAAATAAAAGGCGCGACCGCAAGCGGTTATCGTGCGGCCAACTGGCTCCCGTCAGGCCCGACCTTTGGTTTCTTTATTAAGGCAACGGCATATGTCGTACGTGTGACGAGTACGCTCAGATAATTTGTCCCCCCCGGACAACAGGGGATCGCTATTATTAACCCTTTTCACCGGGCTCGTTTCACCCGCAAATTGACAGGGTGCATCCTTACGTGAGGTGGTTGGCTCGTATTACGCGACCAATAAGATGACACTCTTGCCTCCATTGCCGCGTGCACGTTAGGCGTCTCGACTTATTACGGCGCCGATCACGCGCGTACTTGTACGTGTTCTGCCTATCTTGGCTCGTTGCACCGTGCGTAATACCGCCTTTTTTTTTTCTTATTAGAAATTAATACGCTTGTACTTCGACAAAGGAAAAAGGAACGGTACGTATATTCTGTACAAGGAAGATTCAAGAACCCTGGTACATGAACTGCCGAAGCGTTCGCCTCGCGGAGGATAAATTATGCTTTCGGCGTGAAATTGCCCCGGCAGAGGAGTCCGGGAACCAAAGGAGGACTGAAAAATAATTTTCTTCGGGACGGTAAAACCGTTGAAGCGTACCCGGCGAGGAACCGTCGTCCGAGAGAGTTTTTAACTTTAATCAATGACAAAAGGGTTCTCGCGCACGGGAAGCAAGGAAATTACGTCCTCGAAAGGAGCCGAGTGTAATCGACAAGCAGATGAGTTGCGCCGGTTGGAAACGGCCCTTAACAATTTCCGATCGTTTTCCAGCGCAACCGCGGCCCCGTCGTCGTAAAACGTTGATTAGACACTGAAGCGAAACGCGAGACCATTGAATTCGAGGAATTTACGGCGCGTCTGTAACGACGGGGCTCGAGTGACCAGGTCTCCAATAAACCGAACGAAAATGGGGAAAGATGATACCACGGCGTCGAAGGAAGGAATTGTTAGTCGTTATCGAGAACAGAAAACTTTTCTTCGAATAACAAATTCAAGCAGCGTCTTTTCCAAGCGAAAAGCGTGGAAGATTTCTACGAAAATTGACAAATTGTTGCTTTCGTTCAACGAAGAAAAATATTTTTCCATGGACCGTTCGTAAATCGACGGGGAGGTAAATCGTGCAAGAGCGAACCGGACGGATCCGCCGGAGAGGAAATTAAAAGAGAGAAATTTTTATGGCGCGCCATTCGTCCACCAGGAAGGAATGATTTTCGATTGGAATTTATCGGCGCGACGGTAGCATACCGGCGTGGAAAAAAAAGGGAGGGACACAAAAGCCACCGCAATTACTACTTCCGCTTCGCCCGTCGTGCCGGAAGTCCTATTCATACGCGTCACTATGAGCGCCGTTACTTCCGTCATTGTTGTTACGGATCTACGGACGCTTGTATATCATTCTTTTTCTATTTTCTTCCCCGGTGTTTCCAGTTCCCTTTTCGTTCAATAATTGGCTCTCAATCGTCGAACTTCTTCGCGCAGACAACCACATTTTCTTCCTTTTTAAACGTCGAATCATCTTGCGCGATTAACCAATATTCTTCTGCTGGTTGAATTGTTGGGTTTCGAATATCGAACGATAAGTAACATCTTGTGCGTGTTTCAGGTTAAATCTTCCGACGAACGCTCGTGCCCCGCGACTCGCGGCAACGTTTATCGCGTGGAACGTGTCACGAGCAGATAAATTTACTTCAGAATCCCGGCCGGAGATCCATCGTTCTCTCTGCGTGCGCGGAAAAATTAATGAAACGGGCCAGAGGCGGAGCCCCAGCGTCAGAGTTACCGTGGAACATCAGTTTCCATCGCAATTTCAATTCCCCTCGCAACAGGGAGCTTTGTCTCGCAAAAGTAAAATTAAACGCTACCATTCTCGGAAGATGTTACGGGGCCGGAAGCCGGATATCCCCGAAGAAGCGCGCAACGACGAAACTCGGTCTCACAGCGTGGTAACGTAGGTTGGTTCGGCGCGTAGGTCGAGCCAGGGTCGCCGAGGATCGCGAAAACCGTCGAGACTGGCGGAACTCCCGACTCTTGGTTCCCATGGCATGCTAATGAGCCTCGTAAAGCACGAAATACTCCACTGAACTGAATAACTCGCCGGCAACGTCTACGGGAACGCCGGGGGAACGCGTACGGATACTTTTCTCGCCGCCTACCACTCTTATCGATGCTCGTTGCCTTCAAGATAGGCCTGCTGATATCGAAGTAAGTTAGCAAACAGTTGCACAATGCATTCGGTACCCGTTGACCTTATAGTTAAATTTGCTAGTACATGAATTTTCATTACGGTTGGCTTTAATGAAACGACGTTTGGAATGTAGTGTTATCATTGGTTGGATAATAGATCACAGTTTTGAAGAATATCGTAGACATGTTGCAGACTCTAAGTTAATCTTAAATCCCACCAATTAATATTAAACAGCTAACTTGTTCTTGTCAAGTCGCCGGGTATCAGTGATGAAAAGAACATGATTCCGTAGACCAGGATAAATTTAATTATACTCTACCTTTGTAGATGTATTTTTTTACTTTACGATATAATACGAATATTATTATTATTAATATTTGATATTATACAGAATCATATTTAGCAACCTGCTACAAAGTCTTTCCATCAGATTACGAAGGTAATCTGTCAGTGTATACATAAATGTTTCGCGATGCGTTGCTCAAAGCAAGAAGAAAAGATAAAGGAAAATGTATACGGTAGACTCTCGATTATTGCGTGAAATCGGGTCTGAAAATTCCTACAATAAGTGAGGTTCTTGCAACAATTAAGGTAACCAATTCAATGAGAACTAGCTTTACACAACGTGCACCAACTAAATGGTCTCTATATTTACTTGTTGATTAGCGACTATTCTTATTACAGAACAATCACGTATCATACATTCGCGATCAGTTTCAATCACTGATACAGGGGTATTTATTTTTAAACCATGTGTTCCCATACCATTAGTCAGTCTAGATAAGAACATATTATCCCAACGATTACATTCCAAATAGTTTATCCGAATAATGCCAAAACTAAAACAATCCGTAGTTCTCGTTCGCGTTTAAACGTCGTGTACGTAAATTTATACCGACAAACCGTATATCGCATAAAAGAGGGAATATACCTTGAAAAATCTTGCCGCGTCGGTATCGTGTGCCGCGAAAATAAAGAAAAACGACAGCGAAAACCAAAGAATAAAATCCCAGGAAATTTGAATAGCCTTCACCCCCTGTCCACCCCATTTCGTACTTTTGTATTCTGTTTACATCTGTATCTTTCTGCCTGGTCGTTCGTTCCGCTCCATCTTTTGATCTTTTACTCTCTTTTTCGCGTACTATTCTATTCCGTTTCCGCGTGGCACCTTTTGTTCCTCCGTTACCCTCCCCTTCGTTCTGTTGTTCCACTCGGTTTACCCTTTTCTCTCTTCGGTCTGTCCCGTCAGCGGTTCGCCTCCCTTCTCTCCCTTCTTTTTTCCTTTTTCTCTCCGCCTTTCCAGCTCCGTTTCGCGGGCTTTCGTTAATTTCACCGGTCTCGCTTCACCCTCGACCCTCGACGCGTTATCTTCACTGTACGTCGACCTTTCGGCCTGAATCCTAATGCATATATGCATGCATCGCGCGCGCGGACGTGAAATAAAGGGCTCCTCTCGCTCTTCCTGCTCGCTTTTTCCGCCACGTTCCCTTTCCTCCTTCCGATTGTCGTTAACAAGCCACCATGTGAACCGATTTTATCTATCGTCGATGATTTTTGCCCCTGCCAACCGCGGCGGATAATTAACCCGCTTGGAATTGCTCGAAATATCGCGGCGACGACAAAGATTGAATCCTGGGAGTCGAGGAGAACCGTTCCTTACGCCCCACTCGGAGGGGAACGAACTAAATACCGCAGGAAACAATTTTAATGTCACGTTATTTACCAACGCGAGAAACGGTGCCCTAGAATTGCCCGCAGAATCTGCAGTTAGGTATTTTTAACAACGTTGGTTTTAATTAAAGTTTTTGTTAACAGTTGGCAAGCGACCGTTTTGTTCTTGCTGCATCCCCTCGTGCTTACTATTCAACGTCCGCGCACGTAGTGAGTCTCTTTCATAATTTTCTAAGTTGTTCCGTTAGTTGTTAGAAATAGTAATAAACCGCGTAAATCGCCGGGCATATAAAACGGAAAGTAATGCAGCATGGGCTGGTTCTTTCGAATGTATGCGTCCAAAAGTATAGAACGAAGCAAAAAATATTGCATTAATAAGTTTTGCGTAGCGTGGCGAGCAAAAGCGAGCTAAATAAAAATGTCGGACCGGCAAGAAAAACGAGTTGTATCGTTGTATATTTATAACTTGCATTCGTTGCTTGTTTTCTTTACTCGAGAGGACGATTTTCAATGCACAGATTTATTTAGATTCATCTACGTCGAGCAAAGACCACGAAAGCGTGCCCGATAACTTCTTTGGATGCTTGCGAGTTCCATAGCACGTAAATAAGGTGCGATTCAAAGGCATGCCGTATCTCTGATTATGTAAATAAACAAGGACCCGACCGAGTGGCAAAAGACACACTTTCGCGAATGCGAATTTCTACATTCCTCTGCAACCCACTCCTCCCCAACAACGAGAGTAAATAGGTCGCCTTTCACGCGAGCGTTTCTTGGATGGATTTTACGCGACTTCGAAGGATCCATCGAATATTTAACAATTTTAGAGAAGCTCAAGCGCAAAGCTCCGCCCTGTCGTTAAAATGTTGCTCACCGTTAAATCGATTACGCCGACAAAAAACGTAGGACTTAGCTCTGCGTCACGAGAAATGTTCATTTTTCAGTAAGGACGTCGTCTTGGCCAATTTACAATAAAAAATTCATTCGGTTCGCGTAACCATAACTAAAGCACGAACCAAGTAGTCGAGCATAGATATCGCATAGCAGTGCTAGTGGAGTGCAAAGGGTTAAAAGCGAAGGCCGCGTAAAACGGACCGCGTTTCCGGCGTGGAAAGCTCGCGTCGCTCGAGTGCACGTCGAAACCAAAGTATTCGGCTGGTGAAAAAGTTTGAAACGCTTCAGGCATTGTACGGGGCCCCGAGAATCGCAGAAACAAGGGAAAAAATAAAACTCGCTGTTCGTGGGAAATTTTTACAATACTACGGGGAACGGCGAGTCGCGCCACCCGCGCTCTCGGAACGATTTTGTTTTCCAGCCGAGATTAAACCGCGCTGGTTCCAGCAATTTTCGAGATTATATCAACTCGAAGCCTTTTTCTTTCTTCGTTAATCTCGAACGACCCTGAATTAACTGGGTAAATAATTAATAATCTCCGCGCTCGGGGAAGTTCAGAGTTCGGACGTTGTTCGAATATACTCCGCCCAAGTTTCTCCAATACGCGAAATTCTGGTACATTTTCCATAGAATTCGACATCGTTGGGTGCGTTTCGTCCGTGAAATTGATCCCATCGAGCGTGCCGTGGATTTATGGTAACGCTGCACACGGTCATCGAATACTTTGCAAATAACTTTTCACCGGAAACCGAACGGTCGAGAGCACGTCAGTTCGAATTCTGCTGCTGTACCGTGGAACGGTTCGCGACCCGGGCTCCGGTTCCGAGCAGATTCAGCACTTAGCTGAAAACAGTACGCGTTTTAATCGGTGCACTCCGTTGCATTTGTGCAACGGCGTATGCACCAGTGCAAGCGACGAACGATTTAAGCTGTTCGCTCTTTGTTGAGAACAAACGACGCGTCGTGGACAATTTTTTAAACTGTCCCCGTAATATTCCACGAAACGTCCATTCAAAATTTATTTGGTACCCGGAACGATACGATCATTTTTTATTCCGTGGATTCCCAATCGACGATTTGAATACGAAACAAAGAAATTTGTGTGAAAATAAAGTTAACAAGCCAGAGGATCGAACGTTGTTCTACATTGTGTACATTGTGGTCTGCAATGATTTCCATCGGAAAAATACGTTTCAGGATCCTGGAAATCAAGACCTTCAAGAATTATAAACCGAGATTCGAACAGTCCATCGCTGCCCAGAGCATATCAGGCATATTTCTGTAAATTTGTTCGGAGAAGAGGATCGCTACAGGCCTGGTACAGTCTTCTGGAGCCGGGCGTGTTGCAACAGTCTCGAGGCTGGCCGCCTCCCTAGTTTCTCGAGTCGCAGCTGCGTAGGAGGGCCGTCGAGTCGAATCGAAGTTGGGCCCCGGGGCCCGCAAAAAGGGAGCAGACCCAGCCAGGGCAGAATATACGCTCGATGGAGAGGCGGTCCGAGGAACAATAGGGTGGTAGCGAGCGAAGATAATTATCAGAGTCGGCCGACGCAGCTGCGTCGATTCGTTTCACCCTCGAGGCGAGGCAAGTTGTGCCTTCCTGCTGGAAGCGGAGGCCAGACGATCCTCGCCCTCCTCGACGCAACAGTCAAAAGCCAGGGAAAGGGTTCACCGTGCCGTGACACCGCGCTCTGACACCGGTGTTTTGTCGCCCAGTCCAGCTTGACCTCTTCTCTAGAGCTCCTCCTGCACACGTGCGCAAACCTGCAACCCTTCGACCACGCTCCACGGACCGTTGCATAAATGCAACAGGGTGCGACCGGCGACTGGGAAAAGTCTGCTCGAAGCCTAAGAACGCCGACTTCTTGCGATTCCTTTGCGCCTCATGAAAAGTTACCTCGATGTTTCTACATTTTTCCCGCCTTCTTCCTTTTAACCGTGGCCAGATCGTCGAAGAGACTGGAGAGGAAACGTCCTGGTTTGCACCGGTACTTGTCTTTTTAGAATAGTCGAAGAACGGAACGTAAAATTAGAACAACGAGCAGCGAAGTGGCGAATGTAAGCCGAGGAAAATGGAGCAGAAAAAGGATATAGAGTTAACAACGACGGAAAGGGGACGCGGAGGCGCTGAAAGTGCACGAAGTCGAAGGGATCAGCGTCGTTGAAAAGTCTCGACGAACGCCGAGAAGCCGTGGGAGCTGACAAAAGGCTAGATGTTCCTGAGAAAGCTCGTTTCCTCCGCGTGTCGGTAGCTATTCCCGCGTGTGCTAACAGAGTGCGAAACACTGTCACTGTCGACTTGCACGCGAACCCGAGGGTGGAGTCTACCGGGGAAAGAGAATCGAGACAATCGAATATCGCGGAAAGCGTTTCAAATTGTCGAGAAGTTATCTTCGATCACCCTTGTCAACAGCAAATGCAATCGTCTCTATCCTTATTTAATCCCGATTAACGTATTGGATCTAGTTCTTTTGCTGTACAAGAACCAAGAACCCTTGATTTAAGGAGAGAGGAGACAGGCCAATATAAGAGGATTCAATATCATTAATCGTCTTAGAAAGGACAGGGTTGTTAATTTGATCTCTCGTGGCTGAGGATTGTCGCGAGTTTTATAAATCATTACCCATCGCTAATGATGCTGCAGAATTCGACGAGGACTAAAACTAATGTAAATCATTTTCGAAGTATTTGATTTCTTAATGAAGCAACACAGAAGAGGAACGAACGAAAAGAAACGAATATTAATATCTCGTTTTTTGTTGTTTTTAGAATACCGAAGCATCCGCGGTGCAAAACATCGAAACTATCCGTAACCCGCTAGACCTTGACGGCTCTAAAAACTTTCAAGATACAACTTTTCACGCGCTTTGAGACTTCCCAAGTCCTCGAAGATACTTCGAGAAAGTTTAGAATCGTAGCCGCTACTCGAATCGATAGCCCACGGACTGTAAATCGCGGCGTATTCTCTCTCTCTATCGATTCTGTGTAAATATTTATCAACGGACGGGCGTAATTGTTAAGAATTATCGTTTCCTCCGGTACATTCAAGATCGTAGTGCGTTCCTTACGCAATTCATCCTGTTTCGATCGTGAATTGTGTCCCGCTGAGCGCGCACGACGTTGTTGCGTACCCGCGTCAACGATGAAATAATGCTTCCAAAGGAACGAAATGGTTTAAGAACGGAGTTTCGCGTAACAAATGTTACTTTCGAACGTTGTCATTCTTGGCCAAGCTCGGTTTCATTAATCTCTGGCTTCTAAAACGAACACGAAAGACGAATGTTCGCGGGGACAGCCAAGCATCATTTATGTACTAAATGTTTCACGAAAGTACGAACACGGTTGTGCAATATTTTCTCGAATTATCCGAGTATCGATTAAAGCGAGTCCGAGTGTCGCGTATACCGCGGATAAATCAGAGTTAGGGGCTAATTCAGTTTCGCGGGACAAATGCGTTCGATGGGGATTTATCGCGATCCTCTCGTAGTTCTTTATTCCAAGGGGTATCTCACTTATTTTTCAATTTTTGCTGGATAGTTACGATACGAAATAAAGACAAATAAAAGTATGGTAATAATTTTTCAGGCCAGAAATCGCGTCGCCGTGAGATTGAACAGTCGCTTACCTCGAGAAGAGCAACGAACAAGCAAACGCCAAAGGCGACGACAATTAATCCTCGTCCAGGAAGCATCTTCGGCGTCTTTTGTCTTCGTATCCTCTCGATATCTCGTTGGACGAAGCTGCGATCGGCCCGCTGCGTTGGCTTCGAGCTCTTACAGCTTCCCACGCGATTCCTTCGAGGTGCACATCGATCACCGAACGTATCAGGCTCGGGATTATTCTCTGTTCAAGCAACCGAACAGGATACACGATCGAGAGCCCGTTTAAAATCCGATTTCCACGACTCACAGGATTCTCTCGATCCTCTCGAACGGATTCGATTCACTGCGCGCGACGGATCAATTTTCACCGAATATCGGAACGAATCGGCATAAACCTCGCTCGACGGTCGTTTTGTACGTACTGTCCGGTTTGAGTTGCTACCGAGGATATTTCACGGTACAGAGATCCTGCTTCGAAGGAGGCTGAACGTGAATTGAGGGAACAGCGACAGTGCAGCTGTTATTGTTGAACACGCGCTCGGTCACGTGGCTGACCCCCCACTACATCGACTCACCGACACCGTTCGTTGCGTGTAACTTCTGCGGTTGCGATAAAAGAGGGATGTTACTTACGATTTTTGAGACGGTCGATGACCCCGTCACGATCTAGATTCACTTTTTATCCCCGCAGGATTTTGCGTTCGGTCGTTTTCGTAAGCGCCGTCTTCGGTTCTTTCCGTTTTTCTTTTCGGTTCGATGCAACATCGTAGCGGACTCTTAATTAAATGTATTTGTTATTGCTATGTTTTAGGACGACTCGTCGAGCTATCCAGGACCACGCGATTCTTTCGATACATAAGCACCGTGACGATACAACAAACCCACAACCTGTTTTTTTCGGGGCTTGAAAAGGCTCCGAAAGTAACTGTTTCGAACCGTTATGTTCTGGTCAAAACTGTTACGATGCAAATGCACGCGATGCGCTCGATCTCGTCACCACTTTCATTGAATGTTACCGAAGTCTGAGCATTCGAGCCAAGGCGGCAAGAGAGGCCTTCGAAAGGGCAACTAGTGGGAGGTCTGGCAAGTCGATTCTTTCGTTCATTCCGCCGTAATCGCGTCGCCTAAAGCAGCGTTTGCTGAATAAGGGCCGTTCCTCGCGAGCATTGACGTTAACGGACGTTACAATGAACAAAAACGTCGAAATCTCCGTCCGTCGTCTCTATGCTATTGTTCGTTCGATCGACGCGCAACAGAGAGCCGGGGAAATATTTATTCACGAGCAACGAACAACAGTTTTAAATCTGTTCTCTTGTAATTTAACGCGTTCAGTATTCTATTTAAAGTATATTGGGATATATACGCGTCGCCGCGTTGCCCGACTTCGTTCAGAAACGAATTAATCGTCAACTCAACACGCGATACGCAGAAGCCGGTGGGTATAATTTGAAAAATATGCGGTCCGACCGCGGCCTCGGCCCATCGTCGATCGGTAAATCGGCGGTCCATGTTCTCCTCCGGATAAAGGATCATTCAATGATGATTCTCGCGTAGTAACGAATCGTCACGAACGCCGGCTGTCGCGCGAGCAGATTGCAAGCACCTGTCCTACAGAAAATATCCACCGGTGGATATTCAACGACGAAGGTGGCACGGCAGAAGGTTTGTCAGCTGCTACCGCAGCTGAAGTAACCGATCGCCTTCCATCGGAGCGAGATGACGATATATAGATCGCAAAAATTCCGCTTTCGATCCGTCCGTGGACCGTGCTCCGTCTCGGTCTCGAATTTCACGAACGGCTGCTCCGCGGTCCACAGATTTTTCAATCTGCCGATATTTTGCGCGCCACGTATTCTCTATGGATCGTGTTTCGTCGTTAGTTGCTCTAGGCTGAACGCTAAGCATCTAAACAGAGAGTCGTCTCGTCAGCGCAACCCATCTGCGACATCGAACGCGAACGTATTTTAAAATTAACAATTGATAATCGAACGTTCTAGTAATTAATTTCAACGACGAATCGTTTAAAGAACTACCGAGCATTCTTACTGGAAAAGGCACGATGAGATTTTCTTATCAAGATGGCCGCCAGAATTCCTCAACTTTGTCCGATTTTGCCTCTGATGTAATTTCTTTTTAACGAAACGCTGTTCAGAGTTTCGATTCGAAAATTTACGAGCTACGTTGAAAGACGTAACATCATCTACGGTGTAAGGTTCAGTATTACGATATGAGCTTATGGCGCGTGTCGGCTTCGAGTTTCCGAAACAACTCCCCGAAAATCCAACGTTTTTTTTGCGAAGTCGTGGAGCGTGCAGGTTGGTTTCGAGTTCCCCGCTCGATTGCTTGGAAATTTTACCTTGCACCGCGTATTGAATTCTTTAGAAACCGTTCCGAAATGCATCTTCACGGCAAAGAGATTTTACTTTTTGAAAATAATCGTAAACGAGCAGAGGAAAGTATTAAATTAAAAATATTTATGTTAGAGAAAAACATACAAATTTCTAACCATCGGAACATACTTAATTCGAGTTAGTTGTCTTTAATGCTTTGCCCTCTGTTCGTGCTCGGTATTATAATTTTACCATAATCGATTTTGTACTTAAGCTCAACTCGATACAAAGCTTTCTGAAACTTCTTAGTAATAACAGTACTTTGCATCGTTCAAGATTTCATGTCGTTCATTAACGGTTTTGCCCTTTGAATGCGTCTGAAAGGAATTAGGAAGACGAATCCTTAGGAATAATAAACGTAAAAGTTACTTAAGTTCACTGAGTATAAATTTAATTAATAACCGCAGGTTAAATGACCTGATTCCTTTAAAATATTCAAGAAGTCGAAAAAGTAAATTGTATACGACTGTATCATAGTTTTCTAATTTATGCAGATGTAAACCGACACGGGCTTTGTATCAAACACCTTGCTGGACGAAAGACGGCACAAAACGAACATCTGGATGTCCTAGTTATCATTCCTTGTACCTCACGCAGACCATACTAAGCAATGATCGAAACGTCATCGACATCGTAACGAAGAATTGAACAAATTCTGGTATGTGTTCTATAAATCTTATATTACTAAAGGAGCGACGAAAATTAAGTAAAGTTGAAAGGGATCGGATTCGAGGTCGGCAAAGTTCAGAAAACGCCAACGCCAGTCAGCGCGAAACGATAATTAATCGGCAAGCTGTTAGGTAGAAGCAACAATATCGAAGAGAGACTCGGTAGAACGAAGATTGCGAAAGATCTAGTCCAGCTGTTGATTCCACGATCCCTGTAGACCGAGCGTTTCCCATACATAAATAACGCCTCGCCTTCACCCACCGTATTATATGGTCCCATTATATCGTATTATATCAACCACCCATTATCCAGCCTGTTCTCTCGTTGCTTAATCTCCGTCCCCAGACGCCGTCAGCCAAAGCAGACGACGCAGACAACCATTTTTCAACCTACCGATTCGACACAGATTTTCGTACCGTTGTCATTTTACTATCACAAGTAAAAAATTATCTAAATAATCGTTTTCCTTAAGGTGCACCGCGATCATTGTTCGTCCGAAGATTCGATCATCGATCAAGAAAATTACAGACCACGCGTGCTATGGATAAGGAAAGATAATTACACGATGGTCGCCGTTGGTGAAAAATAAGTTTGAGCAAGTAGCACATCTGTCGAACGTCAAAGAGGAAATGATTTCACGGAAGAGAGTAATATTAACGAAACGGAAACGGGGAGCCAAATTTCGCCCTTTCGGTTGGTTCACGGCACCATGAACGATCGCATGAATTAACATTTTGATGCCGTGAGTCGTCGGGTTGTTTTAATTTATAATTAAGACCCCGGGGCTAATTGCAGTCGACCGGGGACCAGGCTTGTAACTGCAATGTCGAATAAGTAATGATCGTTTGCGTTGCGCGCCGGCATATCGGATCGTGTTTGCTATCTGGCGAACCTGTGGTTTCACTTGCGCTCGTCTCGATACGATATTTTCGTCTATCGTTTTAACACGCTCGTTATAAACTCATTGAAATATTCAAGTACTTGAAATTCAAACCGAGACAAATTCATTTCTCCAAGCCAAGTCAAATATTCGATTGTCTAAGTAGGTTGGATATTCGATGGCGAAAACATCAGCGGTACTGCTAAATAATTACATCGTATATTAAAACAGAAATGTTGAATTATTGAACCAGATATATTAATCGAAGGAATGCTTGCAAAATACAAGTACAGATTAATGCAATTAAACAAAATAAATTGTCAAATATAATTAAACTGTTAGCACAGACGAGGTAGAGCAGACCTTACACCTTATGGACTTTCGTCTACCAATCTGACTGCCGTACCGACCTGAGAATTCAGAAGTGATTTTAGCGTCCTCTTCGCATGGATAACGATCAGTTGAGAAACTATTCACTGAATTAGTATTGATGTAGTGTGTGCATAAAAACATGTGAGTTGACTCTGCGGGGATTGAAATTCTAAATCTGTTGGTAATGTTGCAAGTGACACGAAAATGGTAATGGGGTTTCGAGACGCCATAAAAATGGGCCGAAAAAATACATTGGGTGAAAGATCTACTTGTATACCTCGTCTGTGACAGTACTCTAGAATCTTTGATGAATGGACCGGAGGAATAAAAATCACATGCAACTCATCGATTCTTACCGCTGGTCATCACAGTCCGGCACTCTTCAGTAGTGGTCAGTAGTGGTACCAGCACTGGTCAGTAGTGGTCAGTACTGGTCAGTAGTGGCCACTCCTGGTCAGTTCTGGTCATCAGTGGTCAGCCCGGTTCACTAATGGCCAGAGGTAGGCCCCCAAATTCGCGAAACCCAATCCCCCTGGAAGTTCCAGGGGTACTGATAGAGTATGTTATCAGTACCTCTCCATATACCTCTTCCTAAGATGGAAGAGTGGGGAGACGCAAAGACAGAGTTGACAGCCGAGGACAGTCTGGTCTACAAAACTATTTCGGTTGGTCCTACCTCTTGGCCATTCCTGAACCTTTGATCTTGAGATCAGCCTCACTGTTGACCATCGATGACCATTACCTAACCATTGTTGACAAACAAATAACCAACGATCCATTAAAACCACCACAAAGTCGAAGATTAAAGCCTTCTTACAAGGATCCCCTTAACATTTAATGCACGATCTTTTTAACATTTTGTTTTACTTTGAAGGAGTGTACGTGTTCCTAATACGGCTTCTAGTATTCCCAACGACGCAGACTGACAATATACCTGTTCCTATATTTTTTATAATAAAAACGCATATAAAAATAACTTTACCAATTCGTATATACATACATTCACGAATTAATCAATATTTCTTGAACACAGGCGTAGTTTAGGATATTAAATATTTATAAAAATGGTAACGCTAGTGGGCCACTTATCTGAGAAAAGGACCGACGAAAGAATGATACTTTTTATTTCTCTTTATAACACCTATCAATATAAATATAACACATATACAAACAATGTAACAAACAATCTAAGAAAGAAGGTTCATAGTATCACTTTTGTCGACAGAATGTTCTTGTTCGATGTTATTTGTAACGAGGGAAGTATTTTCGCTTGTTTATTACAATATTGTAGAAAAACAATGAGATCGTTTCGAATATGTAATATATGGCTAATATCGATATACATCAGAACTTTGTTTGTCCACAACTGTTACACTATTTTAGCACCTTCCAGCACCGATATTTTTGCCTCCCTACAATAGATCTCGATTACGTTGCAAATGGCGATCGAACAAGCGAAAACTAAACAGGTACGGAACGGAAAGGATGAAAATGGAAAATTTAAAGAACAGGAACGTGAAACGCGACGATTATTTGCTAGTGAGCGCTTCCTTTCCACTATTTTCCATTTTGCTCTTCTTTTTCAAAGCACGTGCCCTTATGTTGCACATTGTCTTAGAGACCAACCAAAGCGTGCCTTTTTCGCAAATACAATTCAACGCTTGTACAAAGCCAACGAATAAGAAGTGGGGCGGGTAGCCGGTTGTGACCAGTTCAATGCCGACCGTCTTCAACGATGTTTCAACGAACTTCTTCGCGCTTGGCGCCATCCATGTCGCTTTCCTGAAAACAGTCCACAGTTAGAGCAGTTTCCCGATCAAGTAGACTTACTTATATCAAACGTGATTTATATAATCCTATTAATATTCCCGATTAATACTCTGTCAATGCGTTTCAATTTTATCGACTAAACTATTTTTCTTCTTCTTCCCCCCTTTGATTTTCTTTTCGGACGATCATTGTCCACTATTTACTCGCAGCCAGTGTCCGGTGACAAATTGTCAGCTACGAGTTAACTCGTAGTTGGCAGCCAATGTGTTGAAACGACTTCCTTTCGCGAGTGACCTTCTGTACACGATTATTCCATATTCCACGTTCGATATTATTTACTGTCGAAATTCGATTTATAAATGACATGCTGAATTTTCACAATGCTCATTCGCATGCTAAAGAAAATTTCCATAGTGTTACACAATGAGGGCACCAATGTCAATCGAGCGCGAACAAGTATAATTAGCTACCATTGGAAATTAACAGTCGAGTATTGTGCCAACTTTTTAAGAATCGATTTGAATAAAATTCTGCGATAAAATTTCCGAAGATCGATCATCGAGATGGATCGTCCAAAGCATACCCAAAATTACTTCTAACGAGATTTCATTTCGTGTTTTACAGTTCGATCGCTATGGCCAGTTTCGTGGTATACAAAATGAACGAGCGAACGAACGGATGTGGATTAAGTAGATGCAAGACGGAATGATTACTTGATCTTCGACATCTTCGTCGCCACCACGCCAGGCAATATGCATTGAACAGTGACGTTGTTGCGCTCGGCTTCCGCTGCTAAATCGCGGCTGAGTTTTACCACGTAAGCTTTGCTCGCGGCGTACACGCTCAAGTAAGGACCAGGTATGATCCCCATCGCCGAACTGATATTTATAAGCACTCCTTTTTTCCTCTCGAACATTTTTGGAAGAACGGCCCTCGCCACCCCGGTCACGGCGGCCACGTTCAATTGCAAAATTCTCGCTATACATTCCTCCGAGACGTTGGTGAATAATTCCGGATGGTCGTAGCTCGCCCCAGCATTGTTCACCACCACGGCGATCTGTCAAAAAAGAATATGCCAATTGGACGTTTCCATTCCGGAATATCTGCTACCAGAACAAAATGATAGTTTCATTATTCTTAGCAAAAATACTGTATGATAAATAAATTAGCACAATTGACCTAATACGGTTGACCGGTGTACTTATACATTAACACGTTGAATGTTAAACGTTTCGGTGAGAACGGAAGTGGACTTTGCATGCCAAACAACTTATAATACATTTTAATATTTCTCCTACCTGGAAGTTAAAAATAACCGTGATAAGATACAGAACAGAAAGACTGAAAGGGCGCCTCTTTTTACGATTACCCCTTGGATTCGACAATGCTAAATATCATTATTTGATAGATTGCATCGAAGAATGTTTCACGTTAGCTGGCTTTATTGCAGATCGAGAGGAAGACAAGTACCTCGAGATCCTCGACGGATTTGGCGATTTTCTCGAACACAGCCTGGCCCTTGGTCAAGTCAGCCTCCACGATTCGTACTTTGACGTTGTATCGTTGCTTGATCTCCGCCGCCACCTCCTCGAGAGTCGACAAAGATCGAGAGATCAGCACGATGTCGAGGCCTTTTTCCGCGAACTGCTCCGCGTACGCTTTTCCGATTCCACTGGTGGCTCCGGTGACCACGGCCCACCTACCCTGCTTCGCTATGTCGATCCCGAAACCAAAACTGGGCGCGATTAGTTTCCTCCACACGGTGAGGCCGATCTTCAATAAAATCCTCAGCCCGATCGCCACGAACGCGATCAGGGATATTGTTTCCCAACTGGTCAGCGACATCCTGCAACGATTCGGAAACAGTGTAAACGATTGTGCCCGAGCCGATCGATTTCCACGACTAATCGCGCGCGACTATCAACACCGTTTGCTTCGTTTACGACGTTTATACCGCGCGATGGCCGTACGCGTACTTCTTACGATTCTTCCTACTTTGCCTCGTTTCGCCCCCGCTGCTCGCGTTCGTGATAACACAATCAACTCGAGCCAAGTCACTGCCGGTCAAATTGTCCGGGTCGTGATATCAAACCTTGTCACGCTGATACGCAAAAATACGCTTTTCTGTCACGTGGTCTTCGAAAATAACGTTCGGGCTTAAAAAAGTCACGGATCTTGTACATAGAGCCTGGAGACTAGGTCTTATAATTTCGTTGCGGTAGTCATACGCGTGCAATTTCCGGAAGTGTAATTAGAACATTTACAGCGTGACAGTATACCCACGTTCGATCCAAGGTTCGTTCCATCTTCTATCGCTGTTTATTCGGCATTTGCATGCGGATTAAATTTTCATAAATGCTAATAGACAGGTTACAGCATTATCGTAATTTTCCTTCGATTTGTCCTTCTCTTTTTGTTGCACGGTACTCCGACGGATTTATCACTATCTGCGACCTCGATTGACCTTGAACGGCTATGATCATCGAACACGTCAAAGTGTAGATTGCTAAACGTGTTACGATTTCTCATACGAGTGCATACGAGAAGTGTCTATAGCGATTTACGAATACACCCGACTTGAAAATTAATATTCGTATCTTTCGCTACCGTTTTCGTTTACTTGCTATAGCGAATCGACACGTTATCGTGGGCATCCGATTCACAGCTGAAAGGCAATGAAGATAAGGTATCAAGGCTTGATAATTGATGCTACTTATTGAGAGATAATTATTGACCTTGCTGGTATCAAAAATGTACTATTGCTTAAATATTCAAGTCAAATAGATCTGTTCGGTCCGACGAACGAAAATTAGATCAGAACAATTTTTACGACTTCTAACATTATTGCAGAAATTTATCAAGAAGATTTAAACCTCCTTCGTTGTTTAATCTAACGATGATACAGCTTGTATTTCCCATTAGCAATTTAACGATCGCAAACTTCATGGTTTGCGCTGTCCTGTGTTTGAACTTCGCAACCGTATGTTAATTTTATTTCAATCGTCGATCACTGGTATTTTTAAAAAGATTATTGGAAAATGTAATTTAAGATACGAACGTGTCTACAAACACAAAACATTGGTATTTATATTAATCATGTGCAACGTAAAAACAACATCAACTAAATACTCGTAAATCGATCCTTTGAAAACACTGTTTTGTCGTGCAACCCTCTCGTCTAATCGTGCCCGTCTTATCGTCATCGATATTATCAATTGACTTTGTTAATAACCGATACTAGTGTACCGTGTATCCGTCAAGCTATACGAGTCGTAAATAGCATTACGTGAACGTTCTCTTTTTTCCCCCTGCGAGGGCCTGTAGCTAATAAATCATCGATGTTTCGTCCAGCTCACCTGTGCTCGAAATTTCGTATTCGTTCCTCGGTTCGACGCGTGTCTCCTCGGTGCAATTGATGCGCCTTCGTGTCACGTTCATGAAAAGCTCGATGACAGCGCGTGGATAAGAAGGAAGAGTCGATGCACTCGGTGTCGCGGCGGAAGTCGTACTCGAGCCAGAAGAACAACGTCCCCGTTGATTTCGTCGACGAGGAAGAAAAGCGAAACGTCGAGCGAGTTAGAGGTGACCGAACGACCCACGGAGGACCAGCCGAAACGAAACTAGGAGAAAGCAGGAAGAGTGAGGGCGAAACGAGATGGAAGTTCGAAAGTGGCGAGGGGAAGCGAGAGGACGCGACACTGTGTAGCTCGTGAGACACGGTCGATGTCGAGGAACGTGGTGGAGTTTGCGCGGATCGCGGACCACGGATACGGATAAGGATTCACGTGGCCGTGGACGCGTTCGAACGTTGAACGTGGATATAGAAGTGGACCCTGGCAATGTCAGGGCTAGGCTATACCACAAGAAAGTCGCCGCTTCCACCTTTCTTTCGACGAGAGAGGGGAAACGGTTGACTTTTTCTTTGACACACTTCGCGATTCACGTGTAACGCGTACCGCTTCGAAACAAGCGGACTAACACACCGACGAGATTTACGTTTCTAATCTGGTCGTCTTCGATTCACCCGACAACCTTTTTTCACGGACGTACGATCGGTCGAAATCACCGTCCTGCATCCTACTTTCTATATTTTAATTTTTACTTTTACTGGCCGGTCGACGTTCGATTTCGGACGATACGCGGTACGGGGGGAAACGACTAAATTTTAGACGAGATAGAAAGTTAATTTTTTGTTGGAATAAAAGCTGTTCCATCGACATCCAATTCCATAGGACCCTCAGCTTATGCTATTACATGTGTTCATTTTCAGGCAACATTGGAATAGTGACGTCCATCGTGCCGGAGTGAATAGAAGCTACGTTATCAGAGCCTTTTGCTAATGATAATCAAACATATTACAAACGTAAATTACTTCTCTATAAGTTTACAAAATGTGAATCGCATAATATTGAAGGCCACCGTTTTCTTTGAAATGAAAATAAACGATGCAGAGACTCGTCAGAAGTTGCAGCGTGTCTGTGTCAATATTTGCAAAACTAATCTGCTTCTGTATCACGTGTTTTCGCGTTTTCAGGCGCATTCGAAGGCCAAGATAGAAATAAAATAATAATTCAAGTAAATGTAATTAGGTTTGATAAAAAGAATAATTCTGTCATGTAAAGAATATGAGATTATAGACAACGCTTAAAAAATAAATAATGCTGATTAATATTTCGTGTTTTCTACGTGTTAACAGTTGATCGCTCCCGATGATTAAGCACTGAATCAATCGTAAATCGCTCGCGACGAACCTAGATTGAATTAATTACGAATAATTTGCATCTAGCGATGGGCTTAAGACCGATTCGTTTCGAACAATATTCGGTACTAGCAGATCTCGAATGTCCGGTCTTGAAAATCGGAATGGATCAATAATAATGTACGAAACACGTTTCTTTTAACTATTCTAAATATTCATCTCATCTTGTGCTACATTTTTTGTCAATTCTAATACATATACAACACCTCTAATGATTTCAGGATTCAAAACTTATCACTGACCTAAGCACTCTTATGACTGCATATTAAGTTGCATACACAACGTGTAAGGAAAGTATTAAACGTTGAGTTATAAATCAACGTGACGCTGGTTTAGAAATTCTGGACAATTGCAAACTTCATAACTTTGTTGTGTGACTTCAGGATATGGGAAGATTAACTTTAAAAATAATTAATTTAATTGCTTTGCCACTGTCCTGTCTGGATGTTAAACTATTCAAACAGAAAAAGATGATACGGTTTAAAGGAAATTAGAAAAAAAAAGTAAAAAAAAAAAAACTTGATAAGCATACTAGCATAGCTTGTACTTCAGCCTGCTCAGGTTTTTCTCAGTCAGCTAATAAATATTTATGCATATTAACAATTGACGTTTCCCGCGCTACTTTGCCGTGTTCGTACGTAATTGCAGTACTCTGTTCAGTGGCGATAGATGTCTGTAGCTCCGTTTCATCGGTAACCATGGCTGTCTGTGGTCGGTACGAATTGGTTCTAGTCTTGTCACAGACGAAAATTTGAAATTGCTTCGCGCTGCAATTTTTTTAGATTTTCAAATAACAGATCGTTTAACATTGACAAATCAATTTTAAAGTTCAACGGTAATCGGTTTATTTTGTCATCCAAAAATTACATACGCTTTGTTACTATATTTGCATTGTATTGATCCGAATCTATCGATAGATCGTCTCGTTCCCGTTTCGTCCGCCCGGTTATCGTATCGATCGCAAGTAGGTTAATGTGTTCGTTGTTGCACGATCAACCTGAAAGTTGAGAACGTTCGTCCAGTTCCGATAAGTTTCGATTTGGGTCGTGCGATTTTCATACGTCTATCTTTCGCGTTTATGTTGACTACTCTACGATAACGTACTTCCATTCTTTTGTAACCGCTGAACCGACAACTGCAGACAATTTAGTTTGGAATCAGTTTACAGTATTTACTTTTATAGAAACTAATAGAATTCGTAGATACGCCTGTCGAATGATTGGAGCTGTATCGATTCCGTAACATATCCTCTCAATCCTTTGAGGAGTATGCCCGTCGACGTCTTGTTAAGGAAATGTGTTCTTCCTAAGGCTTGAAAGCTAATAACCCAAAGGTCTTAGACCGAGTCTCATGCGTGCAACTCCGTCGTATTAATCAGCTGTTCAGAGGTGTTGGGAGTTCTTCCCTTCGTTCCCGTCTTAACAACACGCCGACCGAGCAACATCGTCAAGTTACGATGCGCCTGATGCACAGTTTGCAGATGGAATCTCCTCCAAAGCAAAGCATCGGTGTCGACGGACTTTGTCCAATCGTGCCATTCACCGCGGGTGATCTGTTGTCCCTCCATCTCAACGATCTTCTCGATCACGCCGCGAATCCATATGTTCCAATTTATAGCCGCGTCGCTGATGCTCTCCAACCATTTCGTCCAATCTCTGATTTCCTTCGACTCGACCACTGGTACATATTGCTGCATGAATTCAATCTGAGATTTGCTCAGGATGTTTCTCAACCAATTCGCGATCTTTCCGCACACCACGTCCATCACGTCTTTCAGCTCTTCCGTTAAAAGACTCGGATCCTCTAACATCACCATATTGGTCAACTTTTCGTAAATCACACGATGTATACCGTTTATTATCGGATCCTCGCCAGTATTTTCCGGCGTACTCTCGATCATTTTGTAAACGGTGTCGATTATTTTACCGAACGTAATGAACGGGAAGTCGGTCTTAAACAAATCTTCCAAATCCTCGGTCACCGTGACCTCTTTTGGTTCTGATATAGTCGAGGGAACCTTCTTTTCTGCTTCTTCTGCCTCTACCTGAGTCTCAGTTTCTTTTTCAGCTTCCACGACAATTGGTTCACCCTTTTCTGCTTCTGCTTTTGCTTTAGCTTCCGCCTCTGCTTCCGCTTTTGCTTTAGCTTCAGCTTCAGCTTCCTCTTTCGCTTTAGCTTCTGCTTCTGCTTTTTCTTTAGCCTCAGCCTCCGCTTTTTCTTTAGCTTCAGCCTCCGCTTTTTCTTTAGCTTCAGCTTCCGCTTTTGCTTTGGCTTCTGCTTCAGCCTCAGCTTCCGCTTTTGCTTTAGCTTCTGCTTCAGCCTCAGCTCCCGCTTTTGCTTTAGCTTCAGTTTCTGTTTCTGCTTCTGCTTCTGCTTCTGCCTCAGCTTCCGCTTTTGCTTTAGCTTCTGCTTCTGCTTTAGCTTCAGCTTCCGCCTTTGCTCGCGCCTCAGCTTCCTCCTGCGTTTCCGTCTCGGTTACTGCTTGTGCCGTTTCAACTGTCGGAGTTTCCACCGCTACATCTTGCGTAGCTGTTTCTGTTTCCGTCTCTGCCTCCGCCGTTTCTGCCTCAACTTCGTCCTCTTCTTCCATTTCCTCGTCGATCGGCGTCTCAGCCTCGACTACACCCTCCGTTTTCTCTCTTCCTTGTTCGTCCATATCGAGGTCAGTAATGTCCTCTATTTTTTCCTTTTCGTCTCTTTCCTCTTCGTCTTCGATATCCAGCCAATCTAAATCCCTGTCCAGGTCGTCGTCCCTGTCCTCCTCCTCGTCCTCGTCCTCGTCCTCGTCATCTTCCTCTTCCGCTTTCATCTCCTCTTCTTTCTTCTTACATCGTTCCTTGAGCTTTTCGTTCTGATGTTCCGCAACTTCCGACATCACGCCGGATATCCAGCAGGCGACCACGTCGGCCAAGAATCGCACCTGCTGCGACTTGCGATCCTCGTCCTGCGGGGGAGTATATTCGAGAACGTCGACCAGACGTTTAACTATTACTTCCGAGACGTCGCTAAATTCCGACTTCGGGATATGACATTTCCAATTTAGAATGCTTTTGACGAAATGCTCGGCTATTAAATATTGACAGGTGACCGCATCCTTGTCGAACAATCCCATGCTCGCAGGACCCACGCTCGGTTTCCTCGGTTTCGTCGCCTCTTTATACAGCGATTGGTCCTTTCTGTCCCTCTTTTTCTTCCCAACTTTCTTCTTCCGTTGAACGGTTGCCGCTTGTCTGTAACAAATATGCAGCAGGGACGATGAAGTATCGTTTAAAACATCATATTATTAATCTAAATATTGCAAGGAATTACAAAAGTTTTAGTTGGGTCATATCGATGCACGAAGTTTGCGAAAAAGTGTGCGGTTGACAAAGTGTTAGGGATCGTTTCTTATTGGAAGAACTACTAGCGAGAAGATCGCGTCAACGACCGATACGTTACTCGGGTGTTAAGCAAGTTTCATCCTCCAAAGTTTTAACGAGATTGTCCAAAAGCGCCGGTGGTAATATCGTTGCGCCTTCCTGTAAAGTTATGAGCATTTTATGCCTCGCCGGTTGAGCCAATTCCTTGATTCGCGGCGACACCGGTTTCAATCTTCTGAGCACGATTTTCTTGTCACAATCTGCTGGACATCTACGACTGTAAAAAATATTTAGAACCTACGATTAACCCATTGGCGTACGATTTAACCGCGAGTAATTTTCCAAACTTTTCTGTCGCGTTGTCACAACTCGGTGTTGAGTCTGTGACAACCTAACAGAGGGTACTGTATGTCGTAAAAATATTTAAGGATCAATTAGAATGTCACCTAGGTGTTGACAATACGTTGAGGTAATCTAATTTCGTCAAACAATGTCTAGGGATGACATCCATTTTCGGTATTGTACACGGTTCCCCAAACACCGAGATCGTTGCAAATTTTGGCGCCTTGTTTCTCTTTTTTCTTCGCTTTTCGCAACAATCCCCGTCTGACTTCGTTCTTCGCTGAAAAACAATTATTTACAACTTTATTTATTTATTTCTGTGCATAAATGTTGCGAAAAAAGTAATAAAGAGAAGAAGGTAAACGAAAGGAGAAATACTGGAAACGATTAAAAGCCTTTGGTTTGCCTTAGATTTCTTTGGAGACGAGTTATCGCAATGTTCCCATCTTTTTTTCTTCTCCTGCAACCGCGGATATCCTTCGAACATGTCATCCCTTTCCCCCCTCTTTATTTCACGCTCGATAGAGGTAGCCCGTTTAACATCTTCAGGAGCATCGTCGTGTTTCTCCATGACTGTTTTCTTCAAAAACGATACATAAGAAAGGAATCTAATCGACTAATTTAAGATATTTTGATTTTGTTCCGTTCCGTTCTGTTTCGTTTCGTTTCGATAATCGATGTTCCTCGAAAGCGCTCCTCTTCTCCTCCCTCTCAAGATAGTGATCGAGAAATACAAAAATCCCCTTTTAACGAGCTTATAAGATGTTATCAATACTCATGTTTTTCTGCTTTCCATCTTCCTTTGCAAGAATTTTCTTTGAATTTGTTTGGTTTCTTTTTTTTAGGTTTTTGTTTTTAAGGCAAAAAGGGTGAACAATAGAGTCAGTATACTTGAAAATTTAATTTACATTTTGCTTAAGATTGTTAATTGTGTGATTCGGGTGCGGATAGTAGGTTAGAGGAATCTGTTTTGTTTCCAAAACGTTGTTTTTTATTTTTCGTTGGGAACAACGTGAAATCAATAAATAGTAACCTACATGAATTTACCTACGTTTCTGAGAACACGTATGTAGTAGGTAATAATGTGAAAAGAGAAAAGACGAAAGAGAGAATAAACAGTTATCGGTGAAGCAAAAAAGCTGTGGAGAAATGATAGACGAGGACGATAATGAACAGTGAAGTTTGTTACGGATGCTTGGAAACTGAAAAATTGAAAAAACGTTAGGCAATCATAATTATAGTCGGCAAAGCGATCGAATGGACAGTAGCAACAACAATCGCCTAGCAAGTAGAGAACGAAATGGTTAGTACCAGGTAGAGAGTCGATTGCTCCAGCTGGAGACTGTAGAAGTTGCTCGAAGATGGCAGTAGCTTCGGTATCGGTGCTCGACACCGATAGCTGCTCCGTTTACTAATCGATCATTCCGGGTGTCGGGTGTCGGGAGTCGGTGCAAGTAGGTGCAAGTAGGTGAAAGTTGGTGTGCCTATTTGAGAGGACGCATACTGTGCGAGGACACTTGGGAGTAAAAGAAGAGTTTCTAAGATATGCAGGTGTGCGAAAATAACTGTTGCTCCTGCATAAGCGGCCCGTGATACAGGAGTATTAGTGCGAGATGCTGGCTGGCATTGTGTCGTGAAAAATGTCGAGACGCAACGTCGAGTCGACGGAACGGAACCCCGTTTGAAACGTCCAACGATATCCTTTCTTTCGCTTTGTTGCTGCACCGCGCCGAGGGGTTACGATTATGATGAGATAACGAACGCAGAATGAGATACAGCGGCAGTAACCTTCTCGGTTATGCAGTTTCCGCGTTTATTCTATTTTTTAACGGTGAGTCAAGCTCGTGTTTTCTTTACTTTATCCTCCTGTCTTTTCTATTTTTTCTTCGAATCTTTTTCCACGTTCCGTTCACGATCTTTAAGCTCTGTTCACCGATTCTACTGTTTTGTTCTGTAAATATGTGATACACTTTTGGCTTTCCTTCAAAACTGCGCGCCTAAAATTTGTTGAATCAGCAAGCAACCTTCGTCGTTTCGAATGACGTAGTCTATGGTTACGCGTCAATAGCAATTCTTACGCTTTCCGTGTTCGTACAGTTCTACCTACGGTTTCATTTTTTCGTACGTTCGTATCGAGCGATAATTTTTAACGAAAACTCGCTAGTTGGATGGACTGATTGACGTAACGTGCATATGACGCATGTATTGTTGCCGCTCACCTGCTCGCTCGCTTGATACGGTATGCGCGCGCCACATTTTCAGCCGTTCTGGTATATACAAATTGCTGTACAGATTGTAATTTGAGACACGAGTTCGTAACCGGCATAATGGTCATATGAAACGTGCAAATTTTAAAAGAAATAACAGATAAATTGTGGATCGTCGTTAAAGAAATTTTCCAAAGATTTTCTTCGAATATTTTACAGTTATTCGGGCAGAAAGCGGCGTTACCTGCAAAGATCAACGAGGGCGATTTTTCGAAAGTGGTTTATATTACATTCCTGGTCCAGAACCTTGTTCGTTGTGCGTTTGCGATAATGGCAATCCCAAATTGTGTAAAGCATTCGTTTGCAAGTTTGCAGAGGTATTTTAAATAGTAATGTAGTTGCATTGCTTAAGGCATTGTATTATTCTTTTCCAATGATACAAAGCGTGCAATTGAAAATTCATTTTGCATTCAATAGGAAGATTGTAAATCTTCCCTACGTGGCGACGTCTGTTGCGAGTATATTTGCTTGGATGATACACTTTCGTCTCTATCAAATGACAAAACCGATGGGATTGGCAGCAATACAACCGATGCTACTGCAAATTATGATATAGGACTACGATCTGTTGCTAGTTTTGTGACAGTTGTGCTGTCATTGAGTCTATTATTTTTCTTAATACATCGCTTGCGCCAAAGAAAGATACGAGGTATTTTACCTTTCACAACCATATTACTTGTTTGTTTCTTAAGACCATAGAACAGAAATGTTGATTTTCTTGTAAAAGTTTGCGTGGCAGGAAGACAGAACAGACAGTTGGCAGAGGACCAAAGAAATTTAGGTAATATGGGATACTTAGAACGAGATGGATTGTCGCATGGCATTCCTATGGACGATATTTCGTGTGGAGCTAATTATCCATTATGGAAACCACCCAGCAATTACTTTCCACGTGGAGAGGCTCCACCCCCTTATGAGGAAGCTGTCGCAGCGGCACGAGCAGAGCAGGCTCTTTTAGCTATGAATCCGCAAGCACTTCCTCAACTAAATTTTCCAAATAGCTATCTGACAAATGCTAATAGCCGTACTAGCGTATCGCTAGTAGGAAGCACACAAAGTGGAATAAATGGAAATCCAACGACGCTGATATGCGACGCTGGTATCACAGATTCGAGCGTCTTAATGTCGACGCCGAGTAGACCAATTTCAAATCCAAATATATATGCTAGTTATCGTCAATCGAATCAAAACGAAGCGCTATCTCCAGGCGTTAGCGTAGGAACCTCCACTACAAGTTTTACTATGGGCACGAGTACTTACGAGAATCTACCTACTCCGATTGGAATCCCAAACTTTGCTAGCCAGCATCCAGATATAACTACACAACCTGTGTCTAACTTGCAACCTGTTATTCCAAAAAGTTATCAAACGCATACTACTCTTCCTCGTCAATCTGGAGCATTTACAATATCCGCGACCTTATCCAATTCCAGCGTGACTGCCCACCGTACAATTCCTAGGACTCTAACCACTCGTACTAGTACGAGATTACGAGATATTATAAACGATTGCTCCAAGAACGAATTTCTACGACCCCCGCCAACCAATGTTGCCTCGCCAAATTTGCAACATTCTGTACAGCAAAACGCTTTAATCAATCAAGAAAATACAAGAGAAAATACAAATCCAAGTACATTTTACGAAGATTTACAAATACAGCCTTCAGCGACTCCTTCTTCGTCAGGACTACAACAAACCGAAAGACAAATGTTAGATCACAGATCGGAAAAATGCAATGATTTTAAGGTATATATTTATATGTACAAAGTATTCCAGATTTTAAGAGTCAAACTTTGTCAGTGTAATCCTTGGATTTGAAGCCTTAATACGCTGGAAAAATTTGTGCCGTTAAATTCTGAGATAGTATGTCGCGAATAAGCAATCTTGTAAATGTACTTTATTCGTTTCAGCCGCCATTGAACGTAGCAAATGAAATTAACGAAGAAGGAAGTTTCGAATCGGTAGCTTGTACTTGCAGCATGCAAGCTCTTCCTACTCTTCACGATGATACTGACGATTATAGAAGTGAATGTGAAAATTGCAAGAGCGCGACAGGTTCTCGTTACTACCTAGATAACGAGGACGAATTAGTTACATCTCCACACGAAACTATGACATTACATAGAAGACCAGATGAAACAGCTTCGAGTACTACGCCTCAGTATTATCGAACTTCGCTTACACTGCCCATAAGTACCCGTCAACGAACAAGGTAATTGTAAAAGATTTTCATTTATATTATCGCATCGTTCTGCAACGATTAAGAACTTGCCGGATTATTCATCGTAGGCGGCAGCAGACAACATATTTCTTTATTTTCAGGAGTACCGGAGTTCGAGAAAATTGGTTCAATACCATGCCACAAAGTTCAACAGAATCGTCGGACGAAAATTAATCGCGAGAATATAACATATAATTCCCACACATCATGTAGCTATTAAGATGATCTATGATGCATTACCATTGACAAAATTCAGTATTATGGTAGATGGGCAATGTTCACGTTTTATTACGTTGCGGGCAACAATGTCGTATTGTTATTAATAGAATGTCGTCGGTTCACTGAAATGTTTTCTACCTCGTTCACTGACAAATCTGAACTGTTCATGTAATTCATGTATTCAGACAGTGCACGATCTATGATGAAGATTAATCACATTTTTGCTTTCACAGTTCTTTACACGTTATTATACTGTGGGAGCAAATTTTAGATATACCTATCGTAGCATCGCAACTTACAAATTCTATAGGTTCGATTTAACGAATACTGAAAAAACAAAATAGCTTTATAGCATCTCTAGGATTTTTTTAAAACTATGTTTGATGCATATCGTTCGTTACAAATTAATCGAGGAGAATGAAAACTCAATTTTTATCGCTTTATCTCCATCGGAGTCGAGTAATAAACTTCATTATTCTTGTAATCACGAAGAACATGCATACATTTCTAGCAACTGGATAATACAATAACGTGTAAAGAGCAGATTGGTTCACACTATACGTACTGTTACACATAACTAGTACATTAACATTCTATTAGCTCGAACATAATATCGTCGATAGTAAAAGATTGAATATAAAATACAAAATGAAACGTTGCACATAAATCAGTACCGACTTAATAACTTATCACAATGTCATTACATTTACAATAATTTTTAGTATCTTCATCACGTACGATTTTTATATTCCATTCAGTATTTCTTCTGTATCTTATTGAGTTACGTGTACCATACCATTTTATGGTATAATATGTTTTAATTTAGTCGATAACGTTATTCAAAAATTTTCATCCTATTCCAACTTTTTCTTATAAAAAATTTAAGACTGTATTTTTACTGTCACATCCAATTAGTGAGACGCGTGCATTCTAAGGTCTTTTGAAAATACATATCAGTGAAAATCGCAAGGTCATATTAAATAATCGAAAGATGACTATTTTCGATTGTTATCAAGTTACATCATCAAATTTGTTATTCTTAACTTTGTGTTTGATGTGAAATGCAGACCTTCGATACGCTGTGAAGTAACAATATTTATGATTTCCATTGTTCGATTTCAGAAGTTCCATTGGTTCGAATAGTGTGAATCAGCTTTAATGCGTGTTGTATACACACATACGTTATATGTTTTTCTATTATCATGCGAACATTATTCGTTTCCATTATATTCATGTGTATGTGTGTGTACAGAATCCACAGATGCATGCACGCACAAACACACATATAACGTCTTTAAACATAAATTAATACTCAGGAAAATTATACCTTTTCACTTTCCGTGTGAAATACTTTTTTCGTGATATATTTTTTCTCGAATGTTTTACAAAAAAATTGAATGTAGTCATCTGTATTCTATTTATAAACAGTTTGATCGTATAATATATCGCGAAAATTTTCACTGACTGATTTTAACAACCTGATATAAAAATAAAAATTTTTATGTCTATACAATTGTATTCCGTACAGTAATAAGAAAAATTACATTCGTTTTGGAACTGCTTATAATAATACATACTTTTATTATACGCTATAGAAGTACAGTGAATGGAACGCTAATTATCTACGATTGATAATTGGTAAATCTTAAAGCGTATCACAGATGAAAAAAGAATGACTTCCAAAAACGCGTAATCTTTAATAATTTCAGTATCTGGTTATTAATAGAATCTAAGAATTCGACTGACTAATCAACAACACCCGAAATGTCCCCGTTTGGACCGAATGAAAATTACGTGTTAACAAAGTACACAAAAAATATGTTTCCTTTCGTAATTACTTTTATTTACATTTTTATATGACACGGGATATTGTCTTTCTTGGCTGCCAAAATAAACATTGTAGCGATTAATAAGCGCTAGAACGTATAATTATTGATAATATACTAAATTGTGATTATTAAATTGGTCTGCATTTTTATGTCATTATAACAAATCTTATTGTATTTGTACATATGTGCAGGTTTTATTATTTACGTTAATTAACGTAAAAATTTTTGTTATATCCTTGCGAAATACTTTCACCTGATATAAAATTTAAAAAACAAGGCACATTTAAGGGCTGCCTAGCACGTTATAACGGAAATATAATTACCTGTAAACTATAGTTACCTTACGTAAATATTTGTAAAATTATAGATATTTATTTCTTTTATAAATATTGTATATTATTTAAACTTATGTTTTGCATACCTCGATGCAATACGAACATTATTACGCGATATCACGATTGATTTTTTATAAACAATAGATTTTTTCGCAATTCAAATTGGTCAAACATGTATTCTATCTTCGACGTAAAATATCGTAGATTTTATGTTCATAAACTGGCCGACGTTGAAACTTATACATATTCTTATTTACAGCTTTCACGTTCAAGAATCAATTTCGATAGATGTCGGAAAATCTAATTAATTGATTCTTAACTTAAAAAAAGAATGGATCTGTTTGAAATGTATGCGTTAAATCAGTAGTTTCGTTTTACAACGCGTTACCAAACATGGAGTATAAGTCATCGAGGATCAGGATCCTACTCTGTTTTTTACTAATATTAGTGAATTAAAGGCATCGAAAGTATCGTAATATATGAATATGCTAATTATTGATATTTGATTTGTCTTTGTGACATTTAAAAGCAAAATGAAGGAAAACAATGGTAACTATAAGAAAGAAGAAATTATATGTGCTAGAATTTTGCGTACATAACCAACTGGTTGTAAAAATTGTATGTTTATTAACATAGCAAAAATTGTAAACCTATAATTACAAACACCATGGACTTTACTACACAGTGAATCTGCAGTCTTGTGTAACGCAAGCTGCATTTATTAGACAAGATCGATATAAGGTAACATGTTATACAAATTTGATATAACAAAAATACTTGTAACTTTGACAAAATTAACTACATATGTTCCATAGCACACGGAATCTTGCTATGTTCTATATTACTCATCGGTGAGGTCCGTTAGAAACGGTGCCGGGGGCAACCGTTTCGGGCCGGGTGCAAAATCGATCGATTGCACGTGTCGCGGAATATTCTCGGTCCTCGAAGGCCCGAGAATGTTCCGCGGCGCGCGCCTCGAACTTTTGCACCCGGCGCGAAGAAAATCCAAAAGACGATCGGGACCAGGGGTATATAGCCAGGGTCCCGATCGCCGGGCGGTACTTGATTTCTGACCAGTATACCACGCACTCGGTATCGTAACACAAAACGCGAAACAATATTCACGAACACAATTTAATTATTATACAAAAATATATAGTTTTTCCTGCACACGTTGTCCAGATTATTTCAAACCCAATTAATCCCAACGGACTTAACAGGACGTAGGGATCTTAAACGTACATTCTTCCGGGTGTCGAAAATATTCGTGACGAGGACTTACGACCCTCGTCGACGCGTCACACAGCAAACGCGTCTCATCCGCGGAGTGTACGAACATTTGGTCCTTCGAGCCGGATCAAATGTTCGTACACTCCGCGGATGAGACGCGTTTGCTGTGTGACGCGTCGACGAGGGTCGTAAGTCCTCGTCACGAATATTTTCGACACCCGGAAGAATGTACGTTTAAGATCCCTACGTCCTGTTAAGTCCGTTGGGATTAATTGGGTTTGAAATAATCTGGACAACGTGTGCAGGAAAAACTATATATTTTTGTATAATAATTAAATTGTGTTCGTGAATATTGTTTCGCGTTTTGTGTTACGATACCGAGTGCGTGGTATACTGGTCAGAAATCAAGTACCGCCCGGCGATCGGGACCCTGGCTATATACCCCTGGTCCCGATCGTCTTTTGGATTTTCTTCGCGCCGGGTGCAAAAGTTCGAGGCGCGCGCCGCGGAACATTCTCGGGCCTTCGAGGACCGAGAATATTCCGCGACACGTGCAATCGATCGATTTTGCACCCGGCCCGAAACGGTTGCCCCCGGCACCGTTTCTAACGGACCTCACCGATGAGTAATATAGAACATAGCAAGATTCCGTGTGCTATGGAACAACATATTTTAGTTATTTTAGTCATTATCGTTGTCATTCCTGGAGGCTAAGGCTGAAAAATATTCTAAAGTAATCATCATATATAATTTCTTTTCTTGTGTATACATATGTGTACAGGATGAATCATCTAATATGTATTGAATTTATCACGTTATCGATATCGACGATACAAAACAATATTCGAGGAAACTGAAGATACAATTTGATTAGAAGAAACATTATAAAATGTCTGACAACTCTTCTTAGCAATTTCTATTTATAAAATTTCTGTATTCCCCTCGAAATCTATTAAGTTTTGTATCTTAATTTATTTTCGATTCAACTTTTCGAGATAAATTCATTTACATATTAAATCGTAAAAAATCGCCCTGTATATCTATAGGTATATATACAGAGGGTTGCAAAAATAGGTGACCAAACTTTAACAGTTTCAATTTTTCACATGAATTTTTCTTAATCAAAATTGACGAGCACGTCGAGACGACAGAACCTACATAAATATAGAGATCTCCACGAAGTAAAGCTAAAAATGCAATAATCTCATTTGAAAATGTTTCTAACGATTTCAAGATTGTTAAAATTTATTAGTCATTTTTAATGAAGTTTTTTTATTGTTTCGATGTAGATTTACAGATTAAAAATTGTAACCAAATAGAAAAAATGAACAGTGATAGACATCGAACCATTGCTAAGAATAATTCGCGAATTTCTAATTATTAAAATTACTATTTTGGTAAAATCGTCTAAGACAAAAACATAACGGTCATAGCGATTGTTTGAAACAATTGTAATAGAAAAATGTAAAATATTTGTTTTCTAAAATTATTAATTTTTCTTGTAAAACCTTCATCTAACGTTGATTTTTCAAATAAAGACAGATATTATTTATCCAGAAATAAAATGAATTTATATAAGGTGAGAAAGAGACTATCCACCTGAAATATTTCCGTAATTTTTTTATATAGAACAAAATGTATTCGACAAAACGCAATCTGATTGAAAATTATGCTTTGATACCGATTCCTCGTATTTGCCTGTTCGTCGATCTAGTTTGTGACACTCACGTAAACATATACATTATAACAACAGTAAATAGTGTAAGTTTTTATTGTATTATCGATAGCTATCAATATAACTTTCACTCAATGATAGTTCATGTTATCAAATAACTTCTACTATGATTGACAAATAAACAAGTACACGAAAACAATCGCTATCGCGCTAAAGATGAAAGGTATGAAGTTCTGTTTAAATAAATATAGTTGATCTTAAAATTGATCTAAATCTTTCCTTAAAAAACTAATGCTACCATAATATGTCTCTCTATATACCGTATAACTGTTATACATATACGTTTGTTTCTATGTCCAAAGACAACAGAAATATTTCAGATAGACAAAATTTCTACCCCGCCTTATATAATTAAAAAGTATAGCAACGAGGTACAGCCAGGTAATGATATGTCGAAAATAATGAATTATAAGAAACGACACTGAAAGCATTTTGTTTTAAGAAAACAAATGATAAATGGAAGGGAAGCGATACGTATGTACATACCTTACAAATAATGTAAGCGAATTCTGACAAAATCGGAGTCTCTTCCTATTATAGTCGACACATTTCGTGTGTTCATTAAACTCGACTATATTCCATTTTTGAAAGAAATGTGTTCATTATATAATAAATCTCTTTCTATATGCATAAAATCGTTCGGCGAGAAAGGGTAAAACAAATGTGACGTGAAATGAATTTGAGAAAACGTTTAAAATTCTCGTAGTTCAAACGGTACAAAAACTTGAATTACCTAACTGTTCGTCTAGTAATTTGAAGAATTGTAATATATTTATCTGAGTAGTTTTAGATGGGATCACTATTGCGCTTACTTGTGTAAGTGAAATATTATGAATTAATATAAGTTATACATATTAGAAAATTTATGTCGGCTAACTATTATTTGATTGTAATAAACCAATAATTTACATAAGTTAGTATTTCTCGATCCTTTGTTGCGTGTTTTATCGATACACACTTACCTTTCTTAACACGTTCACTATACAGGGTGTACGCGTTAAATTTTTTAAAAACATGTTTCAGGTAAAAAAATGTCAATTTTTGGTCGGCTATAACATCTTGTATATTCTCCATATTGTATCTACGTTCCGTGTAAACCATATTTCTGCTCCTGAAGTATAATCTCTTTCTACCAGGAAAAAGTTAAAGAGCCTATTCAAATACGGAGCATAACTAATACAAGTTTACAGGCTACAAACTGTATTAGTACTATCAGATATGAAACTACAGTATAGGATATAATTACAAAGTATTGGACATAGTTGCCTGACAGAAAGTTTACGAAAAAGAAGTACTGCAGTGAACGTGTTAATCTTCCATTACCACATAATAAATACCTACATACGATAAATGTTATTACATGATAATATACAACACGTGGTCAGTTCATGGTTATAGATACATACTCGGAGGCATGCGTCTCAATTTCTAATTGCACCACGTGTCGCTCACGCATGCGTACAAAACTAAGCAAAACTCGTGCATAAATAGCACATTCATACGTACGTTATGTATGAACATAGTATATTTACCTGTGTATCCTCTGTGTAGATGTGGCTATATGCATAGTACAATTTCGATACATCGCAAATCGCAAATGTCTTTCATGCAGTGTGGCCAGATCTGGCATAATTGAGTGCATCGAAATCGACAACAGTGACGACGAACTTCCTTAGCGTCTAATGGAGTGGTGGGGATAGCAGGCATACACTACCGCACGAGCCACGTGTACGTGAGCTCGGCGCTTGCGCACAACTTCGGGAAATCGATAAAGAACGTCAGTGTGAGCCTTTCCTTCTTGCTCTTGTAAAAGACAAAACAACTGAAATACGACCTCGCGATAAGTGGCATACGATTCCAAGCCTCGACTGTTCCAGCATTTTTACTTTCCGACCTATGTAAGGTATAAGGAAATTTATAAAGTATCATAATGGAAAAAAATATTTCGAAATTTTTTTTTAGCGGAAATACACGTTTTAGGACCCCCTCATCATATTGTGACTACTACAAAAAAACATATTTTTTTTTTGTTCCTATGCTATTGACATGATTGCGTCTAAACGGCTGAATGAATTTCAATGAAACTTAACATTTAAGTTTTATGTTCTCGTTTTAAGGTCTCATTATATTTTAAGCGTGATCAGTTCCCATATAATGATGATTATACGTCTGTAGTTTTATAATTATTTCGATACATATACATCATTTGTAACAAATTTTTAAAGCGATTTATATAAATCTTAAGAAGGATTAAGATCAAATATACTTTTTTCCTATCTTTCCTAGACAGGAAAAATTAAACGAAGTCTTATGCCTTGCATACCTACCTAAACCACATAAAAAACGTATTCCACAAATATTTTAGAATAATGTTGTTCAAAGCAGTCTTACTCGTAAAGGGTTAATTAAGGGTTAATTAAAATGAAAAAACAACTCTTAGCCAGTACCGTGCACGCTACAGAAATAGATTACTACTGACTTTTCCCACTATGTTTTTTAATAACCGTATCAAATTGTTACACACAATCAAATGTTATATATTTGACTTAACTTTACATAACAAAATAATTGTAACGATAGGTAAAACAATAACGTGCACGCTACCGTTCAATGGAAACCACGGGAAGGTGGTGGTCACTTCCATCAGGAGGGAAATGTAAAAAATTGTTATTTCTTTGTAACATTATCACATGCCGTATATTAAAATGTTTTTATTAATGTAATGAAATTACAATATAATGAAAAACTAACTCGTGAATGCATTAATTTTTATTAATATACACACGAGCCATAAAAATGGAAAAATGATATAATTGTTTACATTTCCAAAGGATGGGATGTTGGGATAGTACGTTTGCGATTAAGCTGGCACGTTATATCGTGCATTGTTGCTCTTACGGTACCGTGACGTAAGTGTAACAAGGCGCGACATTCTACGTCATAGCCACACTATCTACAGCAAGCAATTTCACTAACTAAAAATATACGGCAAAATATAAGCAAATAAATGAAGAAAAAAAATGATAGTTAGAGCAAGCAGAATAGTATTTACAGCAAGCGAAATACGTAAAAAAAGTAACAATGCGAGACAAATTGAACGACTATTTACATATTAGCGAAGTCCAAAAAAAAATATTTTGGACATCACTAACAAGACTGCGGTTGCAGTGTAAGCGCTTTCGCGTGACGTTATGGCACATACATACATGCATCACACCTTGTTGCGCCTACGTCGCGGTACCGTTGACGTAACAAGATCAGTCTACCGCGACGTCGCATGAAAACGTTTATACTGTCATTGCAGCCTAATAGTACGAATTTACTAAAGAGCTTTTCTCTGGAGAGAAAAATCTCTCTAGAGAAAAGCTCTGTAGTAAATCGGTACCTTAATTTTCGTCATATGACGTAGCGGGAAAATTCTCAAAGTTATTGTCATATGTTGCGTTTAATCTTAAATTACACTTTTGCTTCTTAGCAAATCTATGATATAAGTTTTTGGAATACAATAGAGCTAGATGATCGTCATCTACCTCCATGGGTTGAGAGTTTTCCCTCTGCGCCTTTAACGAAGATTTCACAACGCAAATAGAGTTGACGCTGGCCGAAGAAAGTTTATTCCGTTTCTTTGTTTTTATGTCAGGTAACATGGAAAACAATCTTTCTGCATCGGCATTGGAATTTGGAAGTGATCTAATTGTATTTACTAATTTCATCAATTCAGGAAATTTAATTTTATAGTCCAAATTTCGCGTTAATAAAATTGTTTTCCAGAAACCATCGAATTTCATCTCGATAAGCGTCTGTCTACCTTTCGTTGTAAATTCCAAAGGCAATACTGACCATTCTGTTTGCAGTCCTTCGTCGAAACCGCCGAATTTCTTAGCGATTAAGAGAACATTTCTGAAGGAAATGTCTCTATTTGTATCATTTAATATAAAAGTGGGTTCAAAAACATACAAGTTGCTAAGAAATTCGTCATCGATTGGCAATCGATGACGAATTTCATTTGCAGCTGTAATATAAAACATTAAACAATTTTTCCTTACGGTTTCTACGATGTCGGACTTGCCTTCTGCATTCAGTTGATGCAGAAAATTAAGACACTCTGCTCCTAAATTTATACTATTAAATGGGAGTTGATTTTCGACTACAGAAAAATTCATCATTCTTACTAAATCCATGTGTTTCAAAAGCTGCGGTTTCAGAAAATTGCGTAATATATCGCATAAAAGTTCTGCCGCAGTCTTTTGAAGCAAATGAATTCTTGTCTCTTGAGTTTGAAAGAAAATGCTAAATTTATAAAAAAACTCAAGAGCGTAATTTAGAAAATAAAGATATGCTTTGGCCTCTGGATTTTGTCCTATCCCAACATCCCATCCTTTGGAAATGTAAACAATTATATCATTTTTCCATTTTTATGGCTCGTGTGTATATTAATAAAAATTAATGCATTCACGAGTTAGTTTTTCATTATATTGTAATTTCATTACATTAATAAAAACATTTTAATATACGGCATGTGATAATGTTACAAAGAAATAACAATTTTTTACATTTCCCTCCTGATGGAAGTGACCACCACCTTCCCGTGGTTTCCATTGAACGGTAGCGTGCACGTTATTGTTTTACCTATCGTTACAATTATTTTGTTATGTAAAGTTAAGTCAAATATATAACATTTGATTGTGTGTAACAATTTGATACGGTTATTAAAAAACATAGTGGGAAAAGTCAGTAGTAATCTATTTCTGTAGCGTGCACGGTACTGGCTAAGAGTTGTTTTTTCATTTTAATTAACCCTTAATTAACCCTTTACGAGTAAGACTGCTTTGAACAACATTATTCTAAAATATTTGTGGAATACGTTTTTTATGTGGTTCAGGTAGGTATGCAAGGCATAAGACTTCGTTTAATTTTTCCTGTCTAGGAAAGATAGGAAAAAAGTATATTTGATCTTAATCCTTCTTAAGATTTATATAAATCGCTTTAAAAATTTGTTACAAATGATGTATATGTATCGAAATAATTATAAAACTACAGACGTATAATCATCATTATATGGGAACTGATCACGCTTAAAATATAATGAGACCTTAAAACGAGAACATAAACATAAATGTTAAGTTTCATTGAAATTCATTCAGCCGTTTAGACGCAATCATGTCAATAGCATAGGAACAAAAAAAAAATATGTTTTTTTGTAGTAGTCACAATATGATGAGGGGGTCCTAAAACGTGTATTTCCGCTAAAAAAAAATTTCGAAATATTTTTTTCCATTATGATACTTTATAAATTTCCTTATACCTTACATAGGTCGGAAAGTAAAAATGCTGGAACAGTCGAGGCTTGGAATCGTATGCCACTTATCGCGAGGTCGTATTTCAGCTGTTTCTCTTTTACAAGAGCAAGAAGGAAAGGCTCACACTAGCGTTCTTTATCGATTTGCCGAAGTTGTGCGAAGTGCCGAGCTCACGTACACGTGGCTCGTGCGGTAGTGTATGCCTGCTATCCCCACCATTCCGTTAGACGCTAAGGAAGTTCGTCGTCACTGTTGTCGATTTCGATGCACTCAATTATGCCAGATCTGGCCACACTGCTTTCATGTTACTTCGGGATATGTATCTTCCTCGTTATAATATATAAATTTTATTTCGATAACGTTCAACTACTTTTCTTTACCATTCTTGCGATGTAGCTAAACGAGGAATATTTTCTTTCAAAAAATAAGAATGGTGTTTAACTTTTAATATACGCATTTCACGCGCGTGCGTGCGCATATGACCTAACCTATAGAAGATGCTTTTCATCAAGATATATTTGGAGTTTACACACGATATGCACACACGTGACAGTCGATAAAGCAATCAATTTTATAGTTTCGATATTTCTCATATTATGGAAAATAAAAGACTTTCAGTTTGGTCAAGAGGAAAAAGTGTTTATTTTTTTTTATTTAAAGGTTGCTAGTTGAAAGTATTTTTTTATCCGTAAAACGATCCCGTGGATATTCTTCGAACAAACATCGAAAAATAAAAGTCACAAGAGGTAGGTAACGGCGGTAACGCATGATTTGTCGAGATATAAATTCAAAGTACCAACAGAAGTAAGAAAATAAGAAAAATAATATCGAACACTTGCAATTGAATGCAACAACAAGGCGTTGATGCGCAATCGACTAATTTAATCGGACGCCATCTCGTGCTATGCAAAGGTATCACCTAAAATAAGTAGTTTTCCAGCTCAGATCCGACATTCGCTTAAACGCAATCAACTACACGAAGAGTTGTGACGGGTTACAATCCACCGCGAACCACGATAGTCAGAAATAGGCAAGAGGAACAAGGAGGACACGTAAAACATGGCGGAAGCCGTTATGAACGGGTCTTCACTGTCCCGATTTTTTTGTCACAGATGCAATATCGAAATTGAAGGTTTACTACCTGTAAGTATACTTATACATTTTTTACAATGATAATCGTCAATTTGATGTATTTCTTTTTCTGAAATTCCAAATCTTTTGTTTCGATCTGTCATTCGATATCACGCGTGAAACGTTTTTTCTTGCTTTCCGTTCCGGGATGGGAAAGCGGTTTTATACATGCTATTATTCTTGAATATCTTGGCAAATTCTTACTTTACACAACCGTATTATTATGATCGATTAACGTTTGTGCATTGTAAAAATGGCACGGCTTTCACGTGAAATTTATGTACGTCAAAAACCGTTTAATTTGAACAGTCTTCATTTCCTGATTACTTTAAACGTTTCTCCTCGAGCCTATGATTAATTTCGATAGTATTTTTTATGACTAATAACTTTAAAGAAGTACTGACAGTTTGCTGTGCATTTCCTATCTTTAAGGAACATAAAAAAAGGCAAATAATTAGTATATATGAATCTATTAAATTCGTGGGTATATTCTTTTTGACAGATACGTAAAAAGCATCAAATATCTTGTACATACCTTTTGTTTGCCAATATGTTTATGTTTGTTTTATTATATGTACGATACAAACTTAAAGTTATATAGAATTATTTAATTTATAATGTTTATCTGTTTGTTATATTGTTTAATTCTTTTTCAGGATTACACATGTCCAAGATGTGCAAGTGGTTTCATAGAAGAATTGGAAAGTGGTAGTAACGACAGTAGCTCAGGAATAGATTTTAGTCACTTAATTGAAGATTTAGGTGACATCGATGATTTATCAACATATAATGTAAGGAAAGTTCTTAGTTCTTTTTAATATATTTGTTAGCTAATTTAGATCATGATCCTAAAATCAATTGAATATTTATTGTGCAGTACCCAAACTTTAATGACTTAGAACGTTATGACCTAGAACATGATGAATTAGAATTTGATGAGTTACCAGAACTGACATTGCGTCTACCTAGTCCTAGACCAACAGCAAATGCTCCCAACAGAAATAATGTTCTTCCTGGTAGAAGAGGAGTGAATTGGACCAGAAGTAATTCCGACACGAGCCTTTCTGGCAGGTATGGTGTTTTTCAAGATATCTATACAATTTCTGATAACCCAAGTACAGGTATCCCACGAGTTACATGGTACTCGAGTTACTCGAATTTCGACTTGCGCTGAACCAATTAACCATGTAACTCAAGAGACACTTGTAGTTGATTTAAATTTAATCGCATGCACAAAATCCAAATTATGACTAACAAGAAAATTCTCTTATGTTTCTCAATTAATTTTTTAAACATTACAAGCATTACATAAGTAAAAAAAACATGCAAACATATCATCAACTTAAATTCATTTGAGAATTATATTAACATATTCATGACATTTCTTGCGATAGTAGAATTGAATTATTTTCTCTGATATATTTTGATATTTTTTATTCATTTTCTATTTACTATAAACACAATATAACGTAATTTATAAATAATAAAATTGAAACTAAGTTGTAAGTGCAATTGGTTAATTTTTTTGCATCAAACAGTCGTCGTCGAGGACCGCAAGCTAGAATTATACCGAACTTATTACGAGATTTTCTACTTCATCTCGCAAGAGCAGGTCCAGGTCATCCACAGAATAGGCAACCACCTGTGTATGTACAACATTAAATTTTTATTATTTGCCTGTATTATTACCTGTACAATTGTACTTGGACTTTTTATGTGCGCACGTATTTATATCATATTCCATGAAATACGTTACACACATTTGAATAGTAGTAATAAGTTAATTATGTAGTTGTTATCCTGAGTGAATTCAAGAGCAATTTTTAATTCATATTGTATGTGCATCTAAAACATTGTTGTTCGGCATACAAAACGGGATTTTGTGTTAGCCTTAAATAAATACTACCATATTATGTAGGAATATAGATTTAAATGATAGCCATTGCAATGAAATTATAAATTGAGTGCACTTACAGTTTTAATAGTGTCTAATTTCTTGCCTATTTCAAGCTTGCTTATTTCCGTGTGTGTAAAAGACCAATGCTTAATATGTATTTCTCAAATATTTATTTATTATTATGATAAAGGTGCATTGTACATAATCTGTAGTATTTTGCTTTTTCTTCTTTTTGTGTTCCACATTTTTGAAACCGCATGTATGTGGGTAAGAATGTTTAGTGTGTCCATGCGCGAGCAAGCACAATATAAATCGTACATATTTATTCTCTTCTATAGAGGAAAAATTCCCCGAATTTTCTGACTGTATTGCATACAGTAAAGCATGCTAATAGCCTTGATGCAGCATAAATTGTTACATAATAATCCTGGTTTGTTTTCTGTCGAACATCAAGTAAACTATTTTTTGTTAGATTAATTTAAAACAATAGGTCAGAAACAAACATCTGAATAACCTTGTAAGTAATCGTTGTCGCCACGTAAGTAATCGACGTGGCGACAAACGCGTTAATATATATGCATGTATAGTGGAACAAATATAGCGAGCTCGCAAAAACTATATGGTATCAAAATGGCGATATCGTTGATTATAAGATACTAACGATTCAGGAGTAGGCCTCGAGCGATCTATGTTAGATGCTAGAATTTTAAATATCTGAGTGCCTCAAACAGCTATTGCAGATACCATATAGTATTGTTACATAATTTCTAAAGGACAATTTTCCGTTGCAATTATGGAAAGACAGTCCAGTGACAAAAAATAGAAATAGACTCAGTCTAGATAGATAACTAAGGCTTTATAATCAATAAATAGCTTTTCAGTAACGAGAAACATATTTGTTCTTAAGGAAAAACTGTATTTGTTTCACGTACTATACAACCGGTGATAGTGATCCTTGTTACTTAAACAGAATACAGTAGTCCCCACTTTAACCCTTTGCGGTCGAGTGTCGACATATAACCGGCCAATTTAGTTTATATACGTATTATGGAGCGGCTCGCGTACTTACGTCTGTCGTTCTGAACGTTAGGATACGCATGGGTATAGTAAACCAAAGGATCTAATTTCCTTTCAAAGAAATTAAGGACCTTTAGCGATTAAGTCTTAACTTCCATATAATGTAAACTCACGACGTGCGAACCAACAGGTTTTCGTATATTTTATAACATCCTATGAAACCAGATGTCGTTGTAAATTATAATAAATATATGGGCGGGGTAGCTAAAGCAGACCAATATACAGGTACATATTGTTTCATACGAAAGTCCCAAAAATAGTGGCGGGAATTATTTTTTTGGGGTTCTAAGTCTCAGCCATAAATTCTTATATATTATATTGGAGAAATCAGAAGAAACACAATAGAAAAAATTTTTTGGAATAGAAACTGCTCCATAATTGTTTTTGTATATATTTTAGGTGAAAATATTTTATAACGCGCATAGCACCTTTAATTTGGTGACTTATTTTTGTTTTTCTATTCTATACACCGTTTTACTCAATATAGAATTGTTTAAAACCATAGAATATAGTTATCCATTAAATGGAATACAAAAATTCAAAGTATAAGTTGCTTTTTCACGCGAAAAACGCCGAAAAAATCGGTTTTTTATTTTTGCTACTACGGCGCACCCTGCCAAAAAATCTGAAAAAATTCAGGGACATAACCAATGACAATATGCATTTACAGTAATTATATAAATCTAGTGTCTCGAAAGCTTCAATATGAAATCGGTATTTTTCTGCGTTTTTAATTTTTCGCACCCAGGATTTGGAATCGAAAAATCGGAAAAAATTCTCAAACGCATATCTCAATAACCACAATGCACCAGATTTTTTTCATAATTTTCGTACTCGATTAAATAGGGGAAACAAGCACAAATTCGCTAATCCGGATTTTCCCTATAGCTACCCTTCCGAACAAGATACAGGGTTGAAATTTGGCACAGAATGATTTTTTTTTTGATACTCTATCGATGGATCCATCGTATGTCGAATTTGGTTCAAGGGCGCATTTGACCCCCTTATTTAGCTATACCCTTTGTTTTTGTTGTTTGTTCTAATTTTGTTGGATTTCATCAAAAAGTTTTGTATTTAAATAAAGCTTTAGTTTTCAGAACGCAAACGTTTGACGTGTATATTTTCTTTACTGCGCGCGCCAATATCTCTCGTTCACAGCGACGCTCGCTTCGTTCGCAGTCTGTGCCGAATCTCCGTTAAGGTGGGAACTACTGTACATCACGCTGAACGTATCTCCGAACTAATCAGCCTTTTTGTTATGTGGCTGGTGATACATTGTTTCATTGAGAAAATCATTGTCACCGGGTGTACAGTCACCTTAAACAATTCTATTCGTATTATACAGATGCATAGAAATCAATAGATGTATAAGCTCAATGATACACAGACTACTACTTAGGAGTTAAAACATGCCTAGCACCGTTTCTGCTTCTGTACAATATGGACAGAATCATTTGTGGTGAGTATACAAACTGCAAAGTATTACTACAAGGAGAATTGCTAAAAAGCTTGTTCACCCAGGATAAAAGTCGTTGTTTTATTCAATATTTAGTATTACTAAAATAAAACAAAATAATGTAGATTCAATATTAGACTGTTCTTGGGAAATCCCGGAGATTATGTTTGGGGTCAGAATGGTTTGGATACAATTGTAACACAAATGTTAAATCAACTGGATGGAGCCGGACCACCTCCTTTGCCAAGGAAACAAATCGATGAAATACCAACTACATCTGTAACTCAGTGTCAAGTTGGTAAGTATAAATTGCGTCAAAATTTAGACAGTAGAAAATTTCATTCATTTTTTAAATTGTTTCCGATGTATTGTCTTTTACTATCTGTAGATAGTAAACTCCAGTGTTCTGTTTGTTGGGAAGACTTCAGAGTTTTGGAAGCAGTCAAACAACTTCCCTGTCAACATTTATTTCACTCGCCATGCATTGTACCATGGTTAGAATTGGTAAGAAAAAAAAAGCTTGTAGCAAAGAAATGAATTCTTTTTTCTTATTAGTACGCATATAACATTCTATTGTTCATGATTTCTTTCTCTTTCCTTTTTTAGCATAGGACTTGCCCTATTTGTAGACAGAGATTAGGAGGTCAAACCTCTCCAGAAGCAAATCAAGATATTGTTGGATCTAGCTTAGCGGCTCTGTTTAGGTACAACGAAAAATCTTGCTTCGCATACTACTTTACCTAACTTAAAATTAGCAACAATTTTCACTAATTTCAAATGCATACAAAATGTTAACCCTTTGAGTACGAAGTATGACGCTGAAAGCTTTACACGAGCGATCACCACCAGTAGTAACAAGTACTATGGCTAACAGCATTTCAAAGCGGCGATCTTTACTGAGCGTACATATGCACTCATAATCTGCATGAACGTATACAGGACGTCTCATTTTAATCCATGCGATTATCAAGAAACTAATGATGTTTCGAAAGAATGTTTCAGATGAATGTTACTTTATTTCAAGGTAGAGATCTTATGGTGGGTATAACTTTGTTCCAGGTGGAGGCCCTTCCGATATTTCAAGGTCACCCTTGTTTTTTTAAGCGGAGCTATCTACCTTTTTTATCTATTTGCAAAATCATTCCAGGTTAAGTTCTATTCATTTCAAAGATAATCGCATGGATCGTATAGAATAGAACATCCTGTATAAACAGAGGATAATAACTTAGATTACTTTAACCCTCGGATGGCGGATTATCTTAACAATCGAACTCAAAGTGTTAAATATCCTTTTAGTTTGAGATTAAAAAGATTATTTGAACGCGTTTATTTATTTTTTAGGGCGGCGAATGAATCAAACAGTACTAGCTCATCGTCTACATCATCAACGAGTGAGAGTTTAGATTGATTATCCAATCTTGACACTTTCTCTACCTAGCAGGACACACAAGTATACACACCACACATATCTGTTTTTCACTTCAGGTTTATTTCCTGGCACTGTTGACTCCAGCAATGCTTATATACTTCGTAAACATTGTATACCGATGCTAACATAAATTTCAAGCTTTATACCTTAATCAACAATGTAATTGTAAATCATAAAGAATAATGGAGTATCGAGTTACAACATGCATATGTTACTTCGAATGAATTATATCAAGGTGCGGATCACCACAAGTCAAAGAAAAACTGTATGCGTGCATACGTATTTAAAGTTGAAATAACCATTGTTATTATATAGATGCTATTATAGTTTACAACAAAGCACAGTTTATTAAGTTTCCCAAACGAACGTGTCTAAAAATTTTAAAAGATATGTGCGTTTATTTATAAAACATTTCGGATTTGAATGTTTAATAAATTTAATGTAGCAGAATAATATTTAAAAAGGTAAACATTGTAATATAACTCAAGCATAGAAAGTGTATTACATATAAGAATTATGCGATGAACGTTAGTGGTTTTCATTTTGTACAGTTCAGTCGAAAATTCATGTGCAAATTCAGCGCATCAAATGTTATAGCAAATTTCCTTTTCGACCATGAATGATATCACATACAGTTTACATTAATACAATTAACTGTATTATACATTCTTCTGAGTTTTCGACATATTCGAAATCGAATCATTATAGTTTTTTGTCTGTATTAAAGTCCATCTCCTTGCACCAGTAATTCTTTTTTTTTGTACAAATTATTATTCATACATCTTAGTTTGAACGACACCAATAAAAAAATAATCGTGGTTAATACTGGTGTATGACGTACGTATATATATATATATATATATATGTATATATATAAGTAAATATTTTAATAACTAAATCATGCAAAATAGAAAATCATTGTGAATAATTTACAGCATAGAACAATTTCGATATTTGTATTTTTATTGAAAGTAGTTTTTTCCATCAGTCATCATCAAATCGATTCGCAAAGTCGATCGTAGATACGCTACATAAAGTTTAAATCGTGATGTACGACTTTGTCAGTGTATCTTAAAATTCCCTCATGGAGGACGGTAAATACAAGTCTTTGTTCGCTTGTAGTTCACAGTCGGTAAAGAATTTAAGTACAATAAATATACGAATATAGTAGGCATTGTGAATAGTGAGATGGCTACGTATTATGTTTACATTTATAGTTATTAATATATTACACGACTGAGATTGTTTACTACTGGCGATACCAAGATCGAACTCTCCTTCAATTTGCCATATTATCTAGAACATAATAAAGTATAATATTATATCTCTGTAGGTGGATGAAGTTTAATTTGTTTCGAGTCGTTTAATACAATGTAAAATGCACTTTAATTTTTTATATTGCTCATTTCTAAGCATAAAAAAAACCAAAAAGAAAACAAACAAAATTGAGGAAACTATAATTTGTATTCGGTTCTCATGAGTAAATCTCAATTTAACCGCGGAAAAATTGTAAATGATTTTAAAAATAAATAAATGGCTTATGTTCAAAACATCCTAAGTATGATGGTTATTCACTAGATAATACAAAAACATTTCCAGAATATTTTGATAATTAGTATTATTACACAATCTGTGTTATTTAAAAATGTTAATGTGTAACTATCTTGTAAAGATACCGCAAATGTTTAATGTAATAACGAACGAAAGATGTGTGAAATACAAAAAGTTGTAAATACATATTTGCATCCGCCTTATCTTTGAACGTACCAATTTATTTCATTCATTACGTCTTAAATGATATTTTTATTTTGTCAGGAAATAATATTTTAAAGACGATTAATCGGTACGCGATTTAAACTAACACACACGCTGTGACATTCTGCTCGTATGAGTTGGCATAACATAAATCGTATGATCATGATGTAATATTTATGAGCATAACAATTAAAAATGAAAGGAAATTGTCATCTCTTTGTTTAAAATTATATCGCAATTGTAAAACTAGTGAGTTTAAATTGTCAGAATACATAACTTGTATTCGTGTAGGAGAATAGAAAGTGATCAAAGTTGATCGTTAAATGTACTGTAATTATCAATACTAAGTTTTTAACTAAAAAACTAACGGAACTATGTATATAAAAGAACTGTGCGCAAGAAACAATGTAACGTAAAATTGGTTACAAATTTTGTAATTTAAGCATATTAATCGCGTAAAATGTCGAACATAACCAACCAAAATGTTTCGATCGAATTGAATAGAAAATAGAATACTTGTGCGTTGAGTGATATGAATTGAGTGGAATGCATATTGTGATGTATATTTGGAACATTCGTAAGGAATGGCTGAAAAGGAGGCAAAGATTGAATACGTGACAGAACCTTGTCCTATTGAGCCTCGTAAAATAGGCCCACAAAATATTGTTGTACGCTTAAAAGGTCGTGAAACGTTCGGATGCCCTTATCCAGGAACGCATGTGCATAATGCTAGACAATTTTACCAAAATGTATTTCCAAATTTTACTATAATGAATGTAGAAAAACCGCCGTGTTTTTTAAGAAAATTTAGTCCGGATGGACGTTATTTAATAGCCTTCAGCGCAGATCAAACTTCTATAGAAGTTTATGAGTATCGTGGTGCATCTGCTGCTGCTGATTTATTAGCAAACTGTGAAGGTGAATACATTGGTCACAAGAATGATGAATGTAGTTTTCAAATTAGGAGTAATATCTTTAGTCGATTTTTCAAGGTACATTGCAATAGCTTCACTTTTCTACTATAACTTTAGTTTACCTTAGGGATGATAAACAGTCATTTAAATACTAAAAATCAATGTTTAATAATATTTGTAGGCAAAATGGATTGTAAATGTAGTTCAAAGTAATGAACAATTAAACAGAGAATGCAGTCTATTTACAGATGATGGCCGTTATGTAATTGTAGGTTCAGCTGCTCATATTCCAGATGAATTGAGACCACATTTTTATCAGGTATATACCTTTTTTATTAATTAATAAACATCTGTTAACCCTTTGTGGATGACATCATTTGATATTGTATATAATTTTCTTTTTTAAGATTTATTCCAACAATGAAGCATTAACTCCAAATCCTAGATCACCTCTTGAAGATTATAGTTTACATCTAGTTGATCTGCGTGGTGGGAAACTATGTGATACCAGACATTTTAAAGTAGATAAAATATACTTATCTCACAACCAAGGTACAGGTTTTTGGTTAAACATTATTTGAAGACAGTTTGCACAGAGAATCCAATATGTAAAATAACAGGAATATACTTTCCCTATACAGGTCTTTATTTGTATAAAGATATATTAGCAGTGCTGTCTGTGCAACATCAAACTATTCATATATTTCAAATTCTTGATGGAATGTTTATCAATGTCAGAACAATAGGAAGGTATTGTTTAATTACAAAAATGTCTTTTGGCTTGTATCAGTTGTTATTACTACACTGTGTTGTTGGTGATAGTCTTTAATTTACAACAGGTTCTGTTTAGAGGACGACGCTTATTTGGTTACAAGCGCCTGTCCAGGAGTAAATTCCCGTCCATTTAGAGACATTACAATAAATAGCCTTAAACACAAGTTACTAGTTTATCTGTACAAAAGAGCGGCGTACATTACCGATACGACAAAGGATCCGTATGAATTAAGACGTTTCTATCAATACTTCGATCAGGTATCGTAGAAGACGTGCTGGCTACGCGTATTGTAACAAGTACTTACAATACTTATTAGCCGACAAAATGCTTACAAGTTAATATTTCAGTTAAACGCGTTACGAATGTGGAAGATGCAGTTATTAGACACAAATCACATACTTGTAAGATTTGCCAGTGAAGAAGTGGCGACGCTTCAAGCAAACGAACCTAATGCGCAGCCTGCACTTTTAGTTGTTTATGACATAGTTTCAGCTAAAATATTAGCTGCTTACGATAACGCGTCCACACAATTGTTAACGCTGTTCGAAAATTTCAGTGATTTTTTCAGAAATGCTAGAATGAGTACAGATTGTCAATACATGTGCTCTCCGTCTAATAATATATATGCAAGGTATTATATTTATAATATAATACTTGTACACCAAGTACAAGCCGTGACAGTTTGTAATTTTGTTGCAGACTGTTACAGCAAAGATTCAAACAAACGATTGTAAGTGCTAGATATGGCGGTGTTACGGAAGCTACAAAAAGATTACTTGCTCAGTTGCCCATATGCGCTCAATCTTACTCTAGTTCCCCGTATCTGGACTTGTCCTTATTTTGTTATGATGACAAATGGGTGTCTATGATGGAACGCCCCAAAGCATGTGGAGAACACCCTATACGGTATTATTTAATCTTCATGAGTTTAATTTTGAAAACCGCGCCGTGTAGTAAAAGCAAAATGTCGTTCAACATTTTTTTATATTTGTTTCGCAGATTTTATGCTCGAGACTCCGGTCTTTTAAAGTTTCGAATGTACGCGGGGATGTTAGGCCGTACCACACCCACGGCTGCAAGACGATTGGTTGCATTTACTTTCCACCCTACGGATCCATTTGCTATTTCTGTTCAGCGAACAAACGCTGAATATATTGTCAGTTTTCACGTCAGGCATGTTTAAAGTCTCATCGAAATATGTAGAAATTTTATTACCATTCATCTGACCTTTAACCCTCTTTACCTCCTCTTTTTCAATAAAAGCAATCTCGTTGTACAGTTTTAATAATGATTACCGAGTGTAGTTCAAAAACCTATTAAGGCAACCGATGTAGGTATCAATGAAACATTTTTAATATGTTCGTAATTTTATTAAGAAATTAAAGTTGATCAAATTTGTAATTTACTCATACTCGTCGAGTATAACAGTTATGTGCACTATGTATGAAATATAATAATTTTCTAATGAAAACGTTCCTTTATGTACATATGAGGTCATTGAATTCGTCGCAAGGCGTAAAGCTTTTCGATTGATGGAATGACGACATTGGTGATTCCCAAGTGGTGGAACATGGCGGTTCTCGGTGTGCATGCACAAACTGGTATACAGAGGCGACACTTATGTAATATAGGTTTCTATTGTATAAATGGTACTAGAGAGAGTACGTGGTCATTTATGACTTCCATTGGTCAATTTATGTGCATGCGTTTTCAAATTTGGTTTTGCAACAACTGGGAAATGTCGCCTCTGTATGTTACTCTGTGGTACATGGCGTGAAAACGAGCTCTTACATCTTATTTAAAAATGCGTCACTAGACGATAAAGCTTGCTTCTCTCTGACTTAACCCTCTATTTCGCATGGAGGAATACCAACATTGCGGTGCAGTTTTGAGTAATTATTTGTAAAGGAGATAACGACGCCATCTATTGTATACACTATCAAGTAATAAAAAAAGACGAAGCAACATGTAGAGAACGCTTATAGAAGCCATGCTACGTAGCGTGTAAAGTTGTAACGCGTGATATTTGGGTCTAAAATTTTATATCGTGTGAATCTTTAATTTGTTTCATATACATAGTAAAAACTGTGGTTGAATTTCATGATTTAATATATACATATATGTATATATATATATATACAAGAGGGAAGGAAGTGTAATGAAAAAGAAAGTATCTTTCCATGCTTCACGTTTGTGCTATATATGACTAAGGCGGCAAGCTGATATTACTTCGTAAGAATTGATAACTTAAAATTGTAAGCAAACAGTGTTACATTTCCTTTATTTCGTACTTTACAATATTTAGGTAATTTTATTTGCGAACATATTCAGTGTTTCTTTTATTTAAGAATATGTATTAAAACGTGTTTTAACCATACACGCATTGCATTTATATATACTGTGTATGTATAAATGCAAATGTGTATATTTACAAGTACCGCACGGTACTACAAAATGATTTATAATTAATAATAGTAAATCAGTAATGATGAAAATTCGAAAGCACGTCTTAGCACGTAATATTTTACCGAATTTCACAAAGTTTAGTTTTATTAACCCCTTGTCGGACGGTCCAAAAATTGTCAACGTGTCCTTTTCATACATTACTTAAATATGCTATTTTAATGTAATAAAAATGAAAACATTATGAAAAGATATTGTAAACTATAATTATATTTTTTCTGTTTTGTTGCAGCATTATAGTATAGGAGCCACATGTACTTTGGAAGATTATCAAAATTAAGTATATATTTTGTTACTCTGGAAGCAGGTCATGGAATACTTTGAATATTAATTTATTGTTGCTATTGCTTAGTAATTACCAAGATTCTTTCACTTCTTCCGAGCGAAAGGATCATTTTTACATCCGCAGTTATTTATAAATCAATGGTGGTTTTATTTGCATGTTTACATATTAATCTCTACGCTTGAAATATAATGAATAAAATTATGTTCGATGATCCTGTAGCAGTTAGAAAAATGAACGACGATAAAAGCAAAAAAGACTATAATACGCGCAGTACAGAAATCGATAAAAAATATTTTCTTCCCTGGTGTCCTTTAGATGAGAAAAAATTGCTGTTGAAGCATAGATACATATCATGCAGTAGATCGGTTCCGCGTAGAAGCAAACGTTTTGATCGATATAATAAGATAAACAGATCATTGAATTTCGATTCAAATGTTCACAACTCTAGTTCAGAAAACAGTTCTTTCGAAGAAGACAAACACCTGTCTAGGTCTGCTAAAATAATGAAAGCCTTAAATAATACCACCAGTCCGTCGTATTATGGAAGGACAAAAATAAAGAAATCGCTAAATTTTAACGTAACTCCTAGCGTGAAAAGATTTATGCCTCCGAAAAAAAGCATAAGAAAGTCTTTGAGTTTAAACTTTGGTTCGCCATTGTCTGTCTCAAAAAAATTATCAAGCTTTGATAATGATTCAAGCGATTCTATGAACAATAAATTAATATTTACGTCTTCCGAATCTATCGATGAAAATCAAAACGAGACACCGTCGCAGCATAGCACAAAAGAACACGAGATATTGCACTTTTCTACGCCCAATACGAAATTAAGCAAACAATCTTTGAATTCGCCCAGTTTTACACCATTATTACGTAGCCGGCTAAAAGAAACTATCGATAATATTGTATACATTACCGCAACGTCCAGTTCACAGTCGTTAAAATGTATCAAAGGCAGGTCCAAGTGTTTGGATAATGTCATAACGAATACATCGAGAAATTTGTATCTTGAATTTGATGATAACGACGACGATAGACCCTGCACTCCTGAAAATCTAATTCGTATAGTTCCTGAAAGTATGAGTGCCATTAAAAGGAGTCATAAAAAGGTAATAGAATACAATTTTTTTATAATCTTTTCTATTTAGCGAACAATTTTTTACCCTTTGCATGATTATAATAATACAATCTCTCACAGGAAAGATCATCAAGACGCAGCGGGCATTGTATACCCGAGCCTGCAACCAATTTTATAAATGATACGAATACATTTGAATTAACTCGGTATAAAAAACCAATTGATCATTTACAAAATTCTGACACTATAGATCGATCTTCTAGCAGAAACTCTAATTCGGAATATGTACCGTTGTACAATTCGGAAGACAATATTTCGGAGACTGGCTCACTCTTTGACTACACAGAGGAACTGAAAAATATTTTACAGGAACCTAGAACCGAGTCTGATTGTATGTCAAACAGTAACATTGTACTGCCCGAGTTCTATGAGCCTAAGTGTTGTATTAAAATAGAAAAAGAAGAAGTAGAAAATTTGTTGGACGCAGAAACTTTGAACCAAAGTGAAGTCGTTCAAAAAACGATTGACATTAAAACAGAAAATTATGATGTTGACGTTAAGACTGAAGTTAGATCAGTGACCCCAGTATTAACGGCGGAAGTATTGCCGGGATCGCAGAAATCCATTACCCCGGAGAATCGTGTAAACGTTTTGCAACAAATTTCTTACGATTCCATAAAAAAATCTCATAGAAAGAATAAGGGCGTAAATAGGAAGCAATTTTTTAGTTCAAAAGTTTTACCGTGTAAACTTGAGGCCGCGGAACAAGACGACGGGGACTGCTTGGAAAATTCCGAGCATGATCAAAGCATCGATGAAAGTAAATTAATCGTGGATGAGAATAATCTTGATACATTGGAGATGGAACGAGCATGTACGCCTGAGAAGGTAAATTCCAGCAGATTATTACTGTCGCAATTCAGTTCTGTTAAAAGATCGCACAAAAAAGATAAACATACAAAAATATTATCTGGATTTTTGAAACGACAAGAATATTTTAACAAAGAAATAGATTTCGATAGGGACACTAAGGATAAAGCGTTCGATATCGACGATGGGCTCGGATTTAAAAAGAGCACGGAAGATCTTTCGGATTTCGATAACACTGCAAACTCTAACGATTCCAGTTATCTACTTAACATGTCGTCGGATACATCATCTCCAAGTAAAAGAAAAATATCGTTGAACACGTCATCGGATCGTGATGCAAATGCATCGTACGATTCTGAATTGCAAGAGTGCGATGTGCCTCAGGAGGAATTTCAAATTTTTACACCACTTAAAAGAAAAAGATCTTTAATTGCACCGGCCGCGAAAGAGTATTTACATTTTTATGATTTACCGTCCGGGAATGATGAAATTTCAGAAGAAGCCATCGCGAATGTCAGTTTCTCGAGGTGTTTGACGCCCGTACCGAGTCTACAGGAAAATTACATGAAATCGGGAGAAAATCATCTCGCGACGGTAAAATCTGATAACGTTGGTTCAAACGATAAGACTGGCAGATCGACGCCAAGGAACATGTCGACCGAAGAATTGTACAACAATTTAGATTCCATTAAAAAATCGCACAAGAAGAATAAACGTGGTAATATTTTACGAAAAGGCTTCGACTCGATTAGAAATAATCTTTGCGAGGGAAAGGGCCAGATTTCGTCGGACAATATCAAAGAAGAGATATGCGAGAAATTGGAAATATCGAACGATAGTATCGCGGTGTACGATGCAAATAAATCGGCCACCGATGAATCGATCGACCACGATAACTTCGAAAGTTTGAGCAGCAGTTCTGCCAGCGACCAGAACTTGTCGACTACTGATCCAACCACGGCGTTACAAAATGTGACGCCACCGAACAGTTTCAAGGCGAAAAATTATCTCAGAGTATTGCAAGAAACATCTATTAAGCGATCGCATAAAAAGGTCCGGGATCAAAAGAAGCACAACTTCAAAATCGATACGAACGAATTGTCGGACGATGGATCAATATTTGGAGACAGTGATGAATTAGTTTGTATGGACGAACAGCCTGCTCGGGAGTAATGATGGTCGTGTTGATATAAAGATTTTCGATGATATAAAATAGATAACTTACTAGTGACGTGGTAAGTGTAGTTTTAATAATTCCTACACGATTAACACGTAATACGTACATCGGATACATGTTTAGAAACTTGGAAAAGTTATTGAGCGTCTGCAGTTTTTTGTCTGGCTATATTGATTTAATTAGATTTCTGCTTAAATCAGTCTATTCAGCTCCAAACACTTCTAATACATGCTCTCCGCCGTATCGGAGTTAGTTTCTTTTTATTCTTGATTTCATGTATATACATACGAAATCGCGAATGGCGCGATTCAACAATCGTTGCGCAAACACGTATACCCAAACTGACAATATCTATTTTCGATTGTGATTTACTGTATCATTTAGTAATATTGTGGCACACGCATAGTTCGAGCGCGTTTGCACACGCGGTGTGCTAATAAACAATTGAATCTATGATGAAATCATAGAATCGTGTTATTTGTTAAGAATTCTCAGTGAATTTTGATCACTTCATTTTTAAGACTGGCTTTGTGTACAATTGTCTCGTCCCGCATAAACATTAAATTGTATATATTTTGATGAAACATTATGCGAAATAGTATTCGTAAAATAATGGGACAGGAAAACAAATAGGATACTCTTTGTGTTTTTTGTTAATTGTTTCAGCATTGTTCTAGTGTAAAGTTTTTCTTTTTTCAAGTTTCATAGCATTTATGTAATGTATTGATACGAATAAAAGCAGTACGTGACTAGCAGTAATTGATTCTTAGTTTCATTGTTCAAACATTAACTTCGGAAATTCTATACGAGCCACCGATTAAGATAAATGTTAGTTCTGATAAAAGTATATGTATTATCAGTAATAGCATTACTTTTCTTTTATATGTTTCAACGATTTTTAAGTGCCTTAACCTAAGTATGTTTGCGTAATCCGCATAATGGGAAGTCTAATTGACTAAGTAATACTTAAGCAATTAAATCGTTAAAAAAAAAATATAATGGGAAGCAAAGTTTGCAGATGGTAATCTTTGTTGCAATACGCGTGTGCATTACGATTCTGTATAGCAAGTAACAATCGGGCGTTATAGAGTATAGCAGTGGAACTGTACCCTTTGCGTTCTCCATAAATATGATTTTTCGATATTATACTTTACTCACAAAGAGAAGTTGCACCCAAAGTTGGGCAAATTTTATTCACGAATAACGAATACAGAAGTTTGGATAAAATCGCCGACTCCACAGATGCGACTTCTCCTTGTCAGTGTCTTCCTTTTCTAACATTGCCGATGTTAACCGATATACAGGGTGTTCGGACACTCCTGGGAAAAATTTTAATGGGAGATTCTTGACTGAGGCTTCATTAAAAAGTTATTAAAATGTTAAATTAAAAAGTTTTAAATCATTCTGAAAAAATTATTTTTGATTGCGGGGCTCAATTACAATTATTTTTGGTGAATACACATACCCCTGAAATCCTACCCATTTTCTAGAAAAAAATTCAGTACGGGCGGGGAACTTTAAACGTTAATAACTTTTTAACGAACCCTCCATCAACAAATTAGTATTCTTTATTTTCGTCTTATTTTGGCCTCTGGAATCTCCCATTAAAATTTCTCCCAAGGATGGCCGAACACCCTGTATAATAGAATGAGAGTGGCCACACTTGATGCATCAACACTACATTTACGGACATTGCACATATTTTTATTCAAACTCGTCATGTTGACGGCTATATTAAAATAGTTATCATTACATCAGTAAAATTCAACATAAATTGCTAACAAATAATATATAAACGTTGTGTAACTTTAAGTATGAAATCTGAAGTCCGTAAAATTGGTGGTTTCCGTAAATCTAGTGTGTTAACTATTGCGTCAATTGTACAATAGACTCCCGTGTAACACAAATATTGGTCGCAATATCTTTGACGTGTTATAGGAATTCGCTCTATACGAGAGTCTACTGTATGTACGATGTACGCTCGGTAGAATATCAGAGGTGTAAATGAAATAATATTTCCCTCGTTGACTGTTAACGAATTTGAGAAAAATGTCGGCTATCTCTATGGTATATCACAAGACAGTCCGATTTGCAACTAATATACGTATACCGAAAATATCTTAGACGGCATAAATAATACGTAAATACATTTTGTCTAAGCTGTTTGATAACTAACGGTGAAAAATATTTTTGGCATAGAAGAAAAAGATCCCATAAACTAAATGACTTATGATCTCGTATATGTATAAAATAATTGTACGTCACGTTCGAGTTTGATGCGATACTAAACAAATTATTCAAGATAGATACAGTTAATGAGAAACTTGTTCAAAATAAAAATGTTTGGACCTTTAAAATACATTGATCTATTAGAAATGGCCTGATCAAATCATTTTAATTCGTTATTCAGTTTGCATGTTAACATTCGCATTTGGAAGTTTAATTTGCATATCGCCAGAGCAATACACCAGTCTTTGTATTATACATGTTAGAAAATAAGGTAATTTTAAATTGAAGCTTCTTATTCTCTTTTATGTTGTCACTACTTACACGAGAATTGTATACATAATCTAGCACTTGAAACGATTAACCTAATGTTTCTAAGCCTAATGAATTTTATTTGAAATATAGCATGTATATTGATAAGCTATAAGTTACTTGTAATTAATAAATTAGATATACGATATTTTTTCTATTTTGTATTAGTCTATATTTGAATTTAATTGTACCATTAACATTTTCTATAATTTTTCTCAACGCCGTTAGTAATGCTTTTCGTAGTATTCTACTATTATGGTTTTTAACGGCAAGTACGAATAAAATGTCTAAAAAATTTCGACTTCTCTATTACAGTAATAGTAGGGATAATAATTTTTAGAACGATTCATTCGTATACTATTATCTCAATCTATCGTTACTTCGACATAGCATAATATTGCAAAATACTAATAGTATGAATGTGTTAACACCATTGTGATATGTATACATGAAATGAAATGAATAAATTTTACATAAAATGTTTGATTTGTTGTTTTTAAGTTGTATTTAAGATTTAGCAACGTTTAATCAACGTGTTAATAAACAAGCCGTGTTTACATGAATCAAAAAAGCCATTAAAGTTCGAAATTGCCAATTTATTAATTATTTAATACTTGGAATGTTGCTTTCTGGAGTATAATTTCTGTTATACATCTTCGGATACATATCAGAAAAGTGAATCAAATTTCATTTTTTATACTTATCGTATACAAGGTTTTAATGTTATAAACACGCTCCCGCGAATAACCTGAAAACAAATATGGGCAAATTAAACGTCACGATTTTACGATATTTGACACGGGATGATTTCCGTGTTTTAACAGCAGTAAGTATCTGTATAATGTTAATTATCTAAAGTTAAACTATGTAACGTACTGCATTCATTATATGTTTAACTTTTCTTTTAATTACGCTCAATATGTATTGAGGTTATGTTAGAGTATACGTTTATATTTAATCTTTATATTTTAACAAACGAGTTTATTAAATAATTCTCTATATTGATATTTGATATTACAGATCGAGATGGGAATGAAGAATCATGAACTTGTCCCTGCATCTTTAGCTGCCCAGATAGCAAATCTTCGTTACGGCGGTGTTCATAAATTAATGAAAGAATTATGCAAACATAGACTTCTTAGTTACGAACGTGGAAAACATTGTTAGTACAACGAAGTAGTATGAATACTGAAATTTCTTCTTAAAACAACAATATTATAATATTTATATATGTTGTATTTTTTTAGACGATGGTTATCGATTAACAAATGCTGGTTACGATTACCTAGCTTTGAAAGTTTTGGCGCAACGAGGTACCGTTGCCTCGTTCGGCAATCAAATAGGCGTAGGAAAGGAATCCAATATTTATATAGTTGCAGACGAAGAAGGAAATCCAGTTTGTTTGAAGCTACACAGGTTGGGGAGAACATGTTTTAGAAACATTAAAGATAAAAGAGATTACCATGGGCATAGAAAATCGGCGTCGTGGTTATATTTATCAAGAATATCCGCAACAAGAGAATATGCATATATGAAAGCACTTTTTGATAGAGGATTTCCAGTACCAAAGCCAATCGATCTCAACAGACATTGCGTTGTTATGGAGCTGGTTGAAGGTGGACCTCTGTGAGCGAAATTTTATACTTTGCTACCGTTTGTGTAATATTGTTCGACGTCTCTATATAGTTTAAATAAATAATTTTTTTTTTATAGATGTGGCGTATACGAAGTGGAAGACATCGAATCACTTTACGACGAATTAATGAATATGATCGTAAAACTTGGAAATCATGGAGTTATCCACGGCGATTTCAATGAATTTAATATAATGATGACAAACAGCGGGAAAGTGATTCTGATTGACTTTCCACAGATGATCTCCACCGAGCACAGTGACGCTAAGATGTATTTCGATAGAGATGTGAATTGCATTCGCGACTTTTTCAAACGACGTTTTGCTTACGAAAGCGAATTGTATCCAACGTTTCAGGACATTTCGTAAGTAATGAAAGCTGAAATATTAAAACAGAACAACTTATTCCATCCAGACCTATATATTTATAGACGATAATTTATGTTAGGAGAGAAGATTGCATCGACGCTGAAATTAAGGCCAGTGGTCTGACTAAACAGATGGAAAAGGATCTCCTAAGGGAAATGGGGTTGATCGAAACGGAAGACGAGGAAGACGAGGAAGTCGATCAGTTAGCAGAGGGAATCGACGAAGAGAAAGAAACTGTAAACGAAAATGAAATTAGTCGCTTGCAACGTGAACTCGAAAACTCTGTGAAGAGTGAATTTGCATGCGCATCGAAGACGATTGCGTCGGAATCGATGACAAACGAGACTGAAAATTTGGTTACTTCTTATTTGGAAAATCAACTTATAGAGGAAGGTGTTAGAGATATCGATATAAATAGGTCATTGGAAAACACAGAGAAACCAAAATCGTGCGATCGTAATGTAAACGATAACCAAGAATCCGTCGATTCGTTTCATTTTGCTGCAAAGACGTTCGATTCGGGAGACGAATACGAGGAATGTAGTAAATTTAGTGATTCTAGAAGTATGCACAGTAACACTACGGCCGCCACGATCGCGCCAGAACTTATTAAACGGAAAGTAAAGTTGACGTTACAACGGCGCGATAAGAAAGATCATTCGAGAAGAACTCTTGTGAAAGGTGAAGCGAACGCGGTTACCAGAGTCAGAAGAGAGAATAGGGACACGATTATGCAATCGACGGGAATATGGGGATGGGAATAAAATACATAATAACAAAAGTTTTAGCATGTTAAATTAAATTCTCTCCTTACCTACCTATGTTTCGTGTCTCATGCGAATCGTGCATTATTCATATGCTGATAATACGATCAAAGGTAAAGGATGGTGTGTCTGTTTTTATTTCTTCACCATACTGTAAGAGTAACATGATAATACCGACCGCGTATATAACCACAGACGAGGTATAGGAATAGACCTATCACCTAATGTAATTTTTCGGCCGGAGTTTCTGGGGTCCCGGGATTAGTGTGCGTAAGTGATGGGGCAGCTCCCTTTGGGCACGGGTCTGCCATCTGATAATATTGCACTGTCTTTTTCAATCCCTCCCATAGTCAACTCACATGTATTTACGCACACACTACAGCTGGCTGCCCATCAATACTAATTCAGTGCCTAGTTTCTCAACTAACCGCCATCCATGAGAAGAGGCCGCTAAAATCACCTCCGAATTTTCAAGTCGGTATGGCAGTCAGATTCGGCCGCGAAAGTCCATAAGGTGAAAGGTCTATTCATATATCTCGTCTGTGATATAACATTGTAACCCCCGTACATAAAAATAATCAAGATATAAACAGTTCCATACACGAGACCACTAATTACAGAACGTGCGTATTGCATCGACGAGGCGTTTAAGTAAGAGGTCGTTTGAATATTAAAGTGTTACTTCTAACGAACGATTATACGTTATTTATTCGTTTTGACGTTGATACCGTTGTAAATAACTGATAGTATCATTCCATTACCAAACGACGTATACGAACGTATTTTCGCTTCTTCATAGAAAACAAGAAAAAATATATAAACAACCGATTATCGGTACATAATGTTATTCGAAAACGATTTAAACATTTCTTCTAACAATTACGTCTCGTTCACAGAGATAAAAGAATCACAGGAGTTTTATGGAGAATGTTAAACGTTACTTTCCATATTTGTGTAATGCTTTTATATTTTGTGGGTATGATACGTCGAGGAGATAAGATATCATTTTTGTTTGCAATTAGATACGAAATTAAAAGTTTTCCGCAAAAATAAACGGCGAACTTTATTTATTGTAAGAGATATTGTTAAATGCAAAAGCTCAAGTAAAAACATTTTGTTAAATAATACACGAAATGTTGTTCTTACGGTGATAATTTATTTTCGATTGCTCGACGGTTGTCCAAATTTGTTAGTTTCCATAAACGTTTTATTTCACAACGCATCAACGATCCTGAACTTTGAACCGAATCGATAAGCGATTGAAGCTTTCGCTGGTCCAATTTGATAGTGTTTCGGTGGTGGAACGAAACCGGGAGAAAAAGTATAATTTTGATGTACGCGCGAAAGATGCAAAAGTAATTTACATCAGTGATTCTCAAACCAGTGGCTGTTGGACTTCGGGGTGTTTGCGGGTTCGCGGGGGGAAACAAATAAAGCATATTATACGGTAAAAGAAAAAAAAATGCTTTCCACGATATTTTATGATTATTAAAAACACCTGTTAAACATTTGTCTGTCGCCAGAAATTGGTCGAGAAATAATAACCGAATTCTATTCTGGGGAGGAGGATCGCGAAAGAGTTTCTTTTTTCGAATAGCGGGAAAATTGACGGGATGACGAAATTGAGAAACACCGATTCTACAGGGTTACGAATGATAAGGCAGCTCGACGTGGTGATAGCGAGAACTAAACCATTCTCGATGGGTGCTCATATATAGACAGCGCGCGCTCTTCTTCTCTAGTTTCGAGTTTGATTCCAGTGCTCTTTCAAGGAATTTCTCGTTTCGTTTGAATCGTTCGATCGCAACCGTCGCCTTCTATCATGGCCAGGGACAATCTCACCGCTATTCTCTATGGTATCAATGACATTCGATTGGTCAGTACAAATACTTTCGCTCGAATACACGTAAAGACCGAACGGGATCGTAAAAATATAAATAGTAACGTTTAACCATAAAATATGTTATTTTCTTAGTTTTCGATAACGATAGACTTTAAGTATTCTTGCATTTCACTTTGTTGAACGTTTATCGAAATTAATGCGCCGAGTAGCGTAAACGGATAATATTTGATGCTTCAAAGGCGCAGTTACTATTGTACAGTATTTCTAACGATGTTATGTGGAAGTATGCATTAAGATTTATTTAATGCGAGCGTCACAATTTCAAAGCGTTGATCGTTGATAAATGGTGGGTCGCGAGCAGAAAGTCTGACGGCATTCAATTTGTTAACAAATAGCACGAGTGAATTTACCTTGCTCGAAGTGCTACACTCGATTTCTTCATCTCCTCGCTTTATTATTAATTCAAATTGCGGTTGCCATTAGCGCGATTGACTCTTTTTCAACGACCAATGAGACGAAACGAAACGTACCAGATGAGTCGCGACGAATCATTTGCGTTTATAGGAGAGCCAAGGTCCTCTATTTCTGTTACTATACACTCGTTAGCTGCAGTTACCTGCACGCTCAATCTCTTCCGTGTTATTAACGTATTAAAACCGATCGTGTTTCACGCAGACAAAACGCATTCGCGACCGATATCGTTCCACTATATTTTGTTTCTCTTGAACCGACGTGTCCTCTCGTTCACCTTGCGTTAATGCCAACGAACCTGTCATTTGTGTACAATTGTACTTTTCAAACTTTTTTGGTGGCTTCCATACAATATGGAAGAACATCGTACTTTGTTGGTTAAAAATCGAATCGTCGACAAGTAATTTAGTCGTTTGTTTTTTGAAAATTTACTTCGCGTAATATCGAGTCGGAGATTCAACGTTATCGCAGACTTACGTTTTATTGACTTAAGGATCGGGTATCTGTAGAAGTAGTATGTACTACGAAATAGCGACATTACTAATGTAATGGAATATAAAGTACAACTAACACGTATGACGTTATGTGTGGTTTCGAGATCTGGGTATACTCATATGAAATCGGATACGTTCGAGAACTCGAGACGGTCGTGTGCAGTCGGATCCACAATTATAATACCTGTAAACCTTTGTAAACGTTCGGGGTGTCTCGAGTTTTACTAACCTGGCCCGAAGTCCGGGAGTCCCGAGTCCCTACTGTGCGATTCAGGCACTTTTTAGCTGTCGAGGGGCCATTTTCCCTAAACGGGTGGGTGTCAACGGGTCCTCGTTAATCAAAAAAACGTTCTGCAGACTTTCCCGGCACGTTTTCCGAGGAGGAAATGCGAAACGTGAAGCCAGAGTGTCGTTGGTCGTTGCTTGGCAGGCAAGCGTAGGACTGCCACTACTCGGTTGCCTAGTTTTCACCGCGAGGTGGAGTTGGCACATGGTGGCAGCCTCGCACACATTTCACAAGTTATTCGAGATGTGCAAGATGCGTGGATCTTTATGTTATACACGTCTCGAATAACCAAATAATATATCTGTATAATTTCCTTAATCCCTTGCTGTCCCTTTCTCTTACACGAAACTTGGGTCAAACGACAGAGACCTAGCCCATCTTTGAAACACGTTCGGATTAAAACAGTTTAATTTACAAAGCCCATGAATCCCATCTGTGCCAGGTGGTACGTCGAAACCATTGTTCGCCATTCAATTATTTTCGAAATTGTCGATGCAATGCAAACGTTGCGTATCATCCTCGCTGTTATTATCGTCATCTGTATCTTCCGAGCTTCTTTGTAGTTTTATTTTTTTAATTCTTCGTTTCTTTCGAGACAATTGTCTTTCCTTGAATTTTTTCAAGATTTCCATTCAAGATCCGAGGCAAATTCTAAAATTCATGCATGAAAAGTAACTGGTGGTGTTCTTACCGACGATTGTGATTTATATTAATTAAAACGCAAAGATAATGCAATCACTGGTATTGTTATTCTGTACGATGTAACGTTTCTAACTTTATCTAAATCGATAAAGTAAATCCTGTTATTTTAACCGTTTCTAAATATTTTATTTCAGGAACAAACTCCTATCGACGAGCCTGGTCAGGATGGTAAGTGCAGTTCAATTAATTCTGCTCAACGATTTCATAATGTACACGTGCAATTGCGTCCACTCTGGATGCATTCGTTCCGATTCAATCTGTTCGGCAGTTTTAATCAAATTAAGACGGTAGTCCATTCGTTATTCCATCATTTAATTGCCAAGTACAAAGAGTGCAACGTTATCGAACCATAGTCCACTATCGAGATCGCCAAAATCGATCCCGATGTTATGCTCGGAAATTAATTGAGATTAGTAATTACCGAGTCGTGTACGTTTCGATTCGATACGATCGAATAGTACGTATATCTTCCATTAAAGTGCTTTCCAATGCAAGATGGATCACGATAATTTATTTAAATCAACGATAAGATTGCTTTCTTTCTATTTAGCGTTCTTCACTGTAGATCGAGCCGATCAATTAAAAAATTATTAGTATCTAAGATGCCGCGATAAGCGACGAACTCGAAATCGATTTAATTGTTTTGAATCCGTGACGTGATATTCTCGAAAGTCTCGATGGAATTTAGAAAAACTTCCATTAGGTTTTACAATTACAATACAATGAAGTTTTACGATTTCAGAGGTACTGCTCAAAATGGCGTGCGTTGGAATTTGCGGTTCCGACGTGCATTACCTCGTGCATGGCCGAATAGGCGACTTTGTAGTACACAAGCCCATGATCATAGGTCACGAAGCCTCCGGAGTAGTTACCAAGCTTGGAAAAAACGTGAAGCATTTGAAGGTACGACCAACGAATATTTGCTTGTCCCTTTATTTATTTGTTTCGCGCGTAGCAAACACGAATGTTTGTTTCAGGTCGGCGATCGAGTGGCGATCGAACCCGGCGTACCATGCAGAATGTGTGCATACTGTAAAGAAGGACGTTACAATTTGTGCAAGGATATTATATTTTGCGCTACGCCTCCGGTCCACGGCAACTTGAGACGTTTCTACAAACACGCAGCCGACTTCTGTTACAAGTAAATTACGATTAAGTAATTAATAAAAAAAATACAAGTCCCTTCTTGCAAATTTCAACTACGGAAACTATCATAGATACGAAATCGTTTGTTCCGTCGGCGAATAACTTTTAGCGCCACCGACTGGAGTCTTAACGAGTTCGAAACGAATTATTTAATTAAGAGAGAGCTTATTCGATTCGTCGACGGTCAAAAATGGTAGTCGAGGTCCACGGTCAAAGGACGCGATAAAGGAGGCTTCAGCTAGATGTAATGAAACCAAGTTATTGAACTCAAACGGAGGCATCGTCGTGTTATGCGATGATAAAAGGACTCCTTAGGTGGTAATAAGAATAATTCGTCGCGGAGACTGTTACTGTGCAACGACTGATTGTCTTCGACGCATGAGACGGTCGATCAAAAACTAATGTAACGATCATTGATCGATAAAACTTTGAACGTATGCTTTAATGTTAATTTTCTCGTATTGCAGGCTACCGGACAACGTCACGTTGGAGGAGGGAGCATTATTGGAGCCTCTATCGGTCGGAGTGCACGCTTGCAAACGCGCGAACATCGGCATCGGTTCGAAGGTGTTGATTTTGGGCGCTGGACCGATCGGTCTGGTCTCGTTGTTGGTAGCCAAAGCTATGGGTGCCAACAAAATTGTCATTACCGGTACGTTTCACAGTAACGTTCCTTACGAGTTTCTACCAAAACGATATTTAAAGAAACACCGTTTGAAAGGCGCACGTTTTGTTTAGATCTGGTGCAAAACAGACTGGACGTCGCTAAAAAGCTTGGCGCCGACGAAACGCTTTTGGTGAAGAGGGAATACAAGGAAGAAGACGTCGTGAAGAAAGTTCACGATCTCTTCGGGGAAGAACCCGATAAGTCGATCGACGCCTCCGGAGCCCAGTCGTCTATTCGCTTAGCGATCCTCGTACGTTTCCTTTATACCTGTTCTATCGTACGTTTTTTCGACCGTTTTGTACACGCTCTGATCATTTTCAGGCGACCAAGTCCGGCGGTGTGGCAGTTTTGGTAGGAATGGGCGCCCCGGAAATCCAAGTACCATTGATCAACGCTCTCGTAAGAGAAGTGGATATCAGAGGCGTCTTTCGATACGCGAACGAGTACGTATTACTAATTTTTATTATCTTCAGCGCGTTTAGAACAAGTAAAAAGCAACGCACGTTTCTCCGTCCCCTTTTGCAGTTACGACGACGCGCTGAATCTCGTGGCTACTGGTAAAGTGAATGTGAAACCATTGATAACTCACAATTACAAAATGGAAGATACCGTGGCAGCTTTTGACACTGCCAAGTCGGGACAAAGTGACGTCATTAAGATCATGATCCATTGCGATTAGAGGAACAAGGAACGAAGGAAAAGAGAGCAACCCTTAGTCGCGCCTTTTATGTAATGACAAAATTCGGCGATAGTGAAATCTTTACGAATATTGGCAAACTGCTTGTTCGAACGAATCGATACTAGGATATTGTATTTAATTAAACTATTATGCCGAATGAGACGCGTCAGGCACGCGTTGACTATGAGAATTATTTTATTGCAAACGTGGAACGACTGAAAATCGATTAACGCGTGTAATGAAAATTTTTTTAAAGATTTTATCGTGCCGTGTCATTACTTTCAAAGAATATCGTATGAGATCAAAAATATAATCTGGTCGATTTCTTCATTCATAAAGAATAAAATGTTCCTGTTACCGTTAATTAAAGTTAAAATTTGAATGTTGGAATGTTAACTGAGTTGCAAATATACCCGTTAAGTGTTTTAGTAAATAAAAAAACTCTGTTGGTTGTTGGTATCTTGATTCGTGCGTACTGATTTTGAAGCCATATCTAGCAGGATTTAGCGATCACTAAATATTAAAACTAACTCGAGCATATGTAAAGAATGCTATACCAATAGGTGCCATATATACTTTAACATAGATAAGGTATACGATATACCAAACATTTGATAAGAATTCGTGTTTTACGAGGGGGCTTGCAAGTCTTATCGTTTCCATGTCGTATCCAACGTTATCGAATCAGTATGGACAAGAATAACTATTAATGGCACGAATCAAAACTAAACGTGTTTCGTTTTAATGGTTCGAGTATCGGATTTTTTTTTTATTGTAAAAATAAGCTTAACGCGATGTAAGAACTGCGTGCGCGTAAATGCATGTGAGTTGACTATGGGGAAGGGTTTGAAATTCATTTGGTATTGTCACTGGTATCGACAATAAGAAATGGAAGCCATTTTACTACAAGCTTGGGCGTTTCATCGCCAAGAGCTCTGCTACACGGTTTCAGACTATCGGTTTTATATTATTTAATATAACAATAGTTACAGCTAATACCTCCGTAATTTAGTAATCCGATCGAGTAAAGTTTTATCCGGATCGAACAAAACTGGTAGAAGTTAACACAGTTATTTCATGTTTCATGTTGACGATTACCTTAAAATACGATTTTTCTTTTAATTAGAATATGTATTCGTGCCATTGCATCAAATAAATTCAACATAAATTGTTCAAAAATAATATTTACGCGTTCTGCAATTTTAAATATGAAATCTGACATCCGCCAAATTGAGGGCTTCCGTAAATCTAGCGTTAAATATAATACCATTTGTTCTAATTTCTCAAGAAGCGTACCAATTTTGGAATTACGAGGAAAACTCTACGATCGGGACCGACGATACATTTAAAATCTTTACTCGCGTTTCAAAGAGCCTACCATAAACGCGGAAGGCAACGCTCCGTAATGGGTCTCGCTAGCAACCTAATTTAATCTAATCGTTAGCGAGACTTCGCCGTGTATGGTCGTCGGCTCGTACAAGTAACTTTGAATGATGAGACGCGGGGTGGTGAGATCCGAGATCGTTAGACGTACCATGCGGAGTTACTAATTCGACGAATCCCTTGCATCGGTTTCGCCAGGCATCCCTAATGTCTCGATGGCTGAATATTGCCGTACAGAGAATCGCAAAAGTTACTTCCGCGATCGAACGGGGAACTCGTAGAGCACGGCAGGACGTCGTGAAATTGTTGTCGACGAATTAACGAGTAGGTGCAAAATAACTTTAAGGCATCCTCGTCCTTCCAAGCTTAATAGAAACTGCGTCCATCTATTTTCTCTTACCTTCGAGCTAATTGAACAAGTATATTTTCGGACGCAAATCGTGCATTCCCACGCGCGATCTCTTGCCAATAATTAAATAGTCGCCTAATTGTCGGGTGTCGTGGGATCCATTGTTTATAGTCGCCAATGTGTCGAGTGAAGCAAGCGACCACGCGTTACGTTGTTTAATTACCAACGTTTGGCGTTCGTTTCTAGATGATCAACGGATCGCGGATCCAGACTCTTTCCTCCGTTAGCCCGGATCGTTGTCGCAAAAAAAGTCGGTATCGTTTCGCCTGGCATGATCGAACAGCGAGGCGACGTAACTGTGCGCACGGCGTGGGTAAAAAGGCGACAAACGATGATGCGACGATCACTATTATTCGGTTCTAAGCGGACAAGCGGCTGTCCAACCGGCGGGATCGTTGAAATATTTTCTCCGCGCGAGGTGTGGCCAATAATAAGCGTTCCCGTGCACGCACGTACGTAGGTACCAAACGATAATAGAGAAATTGGATAATTTTAAGCACGAGTGGAACGCGAGATCGCCGCTCGCGACACGTACGGTTCCAGTTCAACAAACAGAACACGCATAATAGCGGGGAATATTACATGCCACGAAAACTTTCCAACTTGTGTCGATTCCAGCCAGCCCCCGGAGACCAAACGAAACACCATTTTGTTTGGACAAAGTCGGGAAAACGAACAGTTAGTACATTCGATGGATTCTGTTAAGATTTATCGAATGATTTTTGGGGCAATTAAACAACACCGAATTGTGTTTTAACTTTATAAATAATTGCTTTTATTACATTCTAAATAATTAAATATATGGTAATATAAAAATAAATTAATCGTTCTTCATCAATCGTGAATCATTCGTTACAACACGAAGATTTGAACTCGTACAATTTGTTAAATGCATTGCGTGATAATAATAGTAAAATACGATCGACTGATTCAACGTGTCAGCAAGAGCAAATGAAAAATATGTTCCTATCATCGATGTTTTAACTCGCTATTTACAAAAATGCACCGTGTACCGTTTGTTTCACTTCTTAATAATACACTATTAGCTATATATTATTAAAAGTCGTGTCGTGATGGATCCGTGAGATTTATGAGCAGCTTTGCTTGCACTTGCGCAGAGTGTCAAAATTATTTCCATTTCCCATGCAACCTCCGTACAAGAACTGTTCGCATCGGTTTGTATCTGGATTCCATCCGAACTTAGGCATGTTTGCTCTGCACGGTCCGTGATCCAGTGGTAATAAACATTCTGCAAAATAAAAAATTTTTATTAGGAAGAGAAAACACAAAACATTGAAAAGGAATAAAATATCATGGTACGTTCTATATACGATTAAGAATATTTTTACGTACGTGGTCCAATGCCAGCTGATGCTTCGTATATCATAGTGGCGCAAATGGCGACGGAGAGTATTCCCACGAGTTTGCTGTCCATTGCTGTGTAGCTTTGTGTAGCTAAATTATGACTGTTAACGTTATCGGAAGTTTGGTGCACTATATATAAGGCGATAACTGATTAAGTCGAACATCGGAAAGGACGTATGTGATCAATCACATTTCTTGTGTAAACAACTGATACCACCAGAAAAATAGGCGCCTTTAATTCCATTTCTATCAGAGATATTTTTAAGAGCTTCGCGTTATTATGTTTCATCTTTTCGAAAGAAACGTATCAAAGATCACTTTAGCGATTGACATTTTTCAAATGCCGTGTAATCACATCGTCATCGCATCTTCTACGCGTTAATACGAAAACAATACTTTGTTTTTAAATAACTGGAAACTATTCGGTTCTATTTACTTTAACCTCTAACCTCGAGAGCTAATGTCTGCAACGACGATGGTACAAAAATTAATTAACTATCAGCGTTCCTCCGTTCGCCCGTCTAGACCCCCGGTCCAGAACGTTGAAAAATTTATTTTCCACCGGTCGTAAAGCAAATCCCCGAGAATGTTACACCTACGTAACGACGATAGAAATATTCCCCTGGTCGGGCGTCGTTGCAACGCGGTTTACGTACGCGACTAACTTTCCGCGACCGTAGATTAAGTTACGAACCAGCTCGTACTATCGCTGGGCCCTATTAGAATTACTCTCAAGTACCCATTGTGATCTCTGCTCGTTTCCATAGATCGCTGACACAAAAGAAATATAGCGTAGGACACGACGATAGAGCCTTCGGCTATTACCACACACGTGGCTGATAACCCGTACGATCTTCTCCGGGCAAACACGCTGTAATTGCATGAGTTCCGCATTTTTCCCCCCACATACAGAGACCCGACCTCTATCTCTGTTCCCTTTTACTCGCGAGCTTCGTGCATCCATGGTCGTCGTTCCCGAACGACGTTCGTCACACAACGACACCTCGTGCTACTTATTAATTCGACCTTACTTAGGATTTCTATACCATTCGTACGCTCTTCGATCCATCGTTATCGTCGAACAGTTCGTCTCGATCAAGAACAAGCATAAATATTGCGCGGAAAGTCGACGAAGGTTTTGAAATTTACATTTAAATATTTGCTGTAAGGTACGATGCGGAACGTTTCGAGAAATCTCAATGGATCGTTCATTTGGAATCAAGTCGATCGCGCGTCTAGCTTTATTATTTCTTTTTTCAAGAAATCTAAATTCCGCGGAGCTCTTTTCTTCGTTTCCGTGGAAAAATACAGCCCAAGAGAATACGTTTCTCGACCGCGAGCACGTCTCGCCTCCGTTCTTTTTCGGGGGAGCATTCGCGAAACCGGCGCTAAAGCTAAATAAACAATTGCGAAATATCATCGGGAAAATTGCGTAAACGCGCGTGAATTCCCTGCCGGAAGATAAAAATCTGTACACATGCCGTGCAGGATATTCAAGAACGTTGTTATCGTTATCCGTTGAACGATCGCGATACGAGGTAACAAGCACGCGATAATAGCTTTTCGATGTCGTTGAACAATATTAAACGTCTCTTTGTCGTTCGCGTTTCGTTAATTTATCGCAATTAGCGTTCAAACGAAACTTAAATCGCTCACGATTCAACGAATTTGCTTTCGCCTTAATTATGCGACGTACAGTGTTCCAGTTTTTCAAGGGGTGCTACGAAAACGAATTCTTCTAATTAAACCGTGAAAAGAGCGTACCCGTCGTTCCGGAAATAGAACGCCTGTAACGTTCGCCTACTTTTCGTTGCACGGCCAGTATATTTCGCGGGTAACTCGTGTCGAACGTTCGAATCTTGGAGGTACGTTTCGAACAGTTGCCATTCCCGTTTGATAAATCGCCGCGACCGTCGAGGGGTACAGGAAGGTTCGCGTCCTCCTCCAAGATTCACGAAGCGATATTAACCGATAAAGCTGCCCGTGAAATTTACGAGTCACGAAAAGTATAAAACACCGTGCCGCTATAAAAGTGGAAGCGTTATTACCGATAAAACGCGCGTCACGTGGTACCGCGTGGTCCCACTGGCCCTAAGTCCCAGTGAATCGTGAGCGAATCGTGTAATGGAAGCAATTTTGTCGTCTAAACGGATACAAATAGTACAGCGATAATGCAGTGACATGGCTGTGTATCGGCTGCTCGATACCTCCATGATTTAATGGACGTCGGGGCCGGTGGTGCACGGCTAACGGGTATTTTACGGTAATATTATACGGAGTTTGCTCCACCGTACGGTCCCGTGTCACG